TGATCAACACTCAGCGTTAGACAAACAATGCCCACGTTTTGTACAGATGCGTGAAATATTGAAAATCAAAACAGAAAATTACTGTAGCATGGGCGAAGCGCGACGCACATACCGGGAAAGAAATCCATCTGTAGCCCATGGAATTGGCAAAAGTAATACCTATGCTGCTGTTGCCTCGCAAATCGAGCCTAGTAAGACTTTAACTGCAACAGCTTCCAATGAAAAACCTGTTCCACCATTAACCAAAAATTATATTGCGAAACCAGTTACATCACTTGCCAAAGATAATATTGAAAAAACCAAAGCAACTGCAAATATTGAAAAAATCCAAACAACAACATATATGCTAAAATCTAATATACCAAATTCTCCAGAATCTCCAGCTCTCAACTTTACTCAACATATCACAAGTGGTAATGAATCCATTCTTTCATCCATTAATCAACCTTCGAAAACCAAAGCAACTGCAAATATTGAAAAAATTAAAACAACAACACATTTGCTAAAATCTAATATACCAAATTCTCCAGAATCTCCAGCTCTCAACTTTACTCAACAAATCACAAGTGTTAATGAATCCATTCTTTCATCCCTCAATCAACCTTCAATTTCAAATTATTCACGTGCGCCAACCCGTTGCGCTTCAAATGTACCAAATCACCTAAATACAGATTATTCTGCTGGTAAGAATAAATCATTCACGAAAAATTCCTATAGTGACCTTCTCGACGGAGACGCTGACATGTCAACTTAACCCTCCCTCCACTCTGCTTACATGTCATTACAATTAAATAAAGTTTTTAAAATTCTACAATGGAACATTAAGGGACTTATTAATAATTTTGATGAACTCCGTACACTCATAAATGATTTTAATCCAACCTTTTTATCGCTTCAAGAAACCCATTGTAAAACCTCTTTTAATCCTATTCCACCCAAATCATATACTGGATACTTCACGAATGCTGATCAAAATTCATATTCCAAACAAGGAGTAGGTGTTTTTATAAAATCAAGTATACCTCACAAACGCATAAATTTAAGCTCAAATATACAAGCCGTAGCGATACAAATAATGTTAAATATAAAATTTACAGTGCTTTCGCTCTATATTCCACCTTCGCAATCGTTTTCTCAGCAAGAACTCTACAGTTTATTCTCCGTACTTTCCCCCTCATTAATTATATGCGGCGATTTCAACAGCTGGAATACCATCTGGGGCTCAACAGTGAACAACACTCGCGGTACTGTTTTAGAAAAGGCCTTTTTTCAAAGCAACCTTTGCGTTTTAAATGATGGAAAACCAACGCACTTCTCAACTCATCATACTTTTTCACATATTGATTTAACATGTTGCTCTCCATCACTTCTTCCTTTGGTGTCCTGGTCTATTTCTGATGATCTACATAATAGTGATCACTTTCCAATCATAATCGATCTTAAACTTTCAACGTCCTCTGCTACTCCAGCAAAACAGGCCAAATTCCTCCTAGATAAAGCGGATTGGATCAATTACTCCAAACAGATGGAGTCATTTTTGAACTCAAAGCCATTTAACGGAAACTGCAACCATGATGCTGCTATTATGTCTAAATCGATTCGCACGGCTGCTCATCTTTCTATTCCTCAATCCAACATCTCTTTTAAACGAGCTAGGGTTCCATGGTGGAACAACACGCTTTCGTTTTTGAGGAAAAATAAAATGGATCTATGGCACCGCTTTAAGAGATGTCCTGATCAGAATCACTTGTTATTATACAAAAAGGCCAATGCTCTATTCAGGAAGGAATTACGGAAATCAAAGGCACTTAGTTTCGAACTTTTCTCGAGACGAATTCACAGAAATACATCAATGAAACTTGTCTGGAACAAAATCAACAGACTTAATGGGACTTCAAACCTGAACCAAATTTCTGCCATCTGCACTCCCAATGGAACTTTAACTGACGCAGATGAGATTTCTAATTACTTTGGAAAAGTGTGGTGCGAATACTCCTCTGACAGCAACTTCTCCAGTGCTTTCATTGAAAATAAAAGGACTCCAATATCTCCTTCAAATAATATCGATAGATGTGCCATGTTCCTGGAAAATAGCGTATCTACCTCAGAACTTGGAAGTTGTCGCTCCAATTTGAAGGGGAAGATACCTGATCTAGACCGCATCTCATACCAAATGATCAGTGCTATGTCTAAGTCTAGTAAAAAGAAATTACTGGACCTATATAATACGGTATTTATGACTGGTCATATACCCTACATGTGGAAAATGGCAACAGTTGTTCCAATTCCAAAGTCAAAAAATGTCTCCATCGCATCTGATTATCGCCCAATTTCTCTTTTATCTTGCCTCTCTAAGGTTTTAGAGAAGATTATGGCATCTAGATTATCTTGGTTTCTTGAATCCAAGAACCTGATAACAAAGCAACAAGTTGGTTTCAAGCGGGGTAGAGGATGCATCGACGCTCTGTTACATATTGATTATTTCACAAGCAAAGCAATTTCCGAACGAAATCACGTAACAATTCTCTCAATTGATTTCGAAAAAGCATTTGACAGAGGTGGTCTTCATGTTATCTTAAGACTTTTGAAATCATGGAATGTTGGACCCAAATTCTTCAACTACATCAAATCATTCATGTCGCATCGGCGGTTCAAAGTTAGAATCAACAATCATCTTTCTGATTCCTTTCCGCTAAAGAATGGGATTCCGTAAGGATCTCCTCTCTCTGTCACGCTTTTCCAGATCGCTTTCAACGAAATTAGCGAAATTCTTTACCGTGTACCAAGAGTGGAACATTGTCTCTACGCGGACGATGTATACATTTTTACAAAAGAAAAAGACAACACGAAAGCAATCAACATCCTCGAATCTATTGCATGTGAGATCTCCACATGGGCAAACTCGTCAGGAGCTATAATCTCTATACAAAAATCAAAAAAAATGCACATTTGTCGAAAACAAATGTGCGATGCAGGAAACCTACTGATGCATATTAACGGCTTACCAGTACTAAATGTGCAGACGCTCCATGTTCTCGGGCTCACGTTTTCAAACAATTATCGTTGGAAAGCACACTGCCTTCGTTTAAAAAACTCCCTTTTAACAAGGGTAAATTTCATACAATACGTTGCTTGGAGAAGCCATGCGCATATTAACACTATTGCTTATCTTACTAAAACGCTTGTGTTAAGCAAGATTGACTATGCTTTGATAATTTATGGCAATAGCTGCAAATCTAATATCAACATCCTTAAACCGGTCTATCACCAAGCCAAGCCGTTAGAGCAAGTTGTTATGCTTTTCGAACGACGCCCATAAGTAATATTATAATTGAAACTGGTCTCCCAACCTTAGAAAATAGACTGTATGAGTTAAAAGCTAAAATAGTCCCTAAGCTTCTTAATTCAAACAAATCCATTCTCGGTGATGACGTAAGAAAGATTATTATTGCGAAGAAAATTCCAAAGTCACCATCTGCAATTGACCATTGTTTGTGCATCGCAAATGGTGTTAAACCTCCCTGGATTTTGAAAGACTGCTCTTTTGACATCTCACTGTCTATGCACAAGAAAGAAGATACTCCAAATTACGTCTTCAGGAATCTAATAGCTGAGAAAACCCAAGTATTGGACAATACTGGTTGGAATCTTTTGTACATAGACGGCTCAAAATCTCCTGGTCTGCCTCCTGCTTGTGCGGTGGTAGATGCTACAGGACGGGTTCTTCTCAACCTTTCAAAAGTTCAGGCCAAATTCAAATTCTTTTGCAAAGTTTTAGGCGATATCTCTTAATTTTCGCTAATGGGGGACTGTTTACCACATATACTAAAAAGCTACGCAAGCAAACAGACGAACCGGGAGACATGTTTAGGTGCATTCAAGACTCGAAACTGGCCAAGACTTTGTGTACTTTATGGAGTTTTTGAAGCTTGTTTCTGTGTGTTATAAAAGTATTGAAAAAATAATTCAATTTTCATAAATTATACTATTGGATAGGCGTGATCAACTTTCCATTTTTGTGCACAAATGCTACTGCATTGCCCACAAAATATGCGTTCAAATTTTTGTACATTTATTTATGGTATAATTTATGAGTAATGAGCAAAAACAATTTTTCAATCCCTTTGAAAAACAGAGGTCTTCTCAGTTCCCGTGGTGCTGTGGGCGTATGCTTCGACCGATTTGGTCCATTTTCAATATAAAACTGCGCGCAAAACTTCCACTATTTTTACTAAATTTAAAGTCAATAGTTTAATTTTTACGGCCCGGAGAACGTTTACAACAAAGAATATACAGACGGACAGAGGGGCAGGCAGACAGGCGGACATGCTTAAATCGATTTAAAAGTTGACGCTAATCAAGAATATATATACTTTGTGGCGTCTCTGATGCTTCCTTCTCTGGGCGTTGCAACCGTCCTTCGGTGATGGGCATAATAATGTCCCAAAAAAATGAAATGTTTTGTTGAAGTGACTGCTTTTTCCCATGTTTGCATAGGGTCATTCTTAGAAAATATATGTGGAAATTTTTATCACTATATCTTGGACAATTTATGAGAAAACAAAATCGAGCGCTATTGTTTTTGAAAACCTCAAAATAAAATAATTAATATATTTCTTTATGATTTATTAAAATAAAAACGTAATATCTGTAAACCTATCGGAATGTGCTAAAAAACTTATAATTGTTATCAATTTATCACCACTAACGTGCTAAAAAACATACGATTGTTATCCATTTATCAACTCTGACGTAGAGTATCCGTTTCATACGTACAAAGACGTATCAACTGCATAATGTACCCGTTTTGAAAATTGTTACAATTTAGAAAAATCAAATAATTAGAAAAAAAATTTTAACAATCTTTCCCCAGAAAGTAATTTACAAAATTTATTGTTTTATTGAATTCCAACAGCCGTAAAAAACCGACTAACCCGACGCCATTACCCCCACCACCGTCAAAAATTCTAACCTTTTGGATCTATTCAAATAATACGATAATGTTTACTAGCCCGGCTGTGCATACATTATCAGAGACAACAGCTATACGTTTATATAATAGTGTAACTGTTGGAAGTGATCATCGAACGCCCGTTCCGCCGATTAGGCCACAGATTGAAGCGCTAGAGCAAAAGTCTATTGAATCAATACAGTCGTGTAACGAATTTGGCAATTCATGTCGGATATGTCGCTGGAATCGCAGCGATATGCAAATACTTCAGTGTCCATGTCATTGCAAGGGCAGCGTGGTAAGTATTCATTCATTCATTCATCATTAAGTTTTTCCCTTGGCGTTAAATAATATTCATCCACTTGCAGGGGCATGTTCATTTGCAATGTCTAAAAAGATGGATAATGCATAGAAGAGATAATCATTGCGAAATATGCAAAGAAATTTTCAATCTACCAGATGAAAAAATTAGCATCAAACGAATGATAAACACTTTCTGTACACGTTGCCTCGGCGCTATAATTAAGCATATACTTTTTAGTGCCTCTTTGATACCTTTGGCACATGTAGTGCTACATCAAGTTCTCTTTTGCATGGAGAACATTAACCAAAGTCCGAATGAACAACTTTCAGTGTCAGAAGTGTTAGTGGCATCGTGTGCATTACTAACTTCAAGTAAGGATCTCCAAACGCTCTATTCATCAATTCTGTTAATGCTTCATATTGATGATCTTTCCTCTTAGGTGCTTTATTTTTTCATTTTTTTGAATTTATTACAACACGTATCTTCCTGATACGGAACATATTTAGGCAGTGGTGGGTGTTTGGAAATGCAAGCGATTTCCCTTTACTCGAATTGGAAAATGATATTTTGGATTTCTTTTAGGGAACACATTGGAAAAACAAAAAATTATTTCTCCCAAATATACACAAATCGCTAATAAAACAATGTTTTTCTGTTTTCCTTCGGAAAAGCATTCGTGTACATTTGATAGACGTGCATATATAATGTATTGTTTCGAATGGATTTCTTTAACAAAGCGGCTAAAATGCAAATAAATACAATAAATGCAATAAATACATATAAATTTTTAATACCCTACGAATAGGTTCAATTGGAAAATGTTCACAACTTATATGAAAATTTCCAGTTAAGACTGTTCGAAATTGACTGAAATGAACGCATTTGTTTTGCTTATGACAGGGAATTGGTTGTAACAAATTTTGATTAGGGAATTCGGAAAAATCCTTTTCTTCCTTATCAGATATGAGAAACCTTACCATAAAAAACAATTACTTTTTATATGAATTTTATAATCACACAATATGCAATTATTTGCAAAACGCAATAATAAAAAGAAAAGTTATTGTGGTCGTTAAGGTAAGGTTCCCACAATTATAAAGAGATCCAATCATTCCCTTACTACAACTGCAAATGATAGGAATGTATTTTGACATTGAGATCTTATAGAATCGTCACTGTTACGTAGTTTGGAACGAGTAATGCAACAATTCGCAAAAGAGCACAGCCCTACCAAGGTCGATAAATGTTCTATTTTTAGTTGCTGTTTTATTATTCGCAGTGTACAAATTTCGTAAGGTATATAGTAAGAGTAAAGTTTGAAGCAAAAGATTGAATTCGAACTTAAAAAGTTTTATTCATGTACTTTGAAACTTTAAATATATTATTTATATAGTATATAATATTTATATATATATAAATGGTATGATAGGACAGGATATTGATTTTTAATAAAACTGAATTAAAATTAGTCTCAGTTCCTTTCCTTGCCATAAATTAAGTAAGCCCATTGCTTAAAACAATAACAACCGTCATTCCCTTTTTTGGCCTAATTTTATCTAAAAGCTGAAAGTGAATACGTGCTGTTGGCAACATTGAAAAAAAGTAATCATTTCTTTGTTTTATTAGTCTAACCAGAAATTGTCCGAACAACTATTGTTTATACAGGATCTTCAATTTTGTGTTTTAATGGAAATATGTTCGCTATACCGTATCAAGTGTAGAGGAAGATTTTTTAAAAAAAATTGTTTTGTTTAAAAAAGAGTGAAAAACGTTTATAAGCAAAATCGAAAGTGTAAACAGTATTGTGTTCCATTACTTTTGGGACAATGGCGACAATGGCGCAACTGACTTCTGCTAGGTCAGGAAATCGGGAAACTTTGTATGGCAGATGCTTATGTTGTTTTGTGACAAACCTAAATTATAATCAATGCAATCTAAGTCGTGTCCAGTATTTACGATATTTACCTCCGGGAGTACTTATTGACATCTATGTAATGGTAAGTAAAAGCAGACAAAATATATTCTTCTCCTTGGATAGACCATGGAAAATTTTTAGTATCTGCAGCGAATAAAAGGGTGGGGACTTATGTCAATAAGCACTGAAACAGAATTGCCTATAAACGATCCATATGCGGATGCTATTTGTTGGCTGCAGAGTATATACTGTTTTATCGAAGTTGTTTATTTTATTGTAAGCTAGCGTTCAAAGCAGTCTTTGTTTGTAGCTGTGCTTATTTCGTTCACTCATGAATTTTTGTATATGTGCTGGTTTGAGTGTCATTGAACAGCGATTTAGATTACTAGCCTCTTAAATGCTGATAAAAGAATAAGAAATCATAGCCCATGAATTCGCAAATTCTTCCATTTGTTGTACATTACAATTTCTATATATTAGATATAAAGTAGACAATTCTTTTTTTTATTGACGCCTTATGTCTTTCAGATGTCTCATCGAGATGATTTAAAGGACATGTTGTTCGAACAATTAGCAGACCTAGAAATATTTGAGCGTTTGTTACGCTTTGATCCCTCTCGGCAGAAATTATTTTGCTGCTTGGCTACATTAATGGGTAAAGGCAAGCCATTAGCGACACAATTACAACAAAATTTCACATTACGCTTTAAACAAAAAGAAAGGCATACTTTGAAAACAGCATCTAAATTAGCGACTTTAGCTAAGGCAAAACTAGCTTTGGTTACGGCGTGTTCCAGTTTTAATAGCAACAAGTGGGGAGACCGCAAGTATAATCAATGTGACGATGATTTACTGCGGCAGGCCGACTCCACAGCTTTCGATGACGACAAACAAAATGGTGTGGATGTTATAGACTTTGGCTTGCGTCTGGGCTCGTTTCTTTCTGAAGCTGGCTGGCTATCGCAGAGCATTGAAATCCTTTCCTGTGTCAGTTTAAAACTTAAAACTATAGAACTTGATCCTAAATTGAAAATTATCCAAGTAGATTGCTTGCAAAGGTAATTATTGTTTACGCGCATGAGCTTAACTAATTTTATTTAAATTTACAGACTTTTACACTCTGAAGCTGCTTTAAGTAATTTCAAATCTGCCGAACGTACTTTTAATAAATTAACAAATCTACTGACAGATATAGCGGCAGAAAGCATACCCAAGCCCTTACTGGCTAACACCTACACTCAGTTTTCGGAGATGTATTTTGCTCGTAATGAATACGATTACAGTCATATGTGGAGTGCGATGGCCATACAGAATCTTGAAGAGAGTACGCCGGAGAGGTGCTTATTTCCTGGATATTCAGAATATTAATGTTTTGCGATAGATGTTTTTTTTTTTTTTGTTTTTTCTCTTTTCATATTTTTCTTAGAATAACAATAGATGTTTTGCGGCAAGCTGCAAAGGCATGTGTAGTAAAGAGAGATTTTCAACGAGCCAATATGTTGATTTGTCAGGCTAAGCAAAGAGCAAAGTAAGAGTAGTAACCGCAAATTTTGGTGTTGTCTATGCTCACAATTTTGTTTTGCATTAATAGGAACGTTTTCGGCTCTAAGCATCAAAAATACGCGGACACTCTACTGGATTATGGCTTCTTTCTATTGAATGTTGATTGTGCCTATCAGAGCGTCAATGTATACATTGAAGCCCTGGATATCAAGCGATATATATTCGGGAATCGCAATTTTCATGTGGCCCTTGCTCATGAAGATCTCTCGTACGCATATTACGTGCATGAATACAGTACCGGTAATTTTACCTGTGCTCGCGATCACGTGGAAAAAGCTGTCGACATCATGCAGGACTTGGTACCCAGTGACCATTTGAGATTGGCTTCAGCAAAACGTGTAAAAGCTTTGCTTTTAGAAGAAATCGCTTTAAATAAAATGGCAGAAGGTGCTGACGACGAGGGCTTACTGAAGCAATCTGAAGATCTGCATAAGTTTGCATTACAGTTATCACTTGAAGTATTCGGTGAAGTAAATGTACAAACAGCTAAACTGTATGGTAATTTAGGCCGTCTTTATCAAACCATGAACAGATTTGAGGCGAGTATTTTCACCACAAAATTTGCATAAATTCATTAAGTCAGATTAATTCTTCTTGCTTTTTAGGAAGCTGAGCGTATGCATCAAAAAGCGATTGAAATAAAAACTGACCTTCTTGGGCCTTATGATTATGAAGTGGGGTTGTCTATCGGCCACTTGGCTTCTTTGTACAATTATCAAATGAAAAAGTATCGCGAAGCCGAAGAACTCTATCTACGTAGCATACAAATCAGTAAATTTGTGGAAGTCAAATATCGAACATTTCAATCAACTGCAGTTACTTTTACTTTTATAGGTTTGCGTGTGTTTGGAAGTTCGTATTCCGGTTTAGAGTATGACTACTTGGGCTTGTGTCACGTATATGAAACTCTAAGGGAATATGAAAAATACTTAATGTACGCACACATCTTAGAGAATTGGCAAATACTGCGCAGCCAAAATTTAACAATGAATGTAAGAAATCACTTGCTCACAAAAATTTGTAAGCAAATTAAAGGTTCAGAATGACATTGATTTTTGAAATTTCAGAAATCGATTTACCCTGCAATCAGTGAAGAATGTTCCCTAGAAGAAATTAAGTGGCAGTTTTTCAATGCCCAATCCTAACTGAAATTGTTGTTGTGTTGTGGTGTTATTCTGTAAAATTATATTATATACACATAGAAATATAAATATTCGTTGAATGTGTATTATAAGCGTCGTGCCGTTCATACCCACCATGCATTAACAAGATTATCATGGAGAGAACATAAAATATAATAAATAAGCACATATAGTTTAAATAATAATTATTTTTGTTAGTCAATCAAGAAATTCAATTTTTGTATATGTATATGCCCACATATACAATATTTTTTACGTTATATACCGATATTATCTAAATCTATGCGTATGCACACTACTCAAAAACCGTAATTTTATATACAACTTGTGATTGCCGGATTGCCCGATTTTTATATAAACCCAGAAGTGAGCTTATTTGGTCCTTCCACTACTTGCTTCCAAAATGGACTCGAATTCTATTTTTAACAACAATGCAAGGCGAAACCTATATGCAACATATATTACAACCTGGAAACCTTACCTATGAAATTTTATCAAATCGTGGAAAAATTAATTGGTAAAAGTCTGAGAATTGCCAACCTATATTTTGGTATTTTTATGATAGCCATTGCATGCTTACATACATGTATATATTACTGTTATTTTAGCCATCTACATGCTTTGTATCAGTTACGTTCAATGTACCGGAATACGCGTCAAACGCTTTATAATACAGCAAAACTTACGATATATTTGGAACCTATCATTTCTCAAAAATTTCAAAGATAAGTCCCTATGTAAATTAATCACGCTAAATAATTCTTGTTTTACCTTTTTGTGAAAAAGAATTTGATTGTGAAAATTGGTTTTGTAAACAGAACTAATATTCCGATTTTCTCCTAGAAATCGACGATTGTCTAGACAGAAGATTGATTGACATTTTTAAATCCGATACGTATGCAACATATATCATTACATAACACTTACGGCCAACTAACGTTTAAGTTTAATCCGACAAATAATATAAACAAAGTAGGCTGCATATATATTTTGTAGCAGAGAAATACAAAGAATCCAATAGGCTTTGTTCGTAAGCTTTTTCGACATCCTTGCGCATAGATAATTTAGAAGATTTTGGCTGTTAATTCATGGCTTTGCTTTCTAAGTTATAAAAACCGTTTCAATGGTATTGTTCTTACTAAGGATAGTTAAGAAAAATATACGCGTTTTCTCCAGATTGATGGTTTGCTAATAAATAAACTTTAAATCTACGACATGTTCACAAATAATTTAGTTTGAGATAAATGTTTTAATTAGATAAGCAACGTTGTCTATATGTATAAAACCATGCAAGAAATGAAACTGAATTTGATTTGAATCGAAATTTTACATTCTAAGCAATGTTCTGATACATATGTAGTTCCAAGGGTCCACATTTTGTATATGTATGTGTGTGAGTATGTGTGTTGTAATAAGAGTAGTATAGGTAGTTTTCATATAAGAAAAAATCGTAGTTCTTTGATTCTTATACCCATCAGGGAAGGTTGACGGGTTGTTAGCACGTTTGCGACACCTAGAAAAAAGCTTCAAAAACATCGACTTAAGTCTAGTTGGCCTTGTAATGTCTGTTGTAAACATTCTCCTAATCTCAAAAATGCAGCTATGTGCCGCAATACAACGTAGCCCGATATCACTTCCTTTCTGAAAAATAAACAAAATGTTGTTCTTTGCTGGCTGCTTATAAACCACGAAAAATACAATAAAAAGATTTTCGGTTATATTCTATAGGCGGCTCTGGAGTACTTGCATAAGAATGAAAAAATCGGTCACGCCTAGTCAATAGAGAATATTGAAATTTTTTTATTTTTTTTTTTGTTAATATGCATAAAAGTTGAAGTCGCACGCAGACTGATATTGGCCATAGGTCAAATCGGTAAAAGGTTACGCCCACAATATAATATAAATTGAAAACGTCTTGTCTTTGTGACTTTTTGTCTACTATTCATTAACTACAACAGAAACGCCATGTAAATTTGCACCTTCATTCCCCAAAATAGAAATATTTAGCCACTCTGAAATATTATTATAGAATAGGAGTATTTAGTTTCTTCCTTTCTTGTTTTGGTTTTTTTTTTTTTTTTTTTTTTTTTAAGATAACGGTGATGAGTATAAAATTTTTTTATTTGTTAGGCATATTTATTATTATGGGTTTGAGATATCACATATCAAATATGTGGACAGCTTTGGTGTTGCCTTGTTTTGCCTAACTCTAGCGAGTGCCATAATGTAGACAGTGATAAGTTCTTGTAGCTCTATATAAAATTTCATTTATATACATATGCCTTTGAACGCAATCTGGAAAGATATGACTAGGATTATGTAGAGAGGCTTGAGATACAACGAACAATAATAACAAAGAATAAAGTGAATAAATAAATAAAACTATTTTAAGAAATATTGAAAATTTGAAGATTTCTTATTAACAACTTTATTAAGCGTAATAAAATAATGAGGTAGCATTCACCAGTCCAGCATTTCTAAAGTTCTCGGGACTTGTTTTGCAATAGCTGATCAATGGTCGTCACATTGGAAAAGCACCTGATAGGGTCTATTACACAGCGCAATGCGACGTCCCTAATAGAGGTGATTTTTCTGCTTGTTTTGATTGTCCGTTTAATTTACACTATGTGATTGTGTTTGTCCCTGGGATTTCTTGTCAGTCATCACAATTCAACAACACTTCTCTTTAACTTAAACAGGAAAATTAATGCTCTTATCAAAAGTATCTACCCAGCCATCGGCGGAAGCCTGACTAACATCTTGACGTTATTCTCAAAGACAAAAATTAGTCTCATAGCAAGGCGTCATCTATCCCATGATAATTTCTGCAGACGTTAGCAGAGATCTGATGAGACCGAGTTGATAGGCGTCTTTTGATCCACATCTGATTTGCCTTTGCTCCTTTATATGGAAATTCTAAAAATTGATTGACAGATCAACAATCACAATAATTTATAATGGAGTAAAGGTGAAAGAGCTGAATTTTCAAATTTTTTTTTTACTTGAGCTTAGCAAGATCTAGGCATTCGTATCCATACCAAAATAATATCACAATGCGTCTATTTTACTCTAAATAAGGTTACTTTATGCGGGTTACTACTTTAACTAACCTATTTGGATGTTTTTGTATAAACTTGAAAGGGGCGTGCCTAAGTGGATATTGTCCAGTGGTTGGAGTACGCCATATTTACCCATGCGTTGGGCATTGCGTAACCAATGTATTCTTGCCTGACACAATAACTTCATATAACAAATATATTATAAGGTACTGCATTAAGTACGTGTAGACGTGAAGACGTGTGATATAACTTATATAAATTCTGTGAGGATAGTGGAGGTGTTCGCATAGTTGCTTTTTACAATGTCTCAACAATGGCTTAATCGCTTAGCTTTGCACCGGTACATATATACACTTGTTACAGATATCGGAGTGTGTGGTTACTCCGTTTTTTAATACGAAAGTCTACTTTGTGACACATAAAATCCACTTCATAGTGTATACAATAACGTCCAATGTGTAATGTGTAAAACGCAAGAAACTGGATCTCAACTGTTAATAACCGTCATCATTATCATCACCATCATCATTTTAATATGTGGAGAGAGTATGGGCATTTGGCTTTCTTTTAAATTGCTTTATGCTTTCACATGCAAGTGAAAATCATTTTCATTCAGCACTAACATCTTTTTTAAAAATTGCATCCTAATGAAGCAATTTTCGTTTCTCAAGCGATATGAATATGTATGCATTTATCGCAAATATTCATTTTCAATATCAATCTTCTCGAATCGATTATCGATAGTTGAATATTGATTTCTCCTATTCTCATTAAAATTCTTGAAAGTCGTATGCCATTGAAGAATATGTCTTCGTCCCGGGTTTTACGTAATGAATTTTTGCGCGTGGCATACATATCTGTAGTAGTTATAATGAATACATTATAGTTTTCTACTTGGCATAAAAAGCCATCACTTTCGTTTCATAAGTGACAGGAAAATATGTGATGGTGTACACATAAACACATAAACACTGCACAGGAAAAATGCTCATGATTAACCCGATTTAATGACAGCATTTCTTGCAGCTCAAATCATTTGCTAGCTTGTGTGTTGAACTATTTATACAAATTAACTGTTGAAAATCTCTTATCAAGTTTTGATTGCTTCACTTTAACTTTTTGCTTTTCTTTTTTGTTTACATTCCGTTTTTGTAGTTGCGATATTCTGCGTTTATAATCCAAGGTAGAGTGCACTAAACGATCGGTAATGCTCTAACGTACAATTTTAATTAGCTTTCGTATAACTTTAGTCGCAGCACATGCGCAGACATGTACTTCTTTTTTTTTTCAGGTCGTTCAAAATGTTTTCACCTAATTACTTACATCTTTCGCTATCATCACACACTTTAAAGAGATACACGTACGAGTTTTGCTTACGATTAATTCAAAATTATAGGAAAATGGAATTTAATTCACTTCGGAGCTTAGTTCTTGTTTTCGCTCTTTCTCATGCTGCCGAAAATGAAGAAGGCAAAAGCTTTACATTAAACCCTAAGAGACGCTTGAAAATATGAAAACCATACCTTAAATATATGTTCAGAATGATACCTAAAAAGCTTTATTCGAATTGGTCGACTTGTTGGGTACAGTGTCGTTGCTAAAGCTTGTCACTGCTTACAAATTTTGTCGCTCTTTCATCGAATTTTTTTTTTTTCGATTTGACCGTATTTCGAGCGCTTTCAACTTTCAACTGCAATTTCATGGTAACATTCTCTAGTAACGAGTTCAAGATTTTTCGTTTTTTTCTTACCTGATTTTATCGCGGATATTTTGATAAATTTTTTCAAAAAACAAAAAATATTACCTAACACCAATACGATATTTATACCTTATCTCACTTATGGTGAGATATTAAGTTGCGTGTGTGATATATTAAGTTTGTGGGCCTGCATAAAACACCCATAGGGGCTTGAGATAGACCCACTATTTAGTATACCAATCGATTTAGAATCATATTTCAGGTTTGTCTGTCTGTCTATTCGTCTGATATCCGCTCATTTGTTTCGTCCCAAGAACGAACGCCATTGAAAATGATTACCAACAGAACACCTTTTCGACTACATCCTATACAAATATATAAAAAAATTGCAATTTCGAAAATCCTCGACAAAAATGGCTGAGTTTTTACTTTTGTGCATCGCCATTCTAAATTGACGTCAAAAATTTTAATCAGATTCAGGGAGAACTTTTTGAGCTCTTTTAAAAAACGTGGCCAGCTATAAGCCTATTACTTGCACTCAAATCAATATTTGCAAAGGGCAATGTCATCTTCTTCGGATGCCGAATGATGCGATCTGTAGGAGATGCTATAAGAAGTTACATTTTTTTCCCCCATCGCTTTGCTGCTGTTTTCTTTTTAGGGAAGACTATTTAATTGTCTCAACCAATCTAAAAACATTGTCTTAATAGATTGATTGGTGAGAAAAAAAATAAATATCGTAGCCAAATCGCCGTACTGCTTAACATAAAACATCGAGCGACGTCCAAGAACAGAAAAGGTGCGAAATTTTCGCCTCAATCGAATAAATTAGTCTCGTTTCATTCATCGAATGTTGAGGCACGTATGTTGAGTAGTATGCTAAAAAAAAAAAGGGTGTGCATAGTTTATTTGAGTTGAAAAAGTTATAAAGTTGCTTACGCACTCAGCCAAATGAGAATGGGCCTCATCGCTCGGAACAACTGTTTTTGAAAACACTATGATTCAGTTCACGCAGTTTCTTCATCATCCAATCAGCGAATGCAGAGCGAATATATCTGAAAATTGTCTATTTTTTACTCGTCAAATATTTCAGTAATGACAGTTGCATGTTGATTGCATTGCGCGAAATTTTAAAGGAAATCTTTTTTTGAATGGGCCCACTTAGCTTGTATCATATTTCCGATCTACTGTACATTTTTTAACCCATTGCCGGGGTCGCTCATTGCGATCATTTAAAAATTCAATGGAAAATTTGCTCGTTCGTTCTGTTGATATGACTTGAGCCAATGTTCAGAAATAGAATATAAATGATATATATAAAGAGATGTCGTAGAATTTCTAATGCTGTATGTGATTATTAATTATTTCAACATTAATGAGAACAATTTTATCGATGCCTAGTGTTGGGAAATCTACTTACACATTCTCATGTATACACGTGCACATGTACTTATTGGTATAAACACACATACTCTTTCAAGTATCCAAATAGTATCACAATAAAAGTGTTCATGAAATAAAATTTTACTCGTGGCTAACTGAGCACGTATTCAAGTCTTTATGGGAGGGAAATTAGTGTAGTGTATGAATGCTAAATTTAGCAAGAGCTTATTTGTTAGCATTTAACTGACTGCATGCTACACTTGCTTGCGTATGACCATGCTTCATTTAACAATATTAGCCCTTTGCACTCTTACTTTTTTCTTTTCCTTTTCACCTGCCATTAACTCCTTAATTAATTAATGTGCAAGAAAGGCATAAAAAGTGGACCAATAAAGAAAAAAAGAAAAAATGTATGTATTCGGATTACGATGCGTTTACTATTTGAAATAAGGATTACATTTAATAATTTGAAATAATATAATGTCGAGTCTGGCTGAACACAGAAGTAAAGGGAAGGACTAAAGAGTAAAAAAAAATTTCGAGCTCGATTTAAAGTGAAGCTTCTTAAGATAATTGAAATGAGATTTTCGCAGAAGATGTTGCGATCTTTACTGATGCAGCTCAAACTGAACAAACAAATCCGATTAAAATTTCTTGTTGGTCAAGAAAATTTTAATTTTGCTCATCGTGTCCGTTCTTGCAATTGTTAGAATAGCCAGAAACTATTGCCAAGTCCCAACCTAAGTATTGAAATTTTCAATCTGATTTTTCTCTTATAAGATTTAATATTTTATATGATGCTCATGCCGATGGAATTAAACGAGAAAGCAAAGGAACGATAGCAGCAACTCGGCATCATTCTATTGCAATGAATTTCTTTGATTTTAAATGAGAATTCTCTCAATAAGACTCTGCATAGATTAAGTTATTTAGAATTTTGTTGGACCCGCCTTAACCTTAGCCAGAGTGTATGCTTTACCTGATAAATCTTATCGCGACCATCGCTTTGCTAGCAGATGAGTTGTTGCGCCAAAGATTTATTCACAGTGGCCTTAAACTGCATTATAAATATTTTTAGATGTCACTATCATCGGCACAACCAATATTGAATTCTTGACTCACGCTGTAGAGGCAGTTTCCACGTAGACGTTCAACTTATCCATGCATTAAATTGTAGCGAGAAAGGTGTGGGAAACAGAAAAATTTTCAAAATTTTCTTTGTTTTTTTTTTTACCTTTCTTTTTTCCTATATTATTATTATTATTATAAATTTAGACAGAGAATAAATTCTAAGACTAAAGTCTTAAAGCACTAGCATATCTAAGGCTTTCGGCTTTATTACAAAACTCTACAGCACTTGAGATTTGAACCCACGATCATTGAGTTACTAATCGAGACTCTTGCCGCTCAGACAGATTTCGTTTTTCTAAAAACCATTCTGCATTTTTAAATCTCATTCATTGAAAATATGGTAGAACTTATCTGATTTAATCATGCTAACCGTATCGCAATGTAAATGTGATCGTGATAGCGATTACTTAGGCTTTACGAAGGAGACCAATCAACAACTTTGTTGCCGAAACCGGCCTGTCGATTACAGAAAAAAGGATTTATGACATATTATAAAAGGCAAAATCATCTCGAAACTTCTTCTTTAGTTGAGCAGTTCTGAGCGCGTCAAAGAAGTTCAAAAAGTTAACATTATTGCAAAAAAAAAGCAAAGCAAAAGATCACTTTCTGCTCTTCACTCCAAACGTGGCAATCTACCCTCTGCCTATGTAATAATAGATGCCGCAAAGCAAATCCAATTTAATCATATCGCATAAGAAAGTACTGCGACATTTACAACTCTTACGACTCTTGTTCGGAAAACTAACGTCAAAACAATTATCAGCAGAGATAGCTTGTCCGCCAGAAAAGGTGTTCGAAATTAATTACATTCCAACTGCAACCCCATTAACAAAATAAGAAATATCGTCGCCCTCTTACGGAAATAGGATTAGATTTACTACATTTACAGCACCAATCAATTTGACGGGTTTGTTGTTGTGTGATGATCAAGCTTAAAAATGGTGTATACACAAAGGTAGATAATTTCAGATGTCATATATTGTCTGCCATTATTTTCTGGGCTTAATTATTTGATTGATGTGATTGGCGTGATTGGGTCACATACGCTTTCACAATGTATAAAAAAAATAAAACAAACTTCGGGGAGTAGCGACAATCTTTTCAAATTTTCGTATATAAGTTTCGATTCCCTGAATATAGTTTTGAAAACTGCGTGTTCGGCGCAAAAGCCGTCCCAATCGTCCAAACCTAACAATAAAATTTAGATTTCAACTTATTTTTAAGGTATTTTAATGGGATCGAAAGTTATACACCAAAATATGAAAAAATGCATTTGTAATCTAATTGTAATTGGGTGGGAAAAACAGTAATGTACGTTAGAATAAAAAGGAACAAGTTAATAAGAACCGACAGATAAATAGCGCCGATAATATTTGCTGCTAGTGCTCATCTTGCTTTAATTCAAGCATTTATTTTTTTAAAATAAGTAAATAATAATAATAATAATAATAATAATAATAGTTTCTGTTTTGTATAAAAAATAATTTCTAAGTAAAAGTTGATTTATTATTATGTTTATGCGCATATTGAGTTCTTCTTCTTCCAATTCCGATATAAACGTATGCGGTCATGAGGTTGTCTACGTACTTGGTGGATACGTACGTTAGAAATTAAAAAAAAAAAAAAAAAAAAAAAAAAAAAAAAAAAAGTTGGAATTTATCAATAATTTTCAAAAGTTGATCCTAGACAAATTACCAGATACGTAGTATTTGGGCATAACGTCAATATAATACGATTCCTAATTTGCCTACAGTCTATTGGATAATAGGCGAGATCGCATTGTATTGTAAGGCAATTAAAATGATTATCTCGCAATCGTCTTGCAATTGCAGATGCCAATCAGATCGTTCTTAAGGGAATAGACATCAGCAAGATTACACCTGCAAATGTAAATAAGTAAATAAGTAATAATAGATAGCCTTTCAGGATTTTTATATATTATGGTAATGGCATCAAAGAAAGAATATGAAAATCATACTCATCACGCCTAGAGCAACTACAATGCTGAAATAATCTTAAAAAGAAAGCAGTAATTTTTTAATAATGAAATTTTCATCGACAATCTATGCTTTATAGCATAGTCGTTCTGAAATTTGAGGAAAGTGAAAAGTGAGATGTGAGAAGTGAGAAGTGAGAGTGAGAGGATTATTTCAAAGTGATTCGCAAATGCTTAACTTTTGGTGAGAGCCTTTTCTTGCACTAACGCTACACTCGTATAGAGGGCTTGACCTCTCTACCGAATGCATTATCTGATCTCCCAAAACTAGTAAAATTATGTATTAATTAACTACGTCGAAATAAATGCATTCGTAATCCCTGCGTCGTTAAAGAAAAAGTGTTTTCTATATAAAGTGTTGTTTGGACAGTCTACATTGCTATGAATCACTAGGAAAATGGTTTAATAGGTTTCACGCTTTGTTTGCAACGTCTAGAATTGACTAACGGTAATTACCTATAAATGTGACATGAACTTGATTGAAACGCAAGTTCAAAGCGATTTAGTGATGTGTGGGGAAGAGTTGGATGGCATTTCTTACACAACTTGCAATTTGGTAATTACTGAAAATGACATGTATTTGCTAATCGTTGTGGCGATTTTCTAAGCAATATTTTCTACTATTTTATATTTTTTAATACAAACAAGGAAAAGCGAGGGTAAATTGTTAAGATTACGCATAAAATAACCCAATTCTGTTCCCCAACTACAAATATCGTTTGTACGTTTAACTTAGGTATTCACATATTATAAAATTAATATAAATTAATTGAGAAAAATTTGGACTAATTTCGCATATTGAATGGTAATGATCGCAGCTCTTATTAATTATAAAGCTTTTGGCTACGAGTTCGTCAAATAAAATGAAAAAAAGAAGAGAAAAAAGAACTATAACTATGTTAGGTATGAAGAGATTCGGCTTAAACTGAATATAATCTCTTTACTCTTTGGTTATATTTCATTTTATCTTCTTTTTTTTTTTACCAAGTCAAGCGGTTAGTTGTGTTTTGACCACGAAACGAACACGTTTTAAGCTTTGTAAACCAAAGGAAAACTTTACTATTATTTATCAAGACGGGCACGTAAACGTTTATTTGCCGCTGTGGTTGATTATTTATTTTTGGATTTTGGAAGCCGTATGTCATAGTGTGCAAAAAAGCAACAAAAGAAAAAACATATATAAGCTTGTATGTTGATGTGAAAAGCGAATTAATTATATTTCAAAGTAAAGTGAAATTATATTTCAATACCTTAAGACATCAGTAATTCGCTGAGACAAATAATAACTACCGCAGCATATACAATCTCGATTTGTTTTCTGAATGTTTTATTGGTAAAGCAATGCTGCTTTTTCAGCAACATTTGTTTGAAAAGTATTTGTAAGTAATCTGGAATTTATAACTAGTAAGTGCGGGTGCATATGCAATTGAAAACAAAGGAAAGAAAAGCGAAACGGATTTTTAGAAATTTTGCTTAATATTATTTATTATAACTTGTATTTGTATATATATATATATATATATATATATTTTTTTTTTTTTTTTTTTTTTCTTCTAAATTATTATACTTTGATTCAATTTCAATAGGCCGCGACCATAAAATGGAAATCTTGCTACAAAAAATTAAGTAAAAATGGGATCAATACGTTGATACGTTGATCATTGCGTCGACTTCTTGACGCGAAAAATCTTTCTTGGCATAAGCATATTATTAAATAAGCATATATAAAATTGTATAATATAAAAGAAAATGTTCAAAGAAAAAAAAAAAAAAAAAAAAAATTAATAAATATATGCAATAATTATAAAAGGGAGTCTCAAATGAAGTGAAATTACCTACCACCTGTAGATTCGAAGCGTTCAGATATTACATTTATATATTATCGTTAATTAATCGATCGAAAAGACCATGCAACATATACGCAAAGTTCATATTAATTATTCAATAATTAAGAATTACCAATAGTACATAAAATTAATAATTTGTAATAATATAATGTACACTATAACATAAGTATAGAATTTACCTTACAAATTATTATTATATCTAACCCATCGAAGGACAAAACTATACGAAATATATCACGCTAATTGTAATATCTACAAATGCGGACCTATCGTATTTATCTTTAATCAATCCATATCTGTTCGTCAAATAATTTTTCAATCTCTATGACGCATGTAAATTGAATTGACGGCATTAGATCAAGTTCGAAAATGGATCTCTTACGCCTGCAATAGCCAAAGCAGTGTACCTTTTATCATATATGTTACGGAATCTATTCACTTGCTCGAGGTGAAAATCATATAGGTCGATTTGCACACCCTTAGTTGAAGAGACAGTTCGAAATTGAGAGAAGCTTGCCTTAAAGCGATCTAAAGATCTACGATTTTCTCGTTCATCGACAATACATTATAACTATTTTTAGTTTCGAAATTTGAATATTTTCCGCCTAGATACAAAATTAATTCACTCTTTGCTCGAAGCAAAATTAATTTATTCTATGTTTAACATAAATGAAATGCACATATGAAATCAGTTTAATTTTTATGCCGCCATCAGACAATTAAGCCATGATGTAGAATAATATTTTACCGTTTGCGTTAGCAGCTCGAAATGCTTCATCTGCGTATTTCTTTGAACAGATTCTGGCCATTTTCCGATAATTGTTTTCGGTAATTCGATGCTAATGTTTTGGGACTTGTTCCAAATTGTAATCGAGCCACTTGTACATACATCTACAGCACCTGACAAAAAGAGCCAAAATGCTTCTATTAACATAATCAGGCTGAGAGTTTAAAGCGAATGTATTTTTCTTGTTTACCTTGCACTCGAGGCTCGCCTAGGATTACAATTTTTCATTCGTTCAAACATTAGAAATGTTCCTATTAGGGAGGTTTCTTCTCTGATCAGTTCCAATATTATGTAAACAGCGGCAAAAATCAGAAAGTTATTAATAAAATTTTAACTTTCCATCATAATTTTCCCAACAATACGCAAACAACGGATTTGTATCACGCATATATGCGTACATGAACATATGCCAAAAAGTGTTGAGCGCCAGATCGAAGGTAGTAGTATCGTGAATATTTCAATTTACTGGACTACAAGCTTATAGGCTAACTGCTTATTGAAAATTTTTCGCCACCACTCTTATGCATGTACACATGTATTTGCACATGCTTATACATCTATTTAGATATTTAACCTCGCTTTGTGTGATAAAGTCCGTTAACGTTTTTGTTGTCTTTATATAAGTAATTAGTTGATACGTAAACAACTCACGCACCCAAGTATTTGTTTTTTTGTAAAAGTGCATAATTATTATTTGAATAAATAATGCATGCGTTTTATTTAGGGTTATACGCGCTTCCAAATCGAAAAGAGGAAACATTATATTATGTTTGAAGTTTAACGAAAAAAAGAGATGAAAACAAGTAAGACAAGTATGAAAATTACATTCGGTCATGACCGAATATACTCATATACTCATCACCGTTGTCCCAAAAAGGGCTAAAAAAATGAAAATAACGATGCAAAGGAAAATAATGATTTTTTCAATTTTCAAAATAGTCTGTTGTAAGTAAAATACACGGAAAGCAAAAGTATTTACAGTTTTTATTGCATAGACGTGTGGGCGTTGTAGACATGTTCTTCGATCGGTTTGAGTCATTTTAAAATTTTTTTGCCACAAAATGTTCACCACAAATACTGCACAGTTGGACCTGTCAAGACTTTATATACCTTATGAGGTTTTTGAAGCCTATCTTTGAGCATTGCAACGGTATTGAATATATATTAAGTTTTAATATACCATAATACAGTGTGGGCGTGATGAATCTCTACCATTTTTGTTCAGATGCTACTGCCTAGCCCATAAAATATATGTTCAAATTTTTGTAGGTTTCTGTGCCATTGCTTATCACTGATGAGCAAGCAACCAATATATTATTCTTTTTGAAAAACAGACTTATACTCTGTTTTCGTGGTACTGTGGGCGTATCCTTCGGCCGATTTCATCCATTTTCCATACGTGCGAAAACTTGCAATATTTTTACCAAAGTGTCTAATCATTGGGGTTGGGCTCTGACACTTTTCCTGGACGTTCTCCTCATCCATCGGTGATGGCTATAAAAACAAACTATGAATTTTCAAGTAAACACCAAACTTAAAACACCAAAGTATAAATAAAACACAGTCATTCATGAATTTGCACATATGTTAACATTCCCAAGTAATTCCCATTATAGATGGAAAATTTTTAATTTATTTTATTAAATAAATAATTATTCTCACGCATCTACCACGTCATATGCGCGCATGACTATGTGAATATGTGGTCGTACGTGAATACTTTCATAGGACCTGAATAGTTTTTGTTCTCCTGTGTTCCTTTCAATGGATGCATGGTTATGTATATAACCTCATATGCATGTGCATATATGTGTATGTATTGGAATATATTATATATTAGAGTTGAAATTGGCTGCCACTATATTGTCACTAAGTACTCACTTCCCGAGTTTAAGATTCCAGTAATTTTATCATTCCTTTGTTAAGCCGCGAACGGAATGACTTTTGTAATAAATCAATTAAAATTCAAATTGAATAATTATCCCAAGTAATCAATAAATATATTGTGTGTGTGCAAATGTAAGTAAATAGTTGGAAAATGGAGCCGTAGTTGATTGTTATTATGCAGCTCCTCTCTCATCTACCAACAGAAGTAAAATGCACAGCTCTATCTATATCTTTCTTACAGCTCTTTCCTTCCTGGCCCCATCTATTTAGATTTGATTGATTCCTTATCGTCTCTAAATAAATGGAAGTGATTTTTGTTGAAAAATTATTCGATTCAGCTAAGAAAGTCGCTGGTCTAACCCAAACCTACTTGAGGAAACTTGCAAAAGAAAGCCTTCCTTTTGTTACGCCCATAAACAAAGGGTGAGGAGTGTACTCATTTTGTCAACACGTTTGCAACGCTCCAAAGGAAACTTCGGAGCCCGCTTCCTCGCCCCGGCATAAATTATACATTTTCTTGATCAGCATCAAATTCTGAAACGATTTAAGCATGTCCGTCTGTATATACATTCTGTCTGTTGTATACATTCTCCAAAAACATTAGAAGTTTTTTTCACATAGATTGGTATTGAAAATAAGTCAGATCAGTCGAAGAACACACCTACAATACGACGTAAGTGAGAACATCTCTGTTCTTCACAAATGTGTTTTTTGATCATTACTTATTATAAACCACAGCCGATAAATCTGAAGGCATATTCTATGGGCTATGCTGTAGTACCGCCAAATAAATGCAAAAAAAAGTTTCCCACATCCACTCAATTTAATAGTGTGTCATAATTTCATTGTTCTTTTTTTTGAAACCTTTGCAACGCACACAAGCTAATTTTTGGCCACATTCAAATCCGAAATGCATGTAAGCCTGTCCGTCTGTTCCTGCCTGTGCCCATCTGTCCAACTGTGGTCTATCTGTTGTAAAAGTCAGCTGCGCCCACCCAATATTCTAGAGTATAAAAATTTAACTCTTTTCCTTTTTTCTGTGTTGTTTTGGATAACGGTATAAAAGATTTGCTTAAGATCGGAAATAATCCTACTATCCTACTTGTTTTGCTTTCTTAATGTCATAGGAAATGCATTTTGGAAACCCGAACAGCTTACGAAGATATGAGGAAAAAAGCCGAGAGGGGGCCTTATATCAAAAGTTTTTTTATTTTTTATTTTACATTTTCATACGTTTTTTTTTTTATCGAATACGCCTAATCTGTTATCCATTATCAATGTTTAATATACTTGTTACACTCAGAAATCCATGAATATATTCATTTTCTGTTTCATAGGCACCATAGAGAAGTGAGATTTGTGAATTGATCGTTTAAGATTTACACGTGATTTGATGTAAACTCAATGGACATGTACTCGGTTAGCGGGTTGAAGCGCAGTATACAACTTATTTGTTTATTAGCAATTGTTGTCACGGGGTTTCTCAACTCTGCCGGGGCAAAACCAACACTGACGTTTAGCCTACCGCAAAGTTTGCAAGGATTCCCTACGTTAACCTCGTTTACTCAACAGATCTTTGAAAATCGCAATGCCAGGCAAGTGAAAACTTACAGGTAAGTTTCGAAATTGATAAATATTGTTTTTAATGAGATGACTTCATGGATTGCTTTTCCAATATATAGCGGTCAGCGTTTATCCAACAATTCTCTAATTATGATTTATTATCATGATACGACAATAGCAGTAACTGAGTTAGGAGCACGCAAGCTATTGTTGGGCTGTGAACTTATAGAAATCTAGTAAGCTGTTCACTTATTTCTCATTAAAAAATATAATTACAATTGATAGGTTATGTTTCCGTTATAGCAATGATCAGGAAGGAGTGGTTTTATTAAAAGATTTGTCCAAATATAATCGTCCTCTAGAAATAAGGTTTGATGAAATGATTAAATTGATGAACCAGTGCGAGCGTGTCGACAAACTCATCTTTGCGGCGCGTCAAAAGACCCAAAAACCGACTAATAATCCAAATGATGGCAACGAAAATATAGCTTTCAATTTGGGCACAATAATATTTCCAAAGAATCCCCTTTCGATATTAAGCGGCATAATACCAGGTAAATTATAAATCTTCACGCAATAGCGATAAGCGAAATCTAATAGCTTACGTATTGTTATCAATGGGACAGGTACAAAATGGTGTGGCACTGGTGATATAGCAGATACTTATAATGATTTAGGCACCGAAACTAATATGGACCGTTGCTGTCGGCAGCATGATCTGTGTCCTTTAAAAATACGTGCATACCAAAGCAAATACGGCCTGACAAATGATTCCTTATATACCAAGTGATTTTGGTTTTCTTTTTATTACTTTATTACTTTATTACACGTCAATTAATTTATATTTCTTTTAGATCCCATTGCACTTGCGATGACATGTTGTTTTCTTGCTTAAAAAGAACTAATACTTCAGCCTCTCAATTAATGGGATCGATATATTTCAATTTGGTTCAAGTGCCCTGCTTAGCTAGAGTCAATAATCGTTATCAGTATAGGCCGGCCAAGGAAGGCTTCTAAAACAAACTTGCTTCGCCCATTATTTTATTATTTTATTTGTTTTGTTATTTGTACATTTTATATAAAAAAAAAAAAATATTATATTTTATTTGTTGCGTCGTGTAATTTATGAGAAATTTATTGAATTGTTTCACACAATATCTATTTTTTAGACACAAGACTTTTTTTAAAATTATGCTAAGTTTTAACTATATGTTATAATTATATTTAACTTATATTAAATTTATAAAGAACGATAAAATTTCAGTTAATAGAAAATGTCTTATATCATGCTATATGTCAATCAAAATACTTCTCCGAAATTGAACACAATTAAAATTACAAAAAAAGCTAACCTATGAAAGTTTTATTCGCCTCAGGCAGCATCTTTGTTATCTCAAACTTACTCAGAGGAATTGCTGCAAATTGTAAAATGATTTGTTATGCCAATTGCTGGCGAGCCAGTTAATCAATCGAAACATTTCTTCGTGCATTGAACATTCGTACCGTGTTTGGACCAGCTCGAATATCTCTTATAAGTGAATGGGTGAATTAAATTGTTTTCGCCTTGTCTTCTGTAGCAAGGTATGCTTATAAGCGAATCGTGTCTATTTTCCCAATTCAGTTTTAATGAGTCTTGATATATATGTTTTAATTAATATCTGCTACGGTTTGAAAGTACCATTTTTCTTTTCTTTTTTTTTTTAAATATGAACTTAATAACATCTCCATATTCAAACTTGATTTACGTCTATTAACTAAAAATATGTAATCTAAGTTCAACTCCCATGATCATGGTCGTTTCAACGATGCACCAGAGGTATTGATCAAGAATAAATATGCATGCATATTCGTACATAAATATATATAACGGCAACTATGTAAGTGTGTACGTCTGTGTATGTTCATTTCTCTTTATCTCAAGTGGTTGGAGGGAGACACCTAATGCACGCACCGTAATGCGTATAAAGGAGTAATTTTTTTAACTTATTACCTTTTTTTAGTTATCTCTTCGGTATCAAAAGTAAAAAATTCTGAATACACTTAGCTTTATTATCGACTTTATACTGAAATATTTACATCTTGTCACCTATGCTTCTATGCCCAAGAGAATGCAGAGAAAGTCCCTTACAACAATACAATATCAGTTGGATGCAACAACAAGTGCGTAACTGCCCAAACAAAACGAAAGACGAAAAAAAGATTACAAACTCCCCTTTCTAACAATAGATATCCGAAACGAATTTACTTGGCGTTTAGAATATGAACTATGATCCAAGTTATATTGAAAACTATATCTTTCTTGCATAAATAATGAACATCTAAACATACCTAACGGATACGGACATGCGTCGATACACGTGTACGTACAGATTAAGCTTTCATGTCGCGAGAACATAAAACATATTTCAGATAAAATTTTTATTTCAATAAACTAATCATTTAACAGAGTTACGCGATCAATAATTGCGCACTTTCTATAAGTCTAGCTAATTGAAAGAGAATTAAAGTGAAGCGAGTCAACAATATATAATTTTATTCAATTTCACACATTTATCAGCTGCAGAGCGTGGGCGCGAGCTATGTATTCAATTGATAGTTGTAACTGAATAAATATTGATAAAACTAGTCTACTGCAGACTGCAGGCGAATGCAGTCTCCTATATTGTATAAAAAAAAAAAACATCTGTTTAGTTTACCCATACAAACAAGGGCCAATTTTTGTCGTTTTATTTAAAATAATTGACTGGTTTTATAAATCCGTTTTATTAGCTGTGAAAGAATGCTTGCGGGACTCTTCTATTACAGAGCAGAAAAGACAGGTTGTCAAAAATGGAATAGTCTTTAATGCGGCATAGGTGATGTTTTCTATAAACGAAACACGATGATGGCCTGAACGAAGTGGCGAAAGAGAAAGAGATAGGGACTGACCGGCCACAACCGAGTCGACGTGTGCTCAATCAGCAATATGCGTTTACCAACTGAGCACTTAACCCAATTACCATAAAAAGTACGGTCATCACACTGCAATGAGATTTAAGTCTCCGAACACGGTCCAAACCAAATTTAAATCAAAAATTTTTCTTCAAGTTGATAGCCGCCATTTCGATATCGTTAGTTTAGCGAGCCAAGATTCTACCCTACATACTTATTTAGTACATAGCATTTTTAACACAGGTACGTTATATCAATTAAAACATCTTTGGATGGATAATATATGAGATAACTAAATAAATAGGGACACCATGAGCGAGAATCTTCGAAAATACAAACTGGAAAAATCTCGCGGCCTTTCTATTGTGCGCTCCTTCATTCTCATTACATAAATGGGTAAGAAAGCTTACCGGTGCTACCGATCATTGACGACACTCCAATTAATAATATATATTTTGCTGATTCTTTCACAGACCCAATAGCAAAATAATATTCCATTTTAGCCTTTTCAATATAAAGTAGACCCTAAATGACATAGCGATTTATATTAACGCTATCTGGATCCATTGCAATGGAAATTTGTTGGTAATCTTCGTGCTGCCGAGAATATATTAAAATTCATGTCACTATCTAATTTGTGCCCGATTTCGATCAAATTGCATGATAAGTTCAGTTCTCATGGGGATGTAATTAATGCCAGGTTTTTTAAACATGTGCCAAAAGAGGAAACACTTCGTGAAATCAGTAACCGAGTTGTAACTGAAATTTACTCCAAACTCCAAATGAAACCAAACGTTGATCAAGCAAATATCCTACAGCCTAGAAATCTTAATGCATCCGCAACATCAATTCCCAACGCCAATCGACCACTTATAAATTGTAGGCCCAAAGTATCACTCAAATTTGCCCACTCCTAGCACTTCAAGCGTGCGCAACCGCTTGAAAGGTAAATTCGATTTTTCCGTCGATAAGAATAACGAAATAATAGCGCAAAATTGCCATAGCGACATCTTTGACGACAATTACTACATGTTAACACAGCCAACCTACTTCCAACCAACCGCTTTCATGTCATCAAAATTAAGTAAAGATTTTCAAACTCAACATAGGAATATCAAAAGACCTATTTACACTTTGAATGAACTGCTTACGCTTACATGTGATTTCAATCCCAATTTAAAGCTGTTCAAGAGACCTACTGAAGATGTTCCTCTAATCCAATTCCACTCAAGACCGGATACGTCTTGAATGTTGACCAAAATTCACATTTAAGATAAGGAATTGGCGTCTTATATAAAATTCAACGGCCCTCACAAATATACAGGCCATAGCGACACAAATAACCTTCAATAAAAAATGAACAGTGCTTTTGCTTTATATCCCAGAGTCGAAATCGTTCTCCCAACAAAAACTTTGTTCTCCGCGCTTACCCCACATTTAGTTACATGGAGTGGCCCTAATAATTGGAAAACCATCTGGGGATCGACCGGAAACCATTGTCGTGGTACTGTTTAAGAAAATGCCTTCATTCAAAGCAATCTCTGCATTTTAAGTTGTGGAGGATTAACATATCTTTCAACTCATCACTCTCTTTCGCATATTTGTTTAACATGGTGGTTCCATCATTTCTTTTTTCCGTTTCCTGGTCTCTATTTGCGGTAATCTACACAACAGCGTTCACTTCCCCATCATAACTTGTCTTAATCGTTCAAACTCTTCAGTTACTCGAGCAAAACAAGTTAAATTGCTCCTAACCAACCAAAGCGAACTGCATAAATTATTTCAAACGTTCCCAGTCATTTCACAATTCAACACTTTTCAACGGGAAGTGGAACCATGACGCTGCTCTCAATATCTCAATTCAGCAGCTATTTTATTATTATTATAATTATTATTATAAATTTAGCCAGAGAATAAATTCTAAGACTAAAGTCTTAAAGCACTAGCATCTAGGTCTATCGGCTTTTTTATTAAAAAACTCTACCGCACTTGAGGTTTGAACCCACGACTATTGAGTTGCTAGTCGAGACTCTTGCCTACTCGGCCACTCAGGCGGATATCAGCAGCTATTTTAAACGAGATGTCATGACGGTATTCATTCGCTATTATACAAAAAATCCAACGCTCAATTCAGAAAGAAATTGCAAAAATCAAAATCGGTCAGTTGTGAACTTTTTTCTCCAAAACTGTTCACAGAAAAATGTCAATGAAAATTGTATGAAAGAAAATCATCAAACAACGCAGTAGTTCAAATTCCAATGACACTTCCGCTATCTACAAATCCCAACGGAACTTCAACCAAAGCGTGTGATGTTTCCAATCATTTTGGAAAAATGTGGCATAATTACTCCTATAACGGCAGCTTTTCCCTTTCCTTTTCTTCATCAAAAATAAGGTAAGTTCTATTTTTCTACCGAATCTGTCGACATTGCTAGATGTGCTGTATTCCTGGAAAATCCTATTGAAACTTGAAAGCTATCCACCCAGATCAAAAGGGAAGGTACCCGAGTTAGATCGCATTTCATACTAAATAATCGAAGCCATGGCCAATTCAGGTACAAACAAATTATTGGACCTTTGCAATGGACCTTTATCGCATTAGACTACTGTCCAATCTCCCTGCTATCTTGTCTCTCAAAGTTATTGGAGGAATTAATGGTATCTAGGTTATCTTGAATCCAATAACTTAGCCAGAGCTAACAAGCATGTTTCAAACAGGGTAGAGCCTGTATGAACGCTCTTCTGCACGTCGATTATTCCACAACCAAAGCAATTTCTAAACGAATATCAATGTGACCAAAAAAATCGGGTAATGCCCATTAATAATTTACCAATACAAAATGCGCAGACATTCTATGTTCTCGAACTCATGTTCTCCAACAAACACCATTGAAAACATCGCACGTTGGACGGACAGTTAAGGAGGAAAGTATGGAATCAAATCTCGAATAATATTATCAGCACTATTCCATTGTTAACCCTCAGATATTCCCCCATTATATCCCACAAATATTGTGATAATCAAGATGAAAACATTTACAATTGTTCGCCATGTCCATACTATTGCAACACATCAGTGCAGATCCTTAAAAAATTATCTTCTCCTATCTCCACTTATGGAAAAATTCTTACAGTAAAACACATTCTTTAGAACTGCCTAAACTTTTTCTTTATTAGAACGAGCACATTCGGAACAACTAACGCTATAAGCATCCTGAAGTCAGGTACAGCACGTAATGCAAATTTATAGTATTATTTTATTAAAAGTGCTAAGCTTAATCGCCAATTTGCTTTTCTAAAATAAAGACGATTACCTGAGTTACTAGCACTCAATTATTTTTTTTTTCTAGTCTAGAATTTATTTCATTAATTAAATAATAGTAATAATAATTATAAAGATATAATAATAAAGAAACAAAATGAAAATAAATTATTAATAATATTCTAATTTATTGATAATCTTTTACGCTGTAACCTAATGAAATTGATTAATAAATAAAAGGAAGTTGATTAATAAATAAAGGCCTACCTTTCCTTATTTTCTGCAAAATTGCGTAAAAAAATGGCTATTATATTTTCTTCTGTCTTCTGTAAACTCTCTTCTATTTTACTCTAATTTTAAAACATGCTCTCTTGCGCTATTAATATTTTTTTTTTTTTTATTATCAGTTATTACTAAAAATGCTTAGTGATATGCTAAGGTGTGGATCATAGATATGGGCAATGATTATGTATCTTTTAGTTAACTAGCTCTCATTTGAAAGGCGTATCGTGACAATAATTTGGTTGATTTATGTATGGCTTTCGCCATTCGATATTTATTTCAAAAGATTAACGATTAAATTTGATGTTTGTTTACAATAACACAATGTCTACAATAACACAATTAATAACAAAACGATAAAAAGGTAATATTACGTAAAATTTTTAACGAAATAAGATAAAGTAAAATAATTTCGTATTTTATATTTTCATTTCTTAAGAAAAGTTGTGAGCCGTTTTTATTTGATGGTATATTTATAAATTAACACGTGCATTTTCCTATAAGGAATGTATAATTTTAAATGAATTGCAAATCGATCGTAATTTTGTATTATATAAATAAAAGCAAATTTTTTAATTTTGACAAAACAACTTACAGTGAATTTATTCTTTATATCTTGAATTTCCACGCAATCAAATTTGAATGTGCAGAAGATATGCGGATTTACATTTGCTCACTTATTCACCTCAATTGGGGGTCCTCTAGCGAAACATTGACATCGTCCTCAAATAAATTGCCTTGATCCAGGAAAACCTTGTGAATAAAATATTTACATGTATAAAGGCAAAACCATATATGTCAGTAGATTAACTCATATTCCATGCCGGCTATGCTTGCCGTCGCGGTTTGTCGAACATTCTTCGTTTTGTGCGGATCTACGAAATAAATTGTGGACTCTGTCCACGCATCCGTTTGAAATTGTAAATTTCCTATAGAAACACTCTTTTGTGTTGGCATTAACAATTCACCCGATCTATTCAGCACAAAGTTTTTTTTCAATTTCTTACATCACCTCTAAAATAACGATCGAAATGGTGGTCTGTGCAATGCTTAAGCAAAAATCGCTGCCCGCCAGTCATTGATAACCTCCAGACCGTAGCAACTGCAAAGTAAAAGCTAAACGGATCGTCGGAAACATATAGATTTTTCTTACGCCAATTTTTCCTAAAACAACAATTTACTTCTTTTTTTTTGTTTGATGGATTAGACCAGTTGGCGATAAGATTAATATATCCGCTAGACATATGAGTTTTTGTCATTTGTTGATTTGTTGTTTGTCTTTTTTTTAGTCTAAGAATTCAATTCGTTAGTCTAAAATTAAAATAATAATAATAAAAAAAATATTAATTAGATAAAAAGTAAAAAAAAAAAAAGAATTAATTTACATACCTTTCGCAAATTTAAAAATTTTTGTTTCGGTTCAGCTGCTAGTAATTAAAGACTTTTGTTCCCAATTTATTTTGTTTTCAATTTACAACTGTTTTCTATTCTAAATGCCGTTCTAAACAGTCGATACTAATGCAAAGCGTCAACAATTTTACTTATGACGGTTTTGACAATTCTAGGAAAGTGTTTCTCATACGTTTTGTGTATATATATAGCTAAAAAGGTCGAAACTTGACAATGAAACCTATTTAACACCATACGTTATGAATGCCCTTGATTTATTTGTTTGTATACATACAAAACCATATAGGGCCTGACCCAATAAGTCGTTGTTTCTATTTTCGGGTTATGATTTAAACTTTGCGGACTTTTTACAAAAATATATAGCAAGTGAAGTCCGTCTCCTTCGTTAAAAGTCATATTTTTCATTCTTTATTTCATTATTCAATCAAAAATTTAATTTCCTTTAACATTAATTTTTTTATCGTTGTTTTTCATATATTTGTATTTATTAAATTTCAATTAGCGCAGTACAAAGCCTTTCAAAGAACAACGAATGTGTAATGCAGCTTAATACCTGAATGTACACCTGAATGTACTGTAAACTTAACAATGCGACTTAGTGTCGAGAATACATAAGCCATAGTCCCAGAAACTATCTCTAAGCTATGTAAGATCCGCGACGTTAGAAGAGTATGCCAGAGAACCAGTTTATATTTAACCAATGGGGGTAAATGAATATTCTTAGAATATATAGCACGCAAGGTTCCCATAAACTATTTATGTCATCATCATGCTTCCCAGATGTGACGATGGTCGATAAATATACTCAAGCACTTAAGGATGTCAACAATATCTATTGTATAATCATCAATCAGGATATCCACCACGGGAGAACAATGATCATTATGACAAAAAAACATAACTTTTGATTTGGATGGGTTGATGAGTAGGATTTTCGGCAATAACTATTGAGAAAGAATTGTTTAGTTAAGTCCAGGGGCACTAAGGACTCCAAGTAGTTCTTATTAACTTTACACCTTATAGTATCAGTCAAGTTAACTAAAAAAACTGCAAGATTATAAGCACGACGAAGATCATATTGACCGAGTGCGACAACATTCAGAAAAGAGGAGAGAATCTGGTCTTTAAGAATGCGTTTTTTTTTTTTTTTTTTTGATTTGTAAGAGAAATGGATAAAGCCTGTAGATTAGGGTGTTATACACGACTAACGTGAATTGAAGAAATTTTTCTGTTGAATTGTTCCATTGGTTATAAAATTGAGGATAGCAGTTGCATGAATTCTGGTAGATAACATTTCGTTTGTTCAGCAGCAAAGATGTACATCTAGTCAGTACGGTACTGTCGAATTCCGGATGAATTTACCGGAAAATAGAATTGTAAGTGTAGGCTGTGTATTTGCTTATTAAGGTAGTAGTAGAAAAAAAGAGAATAAAAAGAAATATCAACGGATTTGATAAAGGCCGCCAGTTGTTTGAGAAGCGTATAATTACTAGCATGAAAAATTCGTATAAATTATTGTGCAAGTTAAAGAAGGCGAAAGGTTGTCTAAGGGTGTTGACCCTTCTGCTTTCAAAAATTAGATGCTCAGCTGACGGCGCAGTGTTGCATTTCTCACAGATAGCAGAGGGTCTTGGTCATTTTTAAATAGACGTTGTCATATGTATGATTACTCATGACTCCGTAAAGTATTTTACTTCTCTAAGAATGTGTTCAATAACTTTAGAACAGCAGCGAGAATATGTTTACGTTAATTTTTTTTTTTTTTTTTTTTGCTGATCAAACCGTATGTTTTTGTTTATACTTATTTTGATATCCTTAGTTTTTCTTGCGAAATATGGCAACGCAGCTTTGGTACTTGGTATATAGTAACTCGAACTAACGAGTTATTGCGTCAATCCCCTTAGGAAACGTTCTAAAACCATTTGTTTATTACAAATGAAATGCAACCATCCAAGTAGAACTTTATAAGAAAGCATACACGTTCGTATATTTTGTCAAGCTGTATTTATTATTATTAAATTCTTACGAAAAGCAGAAAAACTAAAATGACTTCCGCTACGGTAAGAAATGTAAGACCACATTCTGGACTAAATATTGGTGATAATGATCTTCACTCTGTTTCACTGCTTTTGGCCTCATTCAAATTTTCCCCTTCCTCTTAGACAACAATTCTAAATAGTGCTTCATAAAAATGTAAATTTGTTCCACGTCTCTAGGTGCCGCTACTTGATGATGACACGATACCTTTTGGGGAGGAAGATGAAATGCAAGATCCCGGCGCACTAAAAAAGTACACGTAAGAATTTTGTAATATTAAAAAAAGGTTAACAAAATTATTTCTTTGTATGGATATTCCAGACATCCTTATGTTACATTCTTCCATCTGTTTTTTCGTGGAACAGCAATTGTGCTATATATGTGTTGTGATTTGCTTAGTGAATCCTTCATAACTAGTTTTGTATTCGTGGTGTTGTTTCTTTCAGCGGATTTTTGGACTGTAAAAAATATAACTGGTAGACTGCTCGTAGGCCTACGCTGGTGGAATTACGTAAATGATGAAGGTGTCTCTCACTGGGTATATGAAGCTAAAAAGGTAAATATTTTTATTTCGTTGCGATCTGCAAGTAATTCTGTTAACATTTCTAGGGAAAAATTAATAAACATGAAGCGCGCATATTTTGGTTAGGTTTAACATTGTGTCCCATGTTCTGGGGATTATTTTTCATAATAGACTTGTTTGGTTTGAAATTTAAATGGCTATTGCTGGTAATGATAGCCTTAGCCTTGAATTGCGCCAATCTATACGGTTACATTAAATGTAATTTCGGTGCTAACAAAGATCTGAATACGGCGGCCAGCAACTTTGTAAAAACTCAAATTTTCAAGAACGCTATGGATATTATCACAAAACCAGCTCCGCAGCCGTCTACAGTACAACCCGCTGGTGTTGTCTAATCTCCATTGTTAACTTTGGTCGTTCCACATGGATTTAAGTATTTTGTTAATATTTAATTTATCTATTAATTAAATAATCTTTTTTTTTTTTATAAAAATTTGATTCATTATAAATGTTTCTAAAACATTTCAATTGTATTTATTTATTTATACATTGTATAGTTTTTTCCCATTGTAATAGTAGCAATAATAATATATAATACTTAACAATTTTTCACACGTGCAGAAGTCTGTGAATTCTTAATTATAATTAATCGATAAAAACGCAATTTTCTGCTGTATACAACGATTTAAAAGAGAAAGGAAAACGTTGAACGGTGAGACAAACATAAAAAAATTTACAGGAATAGTAAACAAGCAGGTGCATAACAAATAGACGAATTGCATCAAGTTTTTAGTTTGGCCAAAAGTTCTTGAATTTGTATTTTGTAGGCCTCTTTGCATTCTTTTAAATCAAGCTCCAACTCTTCTGTACGTTCAACTTTTTCGCCGTACATTTGCAATAAGGCATCGTAGCTTGTTTGCAGCTCAATGAAATTGCTTTCTAAGATCTGGTAACTGTGAATTTTTTCTTTTATCTAAAGACCAGAAATATATGAAAAATTTTGTATTGCTTGTATAATACATACATTTTCTAATTCCAGGGTTAACTGGGAGATTTCCACCTGCAATAAGCTCCGCTCGGCCTGCAGACGTGAAAGTTGCCACTGCAACTGAGCCAACTCCCCATCTCTTTGCTTTAGTAAGGATTGTAAATGCTCCCAAGTACTGGCATTATGATTTAGCAAAGCTAACCCCAAACCAGGCATTGTTGACGGCCTTCCAGGATTTGATATGCACTCCAAATCGTCCTGTGCTTTTTAGTGCTTAATAATTAAATTTTAATCTAAAACAGAACATCGCTACCTGGTGCCAATCTACGCTGTTAAGCATAGCATCTTCAAGTGAATTAATTCCCGCACTTATTGCCGGTGATTGTGGCCTTGGAGCAACGTCATTCAAATGCTGCCGCGCGTATTCACTTAGCGCAGTGCTTGATTCTTCACGTTCCAAATATTCTTGGGCGTTATTTAATTTACTTTCCATTTCTTTCAATTTTTGCTGTAAATTTGTTTGATTTTCTTCAAGACTTTTAATCTTACCCTGACTTAACTCGAGTTCTTCGTTAATTTCCGCAATTTCCCTTTAAAAAAAAAGCGCACGAATTAGTTCTTCTACACTCACCTGTATATACATACATAAATATATATATAAATTTGCGAAAACGTACTTGTTATATTTACTTTCGGCTTGTTTTAGTTCGAATTGCAATGCAATTTTTGTTTTTTCCTCTTGCATAATGGCGTGCGTCAATTGCTCTTCCAAGTCTTGACAACGAGATTTTAGTAGATCAGCTTTTTCATTTGATATCTTTTCTATATTTTCCAGAGCCTTTAATCGTGACTGGGAGTTCTCTACTTTTGCCAAAAGGGACTTTTCTTCTTTATTCCAGTTGTTGGTGCGTTGATTTAACGTGTACTGCAAAGATTCCAAATGACGCATTAAGGGAATTGTTGTCTGACTGATTTCTTGTGTAGATGATTCCGCTCTCAATTCAGCTGCCTCCAACCGTGTCATGAGATGGCGATTTTCTTCACGCAAATGTTGCTCTCGTTTAATTGCTGCTTGCTCGGAAAGTCGTAACTTTTCTCTCAGTTCTTGCAGTTGCTGTTGTAGCTCCTGATTTGCCATTTGGATAACTTGTTTTTCTCGCTCAGCCATTTGCACAGCTTCCGCCGTTTTTGTAAAATCAGTATGTTGTTTGGATCTTTGTTGCAATTCAGCTTTGACTGCATCGAAACTTTTTTGTAGGGTATTGAGTTTTTGCGTTACGTCATCTAATTTACTGTTCAAATGAGCATTTTCTTTTTCAAGTTTCTGGTTTTCAGACACCATTTTATGCACCGCCTCAATTTGAGTTCGCTCCACATCTTCTTTCGCGGCTAGAGTCCTTTTTAAGCGTTCAACCTCGTCATTAGCTATAGTCAATTGATCACTAAATGTTTTAAGTTGTATATTTGTCGCTTTTTCTTTACTACGCAATTTTTTAATAATATTCGATTGTTGAAGGATTTCCTTGGATAACTTCTCGCCTTCTTGTTTCAACTCAGTAGTCATGATTTGGCTTTCGCTGAGAGCTTGTATTAAATCATTTTTAGGAATTTTGGTTTGGAGTTCTTTGATTTGGGAATGCAATGTTTCACGTTCCCGTATGCCAGCTTGGAATTTCTTTTCTAGCGATGACATACGTTTCGTATAATCTTCAGATGTTTGCAGACTATTGACGTCCACTAAACTTTGGAGTTCAACATTGCGTTCTCGAAGCATTGAGTTTTGTCGTTCAGATTCTAAAAGACGAAGCTCCCTAGCTTCAACAATGCTGTTAAGCTCTGAAATACGATTTATTAGTTTTTCTAACTCATCTTCGGATTGAGAATCAATTGATAATATTGATATTTCTGAAGATTCACGGCAATGACCCTTTCGATTTACATTGCTGCGTGCGGAAACTGCTGGTACTGACGATCGCAAGTTAACTGATTCCGATTTCTTTAGTTTTGTCGAACTTTGACGTGTCATATTACTGTTTGTACTGGAAGCATCCCCATTAGGGCTAGATATTATCTCAATATCAGACGAAGTGGCCGTTTCCCCTTCATCATTAGAATTGTTAGGGGAAGTATCGCTTCGACTGCTTGGTTCTTTACTTTGATTTGTTCGAGCCTCACTGCTGTCTGCGAATTGCGGTTGCACATCTTCAAAACTTTGTGTTGAATCCGAGTCAATTGTTTGTAATTCGAAGGGATTTTTCTGTGGGGAAATAGGCTGATTCTTATTAGCACCTCGCAGTGTTAAATCTATGAGCAAGTGAAGGTTAGAAACAAATTCTTAATTTTAAATGAGGAAGTAAACGTATTTTACCTTCAGTTTCATTTATTGCATTTATCAGCACTTTATATTTAGATTCATTAGAGGGTATAAGTTCATTTAGCTGGTTTATGGATTCATTTTCAATATCCACGTAACCATCACTGGAAGTGCTAATGACAACTATGCTTTCCCCCACTGATGAAGGCACGATAGCGCCATCACAGTCAGGTGATATCATTTCCACAGATTCTGGGGTTGCCGCTGTATCTTCAGAATAAAGTAATATCTCCGGAAAGGACAGGACTTCCCCAGGATAACGACCTTTGTTAACGTCTTCCTTAGTAGACTTACTGTTTAAAGATAAGGGAGGTGTCAGTGCGGCGATCTCCTTAACTATTTCACCAGCTTTCGGTGGCGTTGTTATCATTTCATGTGGCCTGTTGTCAACTAAAAACAATTCCGGTGAAAAGCAGGAGTTTGAGAGGGCTGACATTCCACTAGACTCTTTTTCAGTGATCGCGCTACTTTCCAAGTTCGAAGCTGCGAGGGTCATTTGATCGGATACCAATCGACGACTTTGACTATCTTGTGATATATAATCGGTTTGTAAGGTGCTTATGGAACGATCGATTCCTTCCAATTCGTCCTCTTGTATATCCAAAACTTTATCAATTTTTTTCTGAGCTTCTTTCAGAGCAGTTTTCGCCAGACTGGCCAATCCCTTTGTATCAAACCAACTCATCTTTGCAAAAATTACCAACTAATATAATCATCATTAAATAGCTTTTTCCACAATCAAAATTATACGTACTTTAGAAAACTCTTAACTATTAACTTCGTTTTTCGTGTAACAATCCTAACTGTCATATTCGTTTGTATTGTTGCCAAGATTTGACTTTTATTTTATTTTCATATTTCTGGATTTCTATAAACCATGCTCATCACGTAAATTTCATTGCAAAATTTTTTTAAGAAATTTATTTAAAGAATTTTCTACTACGTACGCAGAAATTCAGCTAGAAGTCCAAACAATATGAGACAACGTATACACTTTATCAATAAGCGGAAATAGCGGAATTTATTTATCTGTAGAAAATATCAGTTCGACAAAGACTTATTGCTTAAATGAATAAATTTAATTTTTGAGATATATGTTTTAAGCTAGACAGTTTAGAAAATTGTTCAATAAGAGCGCTCATGAATAGCGATAAATCTATTATTATGCCTATGACCGAAGGATGAGGGATATATCCATTTTGTTAAAACGATTGCAATGTCCACACGAAACTTCAGAGGTATACTATACTAGGTGTTTAACAACAAAGATGATGTGAAGTTAAAAAGATAAGCAAATCATTACAGGGATATAGAAAAAAACTAGTATAACTAGAGAAATTGGTATAATGAAAAAAGCATAATCTAGATAGCAAGATACGAAGTTCTTGATATATTGTCTCGTTGTATATATATATAAATTTATCGGCAGCATTGCAGAAAATCAATATAGACATAAACTAAAAGTGCGGTAATTAAACATAATCAACAAGAGTCTCGACACCTTTGTACTTTTCGTGGGGTGCGCAGCACCACCTGCTTTTTTCTACTTTATACCGGCAAGACTTACTTACAGCCCTCAATTACCTTGGACATCAAGTGGCGGCTATTTAAATGCATTTCCCAAATTTTTTAAACTTATAAGATTTTCCTCCGTCTCTGTCGGTTAGTGGTTATACTTTTTTGCCTATAGTCTAGCCCGAAAACTAAAAGTTGCCCGCCCCGCAAAAGGGAGAGGCTTATAAAAATGTTGTCTAATAGTAATGAATTTGAAAACTTTGAACGCAATGCTCACAGTCAGAGTCTACTCAAGAGGAAAAATACCAATCAACATAAAAATTCTAAGGAGAAAAATATTGATGAGGATATTTTGTCTCAAGACTGCCTATTTGCCTAATACCACTACCTCAAATTCAACGACCCCAACTATTATATATAAGAAAATTGTGGATCTTAACAAGAATAGTTTGGATTCCTTTCATAGTAGTTCTAATAATATTTCTATAAAGGAAACAAATCAAAACCTAGCATATCCGAATTTATATGATAACGAAGTGACTGGGGAGCGCTTTGTTATGCTTGATGTCGGTAATAACGATACAGATAAACGCATGCGCCTAATTCAGATGTGTTTTTTTTTTTAACACATTAAAGATTTAAATTTGGATAGTCTGGTTAGCATCAAAACCATAAGTAATGGCAACGCTACATTTTGCTTTGATAATGTCGTGAATGCAAATCACTTCATAAAAAATAATGACTTCCCAATTCAACGTTGTAAAGTGAAAAAGGAAAATTTTTTAAATTCTGCAGTTTCTGAAACTGCGATTGGTTTAGTTACAAGACTGCATAGAAGAGATCCCTCTTAAAAAGGAATTTTTATTTCCACAAAGGTTTACTTTAAGGGAAAATTAATCCCCAAAAGCATTAAATTTAATTATTGCAATGTCCCAATGCATTACTTTATCCCTCCATGGTTTAATTGTGGCCGCTTTGATTATGTCACCAAATTTTGTAAAAGCACGGAAGGCAGATGCCTAAACTGCGGCAAGTCACCTGCCTGCCCCATCAACTCTTGTAAGGGAACCAAATGTTTAGGATGTGGGCATAATGTTAAATATAAGGAGAGTCCAAAAAGGAAAAAGGAGGAAGACATTAAAAAATCTTAACGACCTCAAATATTTCTTTTAGAGAATATAACGAAAAATTCTCTAATAAATTTTTTAATATTTTAAACAATAATTATGAAGAAAATTTCCCGCCAATTAAGAACAATTTCAAATCCAACAACATAAAAAACCCGATTTTAGATACAAACAACATGTTAGTGAAAAAGAATTTTAATCAGGTAGTTAAAAATAGATAGAGTATTCATAAACCTATGCAAATTGTGATACAAAAGAATCCTTAGAATTACAACGCTATGAAAAAAAAAACCCCACCTCTCTAAAGAATACATTTTCACTACCAACAATCAACAGAAATGGAAAAATTATTGGAGAAAATTTTCAAAATTTCTTTCACCATTCTTGAAGAGAAACCAAAAACCACCCAAACAAAAATTGCAGCCTTGGAATCAGCATTTCAACTTGTAAGACAAGGTTCATCTAATTCGGTTTTAAAGCATAATCCACATCGGGCAACTCCCCTGAGTAAATAATTAAAAAAATCTTTCAACATTCAATTCTAAGACGCTTTATTGGTCCGTCCTCTTCGACACCAATATCAATCTTACGTTTCATTTCGTATGAGCTTCCTGTAGCAAAGAGAACACTTCTTTTAACCGCAAAAGAATTTCTCAAAGTAAAACTTTTTAAAGCTGACTTATTCGATAAAATTGTGCCCATATAATGAAGTTTTCAGTAGTTACTCAAGCTGTTACCAAAAATTCGATAACATTTTCAATAAAGTTAACACAATACCCTCTTGAAACATAAATCACGAAAAATGTGTCTCGATCACTAAATCAAAAAAAAATTGTCTATGTCTTGTCTTCGAAATGTATGTATGCCAAAACCCAACTTCTTCATTGAAAGTATTTTTAAAATATATGCAGCGAATGGTTCAGCAAATTCGGATATTTCTACTTTTTCAGTTATACAGTATCCAAATATACTTATAGGCAAATTCAAAGTTCTGCAAGAGTTATCATCCACGTTCATTGCAACTGCGAACAAATTAAAAAAATTTGCCGTTTTTTCTGACAGCAAATCTGTTCTGATAGTAATGAAAAATAAAGATCCATATAACACGTATGCTGTTGATATCTATGACCTTTTAAAAGATCCAAGTATTGAAGAATGCCACCTAAACTGGATCCCAGGTCCCAGTGGTTTTGGTATTAAGGCAAAAGCACATTTCTATGCACGTGAAGTACAGTTTGATGGCACGGTTATGTCCATTAACAGTGAGGCTCTTCTGTTAATCCAAAAATGTGTTGTAAAAGAATAGAAAAAAGTGAACGGCTTTTTTACAAAATTTACCCTTTTTTGACACCCACACTTTTACCAAAAGGAAAATTTACAACATTGGAATTTAAAATACCTTATAGATTTATGAATAATCACGCTTATGACAAGGCATATTTTAAAATGATCAAAGTCTTGTCCACTGATAACTGTGAAGTATGTAACATTACTGAGTCTGCCGAACATCTAATTTTTGAGTGCAGGAGGTTTGACATCATTTTTAGCTTATATAACAATTTATATGAAATTTTCTGTGCTAGTAATTGTATGCATCTTAAGCAAGTGACGGCCTTTATCAAATCAGCTGATTTTTCTTTCCAATTTTCTATATTCATAATTTGGTTTATAAACACAGATAGCCTATACTTGTAAATTTCCACTCTTTCGGCATTCCTAGCCGAAATTTAAATTTAAACTGTACAATACCTATTACGGAGATGTATGGGATCGATAGCGGAGTAGAACATCACGTATTTCACAAGCAGAAGCATCACTCTACCAAAAGCGCTTGTTTTACATTACGGAAAAATAAAGATATTATCAATGGATTTTAATCACATAACTGAGTTATGGATCTAATTTTAAGTTAACAGGTCTAATCCATATCTAAACAAATAAAATAATAATAATAGTAATAATAATACTAATAAAAGAGTTCAATTCAAAAGCAGAATCAAAAATGGACGGAAAGAAAACCAAAAAATATAATGGAGAAAGGTCTCAATAAACTTCAATTATCACAAGTTATTCTTCACAAATTTTCAAATAAAAGAAAACACCAAAAATCTCTTCTCCTTCTTTGTTGTTTTAAAAATCGAAAGAGCATTAAGTAGCATTAATCTTAATTTCTAAAACATTTAATTCGAAATGCTTAAGATAGATAACCACAAATAAATAGCAATTTTAATGACATATGTTTCGAGGTCAAAATATATGAGTATAACTAATATGAGGATATATCAACATAAAATATTTAAACTGCAATAATAAAATATTTCAAAAATTTATGATACCTATTTGTAACATATTTAATTTTATGTAAAGGTATTTTTTATCTTTTCCTTTATTTTTTGGTTGTTGAGTTAATATGGACTAAGCCAATAAGACTTATATGTCTATTATCTGGAAAAAGGAATAATTATTTGCAAGAAATATGTATGAATAACAAAAAGACTGCGGTCATGATATGTTAAGGCCAATATGTTAATGTAATTGAAGTGTTCACCGTGATTTAGGACTGGTATAGCAAACTTTGGCTGAAATAAGACTTTTGATTGAATGTAAAAAAAAAATAAATAAATTTTGGTGAATAAAGAAAATTAGTTTCCCGAGATGACGCTCATATTTTGCAACAAAGAGATTGAGGAGGACACAATATTATCTGAACAGGCTAAAAGAAGACTAAATAACACTATCGAGCCTGTGGCATCTGAAAATGAGACGTTAAGCAGATTGGCTAATATTACAAACCTCACAAATATCACGTGATATAGCGCCAATCATTTTTATATATAGAGTAAAAGCTCCTTATTCGCGCTTCCCGTATGCGCACGCTTTTTAAATTCGTGGTTTAGTTGCTGAAATATGTGAATTTGAATTGTCCGTACTACTTCATTGAGAGTATATTTGATAGACGAAATTGTACCATCAAATTGAGCACTTTTTGCATGAAAATTAGCTTTTTCATTTAAAAAAAAGCCGCGCTGACTAGGTATTCAAATAAGGTCACATTCATCTACTTGTGATTTATATAACATCTTGTGTATATAAAATACATATTGATTATCTGCACCTCTTTTATTTATTACAAGCAGAGTTGATTTACTATAAGAAAAACCGACATATTTTTTATGGGCATTCATTATAACTAACTTTACAGCATGTCCGATGGTGAGCAATTCAATAAAAGTCGAGGAAAGTTCCTCCATGATTCTGACTTTACTTCTAACTGCCGCAAAGCCCGGTAAATTATGTCCGATAGAACCGTCTGTGGCATATACATTATAGCCGTTGTTACAAGAAAAAGGAAGCATTTCCTGATATAAGATCCCAATACAAAAAAGATTGACGCCTCGCTTCGTAGTAGAGATCGAAGGATGTTCATGAACGTTTATTTGTAACAAAATTCCAGAGAGGGATTGAATTTATCTTGTCAAAAATATAACTGAGTTTTGGATAACAAAATGTGTAGCTGGAAGAGGCAATATTACTGAAAGATAACTTTTTGAGAAAAAGAAGGATTCATTATCTTAACCTTAATTAACTCCTTAGCAGTACAAAAAAGAGCTCGTTCACGATTGACAGACTTTGAAGGTTTCCTCTTAATGCATTCGAAGAGTTAGGCTATCATTTAAAATTCTGCCAAGAAATCGGATTAATTTTAGTTCCTTTGATAAAGAGTCTAATGTCTAATGCTTTTAGAACCTTTGGATTAAAATACAAATTAAGATGCATCAAAAAAAAAGATCGGCTTTCAGTGAGAAATTATTCACAACCAATGAAAAGGATGAATCAGAAGACACAATTAAGAGATCACCAGCAAATTGAAAACTGTAAGTTTTGTCGTCTTGAAGGTCAATGAGCGCTTGGATAAAAAGTTTAGCATCCACAGATGTTTTTGCGGAGGGATTGGGGAGTTTAAAAGAATTGTGCCAAGCTTCATTAAATTAACACAATCATAGGTTTTGTTGATATCCAGGAAAGCAGGATCAGCTTTCTGTAGACTAGCTTTAAGAAAAGATAGTGAACAAGCAAATATATTCGTGGATTTGCGTTTTTCATACGCATGACAACAAGTTGGAGCAATGTTCTCGGTTTTCAAGAAATCTATTAGCCCCGCCTTAATCATGAGATTAATAATCTTTACGAATACCGATATTAGCGAAATGGGTCTAAAGTTGCGTAAATCGTCTAAGTCTTTACCTGCCTTAGGAATGGGAACTACTTTGATACATCGCAAATCCAAGAGCATAAATCAATAGTTATTAGTGGCATGGAACAAGACAGTCAAGCTTACCGCACAAAGTGCCCTGACCTTATCATACCTCAATCCATCGCAACCTGCAGCGCTAGCTTTTTTTCTGGATTGTAAAACATACATTAATTCGCGTAAGGAGAAGAGTGTATTATTGAGACTAGTGAAAGGAGTTGTAAGGTATTGTAATCTGAATGACACTTAGCTTTTGAGCATATCTAAGCATTTTTTGTTATTATGCTCATTCCATGCAACCATGTCATTTTCGACTAAATTGTCAATAGACATTGACATAATTCCAGAAAAAACGCGAGCTTCCATTGCTGCACAGCTCCTTAATCATGACAGCTGTATGTTTCCTTTCCGCCTTTCTAGTTGTATACCTCCATTCCTTCAGTGTTTTCATATATTGAATGAAGTTGGCTGGATTGGCGTATTTACTCATTTTTTTCCTTGCAGCTTGATATCTGCGAAAAAGTGTTGACAGGGAAGTGTTCCACCAAGATTTAAGTGAAGAAAATGCAATATCAGAAAAGTTGATTCTAGCAGACTTGATCTCAGATTGAGAAGTACTTTGATTTGATAAAAAATGAGATTGAAGGTCAATTTTAGCCAGACGGTCTATTAGGAATTTGCCTGAAATTAAATTATCTATTTTTTGTGCGGAATTGCTGCAACTTTGAAGTAAAACGTGAGAGTCTTGACTTTTCCCAAATGGGACATTAATAGTATTTCAGTTGAATCACAAAATAGTTGAAAGTTACATCCAAGACACTGCTCGCCGTGCGATCACTTTGGTTGCAGTAAAAGATAGATTTACTATTATTTGTGATTTTAAAACTGCTAGCATTAACGCCACTTACAAGGACCTTGCCTTTATTGGTCGAGAGCTGATCGCCATTCGAGCCATGTCTAGTATTAAAATCTCCAGCAAGATTCACATTTTGTTCACTACCAAAAAAGTCATATAATCTATGAATTTCATTACGAACAGTTTGTACATCAACGCAAGGTGGAGAGTACTATGAGGATACTATGAATAGATTCGTTTTAAGATTCATGGTTTTAATGACGATCTCAACGGAAGAATTTTAAGAAATACATCTAAGAATGATATCTTTTTTAAATAGTAAACTAACTGAAGTATAACGGCAATGTTAACTTTGAAAACATTGTCTTTTTTCAGAAAAATTTCACTTAAGATGCAAGAATCGATATTATTTGTGTTCAGTTAAAAATGTAAAAACGACGAACGCCGAACAGTCCGTACATTGTATTGTAAAAAAAAAATAATTTCAAATGTGAAAGGATTCTCAGAGGATTTATTCGTAGTACTAGTACTTGACCAAAGCGAAAATTAACACAATAAGAAATTTTTTCATCAAATTCCTACATATTTCGCTCACATTTAGGGATCTTGCCACAATTAAGGCACCTGGTCTCTTTAGCCTTGCAAAACTTTGAGATATGACCAAAACATAGTTTTAAGGTGGGAATAAAATAGTCAACCGGAAGGATACAAAAGTTTAAATTGATAGACTTAGGTTAGAATTTTGCCTTAAATTTTCATTTTCATTTGGTCATCAGAACAAATTCATTTTTGTTGTCCGGATTTCTCCTCAGAAGTCTGATGGCAGAGTTAATCGGAACATCAGACATCGCATTTTTAATAAGGCCGTTTATGTCATAATTTACAGGGACTTTTCGGACAATGCCAAATTTTTCTGCACAAGACCTGGAAATGTGAGATTTTAGGTTCCTGCTTTTTAAGTCATTATTTTTGTTGAAAGAGTTAGCATGGAGAGCAGTGTTTAAAAGTATTCTAGCTCTGCTCTTGCTAACCGTTTTGAGTTCTTTTAAGTCGAACATCTCAAAACATTAAAGGTCCTTTCGTCAAAGTAAAGGTCGGAGGAGATATCCATGCGTTTGCTCCCAACATATTAACAGGTTTCAACAAATACAAAGAAATTACCCCACATTACCAAAGTCATATAAATTGATTTCATAATTTGGAATGCCTTTGACACCCAAATCAGAACCCTTATCAACAAGCACGGATGAATCAACAGAGAAAGGGTCTAATTCAACGCCATTTACGACCAATCTCGGTCACTTATCGTTATTAATAATATTCTAATAATAATTCTCAAAGACATTTTCATCTACAATAATCTGATCCGACCATGTCTCAATAGGGAGACAGGCTGATATTGTTTTAGCTGTTATGGGTGCTATCCCGGGGAACACTTACCAAAAATCCAGAAATAAAAGAAACTGTATAATATATATCTTTTAAAAAGACATTTTTTCACAATCGAAGTCAGAGCTATCCTTCATGCTGCGAACCTTGCCCACAGAAACAAACTTAAAACCGTCATTTTGTCTGTATTACAAGCTATTCGGAATCCTTCGACTTCGAGATGGAGCACCATCAACAACTTAGGGAATATAATTACAACACCCGAAGGAAAAATTAAAATGTTATGGGTACCAAGTCACATCGGTTTATTGGGAAATGAGTAGGCTGATCGAGCGGCAAAGGATGCTGCTTCTGCTCCACTAATTATGGATGATGTCATGGAAAAGTTGGATCTTCAAAGATACATTGGAAGAAAAGTTGAAGAGAAAATTGCAGAAGGAAATTTACAATACCATCACCAACACTACTCTTCCATTAACCCTCAATTAACTCCACCTTTATGTCCAACAAATGTGGAGAAAACCAAGATCCAAACATTTTCGAGAATTCGCCTTGGTCACACAATTGCAACTCACCAATGGATCTTAAAGAAGTCTTCCTCCCCAATCTGCAGTTGTGGACAAACTGTCATTATAAAGCACATTTTCTGCGACTGCCTTAACTTTTCCTTGGCTAGAAGTATTGCATTTGGAACGATTAACCCTTTGGACATTCTACAATCAGCTTCAGAACAGAATATCAATTCAATATATTACTTTATTAATACTACTAAGCTCACTATCTAATGTACATTTTATTATTATTATTTATTTTTTTTTTTTTTAATTAGAGCCGATAGCCTGTGTTGCTAGTGCTCAATGTCTTTTTTTTAGTCTAAGAATTTATTTCATTAGTCTAAAATAATAATAATAAGAATAATAATAATAATAATAAGAAGTTTGCGAGATTGTAAATTATACCAATAATTTTTCAGTTGAAAATGAAACCACTAAAGAATTATAACTGTTATTTTTTTATTTTTGATTTATTTCCCCTTAAATTGAAATAGGCAGACACACAGAAAGGACACATTGGAGAAATTTTCAGCTGCCGTTTGCTTAAATATGTCATGTTGCTTCAAGTGTTCATTGTGAAATGATTTCACATTGTCAATGCATTAAGTTATTCATTTTGGTGGTGCTATTGAGTGAAATACTGCAACAAAATTCTTAATAGCGATAATACCCACATTGTTTTGAAAAACCATTGTATACATTTTGAATTAAAGTAGCGAGTTTTTGATTTTAATATTATAAAAAAAAATATCATAAAAGGTGGCGAATGTTTGTCTAAGAAAACACTTATGGTTACATTTTTAGTAGATGAAGCCGGCCTTACCATCTATTGCTTCCAAGGCTATTTATTTGCTGACGTAATAGAATGTGCGTATAAAGTCAGTTACAATTTTTACATTTTTTTGATTATCCATCTTTCAATAATTTTTATTGCCAGTCGCTTAAGAGTATACTGTGAACATTTTCAGTTGTGGCTCCAGTGGCGCAATTGGTTAGCGCACGGTACTTATAATCAGTAACTTGTGAGCAATGCCGGGGTTGTGAGTTCGAGCCTCACCTGGAGCATGGTTTTTTTATTCAAACGTACATTTTTTTATAAAAAAAAAGTATAGCCAAAAACCTCTTTTGCATGATGGTTTTTTGGTATGAACGATGAATGATTACACGACCACAATAATTCCAAACATCCAAAAAATTAAATGACTGTTTCACTGTATGTAGAAGTTTATTTCTTTATTAACGGCTGTAAGATGAGGTCAGATGTACGTCAAATGTTTTAACGAAGCAAGTCACACAGTTCGTTTCAGATATGGCTCTTAAAAGATATTTACACTGCAATTATTTAGAGCTACCTCAAACTCGGAGCTTTTTCATAATCATACAACTTTTAACGAAAATAGATGCACATTTTATTGTTTGCAATTCTTGAATGCGGAATATTTTTATTAAATCTCTTTTGTCCTGGATTGTTTCACAAATGTGAAAGATGAATACGTTAAACAGAAATGGAGAAATAATGTTAACCAATGGATAACACAACAGATGTAATTTCGGTACAAAATTTTGAATTATTTGGAGGAGAGAAATAGTTTATCTTTTAAACAAAAAATATAACAAATATCGCAAGCAGTAGATATCTGACATCGGGGCCACGTACTTCAATGTAATTTGCGACCATGTGTAGCAAAGCGTCCCCCTAATCAAACAATAAAAGTTTTCATAAACTTCTTTGGAGGAAATTTCACTTAGGATTAATGAAGCTTACGTTACGATCAAACTCTAATGCATTCTGCAGGAGTAAACGACCGTTATTTGTTGAATGTTGTATTAAACCTCGGATCTGCCTCCTTTGCCTCCCATCATGATGATATATTGCTGTAGCCTATTTTTTTACATACATACGTCCAAACGATGTTTTGTTGTGGTTGGTTAAATAGTGATACGCTTGATTTGTTTCGGAACTGAGGTAATTTTGCATATTATTAACCCAAGCTCCTCGCTGCGGAGCCAATTAGCTATTCCATTAGACCCAAGGAGTCCAGCCTTCATATAAGGAGGCTAGATTGTCCTCACTGATGGCTTCGCGTATAACAAAGTCGACTTGTTCATTAACAGTGCTACGGCGATTGGGATCTGGATCGCGACCATCTAATTTCATACGTATACGCTTCCAAACAGAGACAGCGTATGCGTTACGTTTTTGTTCGCTAATTTGACTACTAGCTACTGAAATGAATAAAATATGGATTTGTAAATTATATCATTGAATTATTGAATTATTTTAAAACAGCAATTAATTTACCGCTATTCTCCATTTGACGATTTGGAGACAAATTGATACATTGATTATTACTTAGATCCACACGGTTACAATCTGTATTTAAGAAATTCTCAATCATTAGCAACAATTTATCGTTGTTTTGTTGACCTAAGCATTGAAGTTCTTTAACCTTTTCCACAATTTGATCGAGAGATTGTTCATCAAATTCTTGTGTTCCCACATACAATTGCAGATCATTTAATTTAGTTTGAAGTAACTTAATAGCATGCTGTAAATCTCGCAACTCCGTGGTCGAATCTAATTTACTAGTACTTTGTTTAAATGATTTTGTGAACATTTTTAAGAGTTGTCGCAAATCTAAACGTACAGAGGAATTTAAAAGATACTAAGGAAGAAAAACGACATTCGATTTTTATACACATTTTTTATGCGTTGTGATTGATTGTAACACTTACTTGTAATTGTTGGCCCTGTGTGACTAGATTTTTTTCGATAGTTTCCTTTTTTTTTTCTAAGCTGCAAATTTTTTTTTGAACGGTGAAGATCATTTCTTCTAACAGCGCTGATACATTTTCAATCCAGTATTGATCAATTGCATCTTCCGGATCTAAAAGTTGTACTAGTGAACGCTCCACTGGTGTTATAGCTATTTCGCTGGCCCTTAATCTTTGATGAACTTGCTCGAATTCTCGCATTGCTGTTATGTAAAGATTGTCTCCGGGTGCCATTTCAAATTGTAACAGAATATTACAGTAAAGTGTTAATTGCTCTAGTAAATTAATATAGAAAATGCAACGCGCCTTAAGAGCATCAAAATACTCATTTGCAGTTACAAGTTCTTGGTTTTGCAGTTTCTGTACAAAAAACCTTTTATCGATGTCAAGTTCAGATTGTATCTTAGCTGCCGTGGACTGCCTAGCTACTAATAGTTTATTAAGCAACCGTAAAACGTCTATTAGATCTGGTTTAGTTAATAACAGGTGATGATCGGGCGTTATAAATTCGTTCAAAATAGATTCATGAGCCCAATAGAAAGCATTAGTTACTAATTGTTGATGCTCCATTAATTGTGATTCATATAGTAGTGTTTTCTTATCATATCGATAAGTGTAGTTTGCTTGAAGAGCTTCATGAAGCCACTGACAAATGTAGTCGGTATGAACAAAGTCTTCTTTAGTATCGGAAAGTGATTTGAATTCATTCTGAATTTTGTGGCAAATTGTTTGGAAACAACATTGTGATAATTTTAATAAACAGGTACTTTCAAAATCGAGAATCGAATCGTTAATGCTGTCATATATCAGCCGCGCATTGTAAACATTCAGTGGTGTTGAAGATTCGCTAGTTCTCATAGAGTCCACGTGGCTTTTCATGGTCGTGAAGAGTTTCACAAATAAATTATTGCACAACGTCATCAAAAAACTATTGATATCCAAATGGCAGATGGCCTTAAAAAAACAAAGTACATAGTTGTTAAGAAAGTAGAATTAAAAGAAATTTTACTGAAAATTTGACTTACCAGCAATTCGTCATCATTCAGGTTTTCTAAACTGTTCATAGCCTTTAACATATTAATTTGTAACGATTGCATAGACTTTCCTAAACTTTCCACAATTTCATTTATAGAATTTATTACGACATTGAAACCATTATGAACCGACCAAAGGCGCAGCAGGCGAGTGAAAGTTTTATCTGCTAAAATGCACTCCAAATCAAATTTATTATCAGTCGTTAGAAGTGATAAAATCTTTTCGGGCAAACAATTCAGGTTATCCTTCAGTTGTACCATTTGTTTCAAACATATCACCAATGTGCGGACGATCTCATAATTATCCGAATCATGCAGGGTTTCACTTAATATATTCACAAATTCATCTATCATTTCGACAAAATTTAAATGATAATCGACTGTTAAATGGTTTCGTGTTGCTATTCTAGTATCAATATTTGAGCTAAAAGCTTTATAAGCGGATGACATGGTTTTCACAATAGACAGTTTTAAAAGTCGCTCGTTTTGTTCCGGTGTTTCATCGAGCAATTTGTCGTGTTTTTCGAGAGATTTGCGTGCCAATAAACGCAAATCGTCTTGTTTTAAATCGCGTTTTTGCAACGTCTTGCTGCATAATAATTTTGTATCATTTAAATCTTGGCAAACGTTTTGAAGTTTTTCGAAATACAGTCGAACATAGGTTTCATTACTATTATTAAACGTTGCAGTGTCAAGGAGACATTCATCTGCTGGCATTTGATTTGATATCAACTTTTCATATAATTTCTTGTATCGCATTAAATGGTTGTTCCGAAAATATTCCCGAGGTATATATTGCATAATGCGACTGTATTGCAATAAGATGCTTTGACATTCTTTAACTGTGATTTCCGCTTGTTGAATGGCGGTATACATTTCATCTTTAGAATACTCTATTTTGCCGCATAATTCTTGCCATTCACTAGTGTGACGTATTTGTTTTAAGTGATCAAGATATTCCAATATAACTGCATCATCACCTGTTAACAATGGTTTCATGCCAACTTTTTCTAATTCTTCGGGATTTAAGAGCACTTCAAAGTACGTTGTGACATATATCTCTAGATTTTTAAAAGTTTGCTTCAAACTTGCGCGTAAATCTTGAAAAGATGTCAAGTTTTTTTTATAAGTATTATAACGCTGCGTAACAGTGTTCAAGGCATGACTGGCTTTTGCTGTACCCAAAGCTTCCAATTCCCGAACCATAGCTTGCTGTTTAATAAAACTGTCTCGCTCGTGTTCAAGTAATGAAACATTTCGCCGATTCTCTTTAAACAGTTCAGCAAGATTTAGAAGAGCGTTAAGTTGCATATCTAAATTTTCTCTAGATATAGGAATAAAAGAAAGATGAATACAAATATTCAATGTTTTGTGGACTTATGGACTTGTGGACTTAATGTGAACTTACTTGTACTTAAGCCATAACGGTTGAGTTTCTTGGCAGCGTACAATAATTGCTTGCCGCGACAAATCGACATCTTGTTTACGCTTTTGGTACATATCTTTTGCAGAAAATCGTGATAAATCCTTAATAGCTACATTAGAAGAGTTATCCAAAGCGGTTATGCTTGCAGCTGCTACGTGTGCTGAAGTTACGCGAGATACTGTTGTTGTCCCATCATCATTTACTGTCCAATCCACTAGGGGATCGTAGACAAAGGCTTCCAGCAAAGTAAGCAGTGTCTCACGTTCACGGCGTAAGGTTTTCAAAACGTATTCGCAACTTAATCGAAATGCACCCTGTTAGAAAAAGCCAGAAATTAAACATAACCCAACAAATCAGTATCCACTCTAACGTTTTGATCTCATCATACTATCTCATCAACTATCATAAAACTAACACACTATCATTAAGTTGATAACAGCGCAAGCCTGTGGTCTGCGTGCGTAGGATGTCTGCATAGTTATTATGCAATTTTGTCTATAATCACTTATTTTAACGTGCTGTTGTCATACGAGTGCAAAATAACTCCTTTTCATTTTATCAGTTTATTTATACAACACAATGATGTGTTATTCCGCATTTGACATTAAACAGACACGCCATGAATGATATAGAAGTACTATTTATCAGATTATTGAAAAGAAGATATCAAAATTCGTAAAATTCCAAAATTATTTATGCGTAAAGAACTCTATGTTATTACCAGCTGTATAAAGGCTAGTGTAAAAATTTCGACAACATTTTAAGAACGAAAGAGTTAATAAATAAATAATGAATTTGCATAGTGTTAACATTTGCATAACAAAAATAGAGCTTGAAACTTCCGATTCTGGTAAAGCAGAAAATTTTGCCGTTGCTACTGGTCTTCATTGGTCAACTGTTCTTTGGGCTTTTGTGAATGTTGTCTTATTTATATGCATATTAAGTGGAAATGTTTTAGTTATTATAGCAGTGCGTAGTTGCCGCCGTCTACGCTCTTTGCTATCCAATCGTTTCATACTGTCTTTGGCTGTTGCAGATGTTGTCGTTGGTTTAACTTTACCATATCATTTAAGCTTTTATTTAGGTTTGGATTTGGGTATACATCACAATTACTGTTTAATGCGCTTTTTTCTGGTTATTTTTGCTTGCTGCGTATCAATTTTAACGCTAATCACAATTTCTGTTGACCGCTATATTGCCATAATCTATGCTTTGCATTATAAAAGGTATAATAGTTGCAAATGCTTATTCCGGTGACATGTTTAAATGTTCAAATCATAGGTTCATGACGCCACGGATTGTTTTGTCCGTTATTGTTTGCAATTGGATTATGGGAGCTTTCGTGGCAATTATACCCATGTTTTGCAATCATTGGAAAACTGCTCGTGAATGTGAATTTGATGAGGTGTTACCACCCTGGTATATGACTGGTTTTATATTTCCGTCTTTCATCGTCATTTGGCTATTGATGGTGCTCATGTATATGAGAATTTTACGCGTAGCGTCCAAACAAGCTAAACAAGTAAGACAACTGCCGCGGTCGATGAATCCTTCCATTCTACTGAGTTCGGATTGGAGATCGACACAGGTATTAGTAAAGTAAATTACCTATAGCTCTGGTGTTATCGAAAATGAAATATTTCAGATCGTTTTCTTTATAATGGGCTGTTTTTCTTTATGCTGGTTGCCCTATTTTATTGTGGTGTGTGCTCAAATCTTCAACATTTTCAATGTCGAACCGCTACTGTACAGAGCAGCCTTCTCTTTAGCTATGACAAACTCTGCTCTGAACCCGATTATCTATTGTTGGAAGAACAAAAGTTTTCGACGTGCTTTTAATCTACTCTTACGTTGCCGAAGTCCCAACGTGCATCCGACTAGTTTAATAGTAAGTTTTAGCAATTCAACAGCCACTCACAAAAGAAATTCACTTTCTTGTGCCAACGACACTATCGAAATGCCTATTGTTGCTTGCGCGAAAAATGATCGTTTACCCAAAATTTACACAATTAAATTTTAATCATTTGAAATAAAGTTGATTGTCAGTTACATACGCTAAACGTTTTTTGAATTCTTTAATAAAACTTACCTCAGTACCGGTTAGCCCCAAGGCATCTACAAGATTTGGAGTCAGTCGAAATGGGACCTTCTCAGGTATACGCAACGTTTTGCCTTTTTCGAAGCAGACATTATAATCAATGTGCACAATTTCACCTGTGGATAATTTAATCAAAACATTATCCAAATGACGATCCCCAAGCCCAATTACATAACCAATGATAGACATAACAGCCAATGAGATCGAATAATGCCTGATTGCCTTACGCCATTCTACAGCCGTTGTAGATTGGCACCAGATTTCTTTGGAAAGCAAATCTCTTGGTGTTTCTTTGGTTAATTGTCTTAGAGCAGATCGCAAAACTTGAATGGGCCATTGTTTTCTCGGATCAGTCACCTTAAGTTTGTGTTCAGCTAGCAATGGCTCTAACTTATTAAAGTACAGTTCAGAAGGTCGACTAGCATTGATTACCATAGAACTCTCTTGAATTGCTTGGCCGCTAACTCCACCTTGACGATCGTTTTGTTGCTGTTTGAGCAAGGCATCACGTTGCTGCCATTTTTTATATATGGCAAATAAAGGCGTAAGACCGTCAACCCAGCTGATTAAACCCGATTGATTTCCTAAAGGTATGACATTGTAATGATGAGCTTTAAAAGAATCTGTCTTTGTCCATATCTCATGGGAGCGTGCCATCATCGAATTTGAAATTGACAAAAATTGCATGATACGTTCATCCAAATGTAGATCCTCTTGTCCTTTGAACAAAAAAGTATATCTGTGACCGTTGCTGCCATAGAAAGACAATTTTTTCGGTTTAGTCTTGGTAGGTAATATGTAAGCCAAACTGTCTACGGATTTGATGTATACCGCGGGCTGCTCATAAATATCTAGTCCGGGCATAGTTATGCCGGTATTTTGCATATTTGACAACACTGGACTTATATCTGAGACTTTCATATTCGAGTTATTGCCCCTTAAAGGCCTTTGTTGAAAGATTGTATAGAGTTGCTTAATTTTTGTCCAACAGTCGTTGGGTTTTTGTAGGGTTAAAGACTTCTGCAACTCCGCAAGGACAGCGCTAATGTGTGGCTTGAAGCGCTCCTGAAAGCTTCGTTCATAGTTCGTTTCGGGCTCTTTGTCTGTCACTGTTGTTATCTGCTGGAAATCTGATAACAAATGTTTCATAAAAATCTCGTATTTAAAAAGAATGGTTTCCTTGGTATTAGCGTTTGTTTTTTTTGTCTCTGCCTCTAAAGCGTTGTAAAGAGGTGAATATTCTGCGTAGAACTGTGTCAAAGAATGCATCCAATATTCTTCCCATAAAAAAGTGATGCGCCGCAACTCTTTCACCAACAATTGAACATGTAGCACAGTTTCTGGCGCTTGTTCGGACAACATATGTAATAATGTTCCGAAGCAATTTGATAGCGTCACTTGGTTACTTTCGCGATGATTCAGTTCCTGCTGAGCACCAACTACAGCAGGAAATATAATCAATTGAGGTTGATGGATGGATAAGCGACACAGTAGATCCGATACACTACGCCTCACATATGGTTCATGATGATTGAGTCTGCTAAACAGTTGTGGTACTATGACTTTCCAAGGCCGCAACGGAGTATTAGATAGACCCTCCTCCAAGACGTCTTGTAGTCCAGCAGCATGTTTAACAATTAAACGCAATATCCTTAAGGTGGTTGTCACAAATGTACAGTCTTCAATTATACTTTCTTCCGAAGTTGGCCGCTTCGAATACGTGGAATTTTTCTCACTTTCAATGGCCAAATATTTGAAGTAAGCTCGCGTAGCTTCTTCGTAAAAACGATACATACCTTTATGAGCGTTGCGCCAAATCAACAAAATAACGCTTACTTGTTCAGAAGAGAGGAGTTTAATTTTTTGTAGCTCTGACTCCAAAATGTCGCTAGCACTGGTGGCATTGTTATCTGAATCTTCTACTCCACCATCATTCATAGTATTCAACATATGAGAATTTAGAATATTTATAACCTGTTCAACTACTTCTGGATTGTCTGGGATCTTATCATCTAATTGTTCAGTTATTAGTGAAATATCATGCTTTGAAAGCTTGCTCGCCTTTGGGTCGGATGCTTGCTCCAGATTTCGCGCTTCCATAATTTTTTTGCCCCAGCGATAGCACCAGTTTCCATAGCTAAACCAAGCATCGCCGCAATCACTCTTAGTTAAAACACTGGCGTGTAAGAGTTTTCCTACCGCATGATCTTGGCTGGGCAATGATAATTGAGTCGTCTTATCTGTGCAGATGGATATATCAGGTAACTGGTTCAACAACCTTTGAAATTGCCCGTAATTAGGACTACTGGGTGTGCTAATTCGTTGAGTGTTTAGCCAATCGGCCATGGTCAAAAAGATTTCACAACACATCGCAGCATTCTGCTGGAGAAAATTTTCCGAATTTTGTTCGATGATTTGAGAGCAGCAAGCTGCCTCCAATTCTAAGGCATCCGCTAATGAGTTAGATTGCGCATAAGAGTATTTTGAGAGTTCGTTGAATCCATTTAAGAGCTCTGTGTCGTTACAATTTACTTTAAGCTTTGCCGTCTTTAACTCTTCCGCAATTGTAGATAAATCTGTTCCTAACCCTTTCAAGGAAAAGAAACGTTCCAAAAGCGATTGACAATAACTTGTATTGCCTTCACGTCTAGCACTGATTGCCGCTTTCAAAAAGAGTCCAGAGTTGTTGACAAGGCCTTCTTGCCTCTGGGCGATTATCAAAGACCACAACAACTGCTTGGTGGTCAGATAAGAAGATGTGTTACTCAGAAAATTTTCTTTATTTAGAGCGAGTTCCTTGCGTTCACTGAGCAGTAATTTCTCCACGACGCTATTGATGATTAGAAATTCCATAAACTGCTGGTTCTGCTTTGCTGGTTCGCATCCATGCATTACAGCTTCACGTAAAGTTTTTTGCACTATAATTTGAAGTGTTTCAACCACTGAATTTTGATCTCCACCCGAAGTAGCCTCGTGAATACACGCATCTTTTAATTTCAATAAAGTATCGTCATAAGAATAACTATGGGGTTTTGAGTATACACTTTTAATGTTGCTCCCCTCATTATTGCAAATGGGCCATTCAGTTAGCTCCATCCAGGCTTGATTAATGTTCTCCTGTTTAGTATTGTAGGGAGAATTTTCATAGATGGATTCTATCAAATGTAAATGCGATCTTGTGTAACTTATATTGTCATCAGATATATTTAAAATTTCTGACCAACGTGCGGTATTGTAAAGGCATTCAGCTAGTTGCCTTTGAAAGAACTCTTTAACAAAATTATCCATATTTTTCAAATTATCTTTACGGAGAATTTTGGTATAACCATTTGCGGCTTGCTCCAAATGACCGGTTGCCTGTTCAACTGCATGCTGTATCCAATTAAAGCGATCACCGTTTTTAGCTTTTAGCCAGACGAATAGACCTTGCAGACTATCAGCCTCGCCACAGTTCAATAGAGCCCACACCATTGACGTAACCGTACGATCCAACAAGGCTGGATTTGTAACACTATTTTCTGCGCGTAAAATATTCTAATAATGGTAAATGGTTCAATTGACAATTTTAGAAAATATTGGGCGAAATTAAAAAAAAATCTTACCTCAGAATATCGTATAACCATTTCTGGCTCTAAACTATGCAGAGCTATCAAATTAACGGCGGTACGTATACGTTTAAACCATTCGCGACACGTAGTGGCATTTACACGAAAGAATGTTTTTGCTGGTTTTTCTACTGGTAACATTGCATAAGCTGTGCCCTCACCAGCATTGTAAATATGTTTTTCAAGGTTCTCTAAAAAGCCTAAGAGCATGCGAGCGTTCTTCTGAATTTCTATGATGTCATTTGGGTTTTTCAAATTGGCCGGAAGACTTTCTTTTTCGGCCAGTAGACGCGCAAATTTCATCACAATCCCTTCAATGGCAAGAAAAGTTTCTTGCGGTTTCCCTAAAGAAGTGCGTAATTTTTGCTGCACACAGTGTCGAGCGCATTCATATTGTAAATGTTGGCATAGAAGAGCTGAATGTTGAGCTATATTTTGCGCGTACTCGGCAAAATTTTGCCGATGTTGACCCGAAGAGGTTCTATCGAAGTACTTCTGATAGGCAACTATGTTGCTATTGATATTCATAGGTTCCATACTTTCCATTATCGACTTGAAATATTTAGGACGCAGAGCGAAAAAGCATTGAGTGGTTTTTTGCCATTGTAACAAAGATGTAATTTCGTTTTTATACAGGGAAAAAAACTGACCGTCTTTATTTGGTTGCAAGCAAATCTCAAGCGGTAATTTTCCCAGTATAGAACAATAAATGCGACTGACGTTTATATCTGCGGCGTCCAATAAACACAAAGCTATATCCCTTATATTTAGCAGTAAGTCCTGAGGTAATTTCGGATAATGTAAAATTATAAAGAAAAATCTTGAGTACATCATTGGTTTGTTTTGAGAAAAGGCAATGATAGCTTCGCACAGTTCCCGAAAATTTATGTGATGAATTAAAACCTTATGCTGAGGTTGACATTCTTCTAAAATCTGCCCCAACCATTTTATTATTGCCGGAGATTCATACCATTGAAATATATTAGCTAAAAATTTCAATATCATAACGAAGTTTTCCGATGTAGGAGAACTAATATCCTGCTGTTGAGTTAATAAACGTGATGTTTGACGAAAATTGTGGTTCTTTGAGCAGTGAACAATAATCAACTGCAGCAAAGCTTCATGCAAAGCAGGATATTGCGACCACAAATGTTGATCGGCTGCTCGACAATTGTGTATCAATAATTCTAGTATTGATGGATTTAGGGCATACATGCCAATAATGGAGGAAGTTTGAGTGCCCAAAATTGCTAAGGCAGCTACGTAGAAATTTAGTAAAGTTTCTGCACGTCCGCTTATGTTAAGATTTTTACCATTAGCTAAGTGGGCAATAATATCGTTAACGTCCGCTGTTATATGATGATAAGCTTTCTGTAACAGGGGTACATTTTTAATCATTAATATATCGTGATAAATTTTTAACAGCAATTTATATGCCTTGGAATCGCAACTAAGTTTGAGCTCTTGTACTGGATTGCATGTAGTTTTCATTATTAGATTGACAAAGCTTAAAGGCAATTGAGTTTTAAATTGTTTTACGGTGGTTAATATCAGATATAAAACACTACACTGCTGATTAATGTTGCACTGTGGTAATATTTTTAATTGCATTTCCAGCAGGTCTTCTACGGCAGCAACTGTTATCAACTGCATGCTTTGATTTAAGATAAACAAACAATAGAATTCATTTAGGTTAAGTGTCGTCGCCTCGCTAACTATGACCACACCGTTTGAGATATGTTGCCCGGCTTTGCTGATAGCGGTTAAAGCATTGTTAAGTATAGTTTGAGCATTGGAATACGTTGAGAAGTCGTGGTTCTTAGATATTAAAGCTTTAATGATCGATGTGAAGGCGCCTATAAAAGCCCCTAGTCGACATTCTGCTTCCTGCTTAACTTTAGCACTACAGTCCGTACTTAAAATTTCTTCACAACAGACGTCAATGTCTTCAATGAATTGTACCAGTAGTCCGTAGGTGAAATTTAATTCGCTTAGAAAATATGGAGCAAATTGTTGTAACACTTTCGCACAATGACGTTTTAGCTCAGATGATTGTTCAATCTCTAAATGCCAACCAATAATAATGTCAACAATATCGGTGAAGTGAGTTTGGAAAGCAATTTTATAATGCTTGGAAAATTCACCAATCGTGTCGCTAACTGCAATAAAGTTCTCCCCAGCTTCGGAATTTTCGAGGTATTCTTTGAGTAGACTAAGCAAACCTTCACTGTAAGTCACGAGGCTAAGGTTAACAGCATCACAACTAAAAAATGCAGTTGTTCAAGTTATGTCCGTAAAAGAATTGTGTAAAAATGTATTATTATTGATCATGCTGCTATTATATACCTTATAGTTGTCTTCAGAGCCAGCATTAAGTATTTCCGTATTTTGGGATGGTTCATGTACGCTTTGGTCAAATGCATTTTATAAATAGCGTAATCGGTCCGATTTATGTAACCCATTACGCCCAAAATGCCACTAGCCACTTCCAGGCACTCGAAAGGACTTTTATTTAGCACGTTTATCATATTCTCAAATAGGTAGTCGAAAGAACGACATATGTATACTGAATTTGATTGACTTCGAACTGCAGTGTCCAATTTTTTACATAATTCCAGCGCTATTTTCCCGTTATCCTCAGCTAAAAGTCGTCTTAATATTTTTGATATGCGCAAATTTTCCGATAATAACGATAGATGATTTAATTGTTTAGCTGGATATTTATGATTAGAGTTGGACATGCCTATATATGCATAAAATAAACTTTCATATATATAAAATTTAAAGTTGGACTTAAATTACCTTCCGGATTCTCTTGAATAGTAAAGATATCTTTTTTTACAACTAATTGGGCTCCTTCCACATACTCACGCAACTCACTAATATTGGCCTTGAAATGCTGCTGACTGTGGCAAGTATCACCAATTGCTTGTTGGTTTTCGCAATCATCTTGAGACAAAGCTGATTTTCTTTCCGGCCGATCCATACCATTAATTAACCACATTCTGGAGTCCTGTTGTTTGTATGCGTTGGCATCACTGACTAACAGGTTTTCGCAGGAGCTATTCGAATTATTTTCGGATTTTTTTTCATACGGATAACCATCATTCATATCCATCGCAAACGAATTTGATCTCCGGAAACAAATAAAACCACATTTATTTGTTGCCAATTAATTGCTTAAATGAACGACGGTATAAATTCTACACACACAAAATATTTAACGCGTATAAATTTATTAAATGAAAATGAATGGATTTAAGAAAATACGATATTCTGTGACAAATGCGCGCAGGGATTCCAAGTAACAGTTTTTGTGGTAAGAAAATGCATGTGCCTTAGATATTGTATATAATGAGGACTTTGGTAGAAAGAATATCACATAGTGGAGGTACATTGTAAATCTTACTACTTCATATATATATAGAATACCTCGTGTTTTCTTTTTTTGATAAACATAGTTATTACAATATTATACAAATACAAAATGTGGGAATATCTTTTGCTTCCCGTAGGAATGACTTGCTATGAAAATATTTCAGTAGCATTGAACTGATTCAATTGTTCGGTTTTAAAACAAAGTTTTCTATTGTGAATATTTGCCATCATTTCATTCCTCATAAAAGTAAAAATTATATAAAATAAGTACAATAGTGATAAACCGCTGTAGAATCACCTGAGATAATTTATAAATGTAGAAAATTTCATACCGTTAAGGGGTTGGCATAATGAGGCGTTATTTTCGTCTTCGGTTTTTTTAAACCGAAGTGATAAACGCAAAGGGCAGACGCGTTACCACATTGTTTTACAGGAAATGTAAGCAGAAATGTTTGATTTTAAAACCAAAAATAAAGAAATCGATGTAAACGTAACGAACAAATTTATAAAAAATGACAATGACGAAGTTAATGTAAAGGTAAAAAAACTTGTTTAATGATAAGTGGTAAAGAAGATTGATTAGATATTTGTATATGTATACATAATAGATATATTTTTGTGTATTAGTTGATCTATAATTTGGAAGTTACTTTCTATCACTGTCTAAAAAACAATTTGATGAATATGTTTCAACTTTAAAATAAATGATACTTATTGTTTGTTTTTCATATCTTATTAAATAATGATTTGTGTAAACACATATAAAATGCGGCGAATTATTGTTGTTGACTGGGTATTAAGGAAGAAAAAGAAAATAAAGAAAAAATGTGAATTAGTGTAAGGTAAACATGATGTAGACAAAGAATTTGTGAATTTAAAATAAATTGGCTTTAATTGCTTTTTCTTTTTGTTTTATTTGTAAGTAAAATAAGACTTTTTACCTCAGTCCCCCGCCGAGCTATTCATATTTTCGGACGGGGACTCTTAATTTGTTGACTTTTTAGAAAAATTTATGGGAATTGACAAATCAAATAGTTTTCCATGTATGCATACAAATAAAACAAAAAGCGAACAACGGAAATAAAGTCAATTTATTTTACATTTAGAAATTATCTAATATATGTTTACCTTACACTAATATACACTTTTTTGATATTCTTTTTCTTGTTGAATATTCAGCGAGTGAATTTATATTATGTGATCGACAATTTTAGTATATGCCATTCATTATGTTGTAAGAATTGAAAAAAAAGCAATGAAGACTATTTATTTTCAAGACGAAATAGTTCCATTGCAGAGTCGTAAATGATAATTTCTAAATTATGGATCAATTAATACATAGAAAGACTCTCGAGGGTGTCATAAAATTTAGGTAGATTGTGAAGATTAACAAAATTTTTATTTACGTAGATTTCTATATTTTTGGTTCTGAAACAAGGGGATAGTAATGTAAGCAGGCCACAATGAAGTAGGCGGAAATGGCGGTTGAACCTAATCATCACCAAATGGGCTCCACCCAGTTATTATAGCGCCAATAAAACTGGAGTTGCATTTGTAAAAAAACAGCTGCAAACCAAAAATATAAACAGCTGTTAGAGAACGAATGATTAATTTAAACACTTAAAAAAATTTTGAAAAATAAAGTGTGTCCAAAATTACATATCTGAGTTATGAAGAAAAAGAGAAAAAATTTAGTTGAAGTATAATTTTTTTTTAATATCGAGCTAAATGAATTTTTTATTCATTTCATTTCGTATGCTTGCATTGGTTTACCATATAAAACAATTAAACCTTAACTTGGCCCTTAATTTTTACATTTCTCTCAGTTATTAACGCATTGAAACGTAAAAATTTGAGGATATTGGAAAGTTGGCCACGATTGTACCTGATTAGCCTCGTAGCGAAAATCGATTGTTTCCTAAAAAAAAAGGCGACATTCGCGGTGATAACTGCCTGCTTATATAATTACCCTCCTGGTTTCTCCTTTTCATTCATATTGATTCCTTTTTATCTTTTACTTGTGTTTATTCTTCCACTGTCTATTTAATACCCAAATGCAGCCAAAGACAGTTATCAATCTTAAATCCGTAATGAACAGTACTTAAATGCACACCTTTACATTCTTGCCGCCGAATAAAGGAGATCTGCATCACCAATTTTTGCTGAGGATCAAACGGCGCAGCTTATAATAAATGAATAATTTACCACGTTAATCGGGCTAACCAGATAAATAGATCTTATTGTCAACAGGTTTAATCCACTCATCTAAAACAAATAAAAAAAAGAATTATAAGTTGTTGTACACAATAACTTTGTGCAAAATTGAAAAATTTTCGAATATGTAAAGTCAAAAGAAATACGATTGGTAATAAAATCAACCATACAAGCGAAGAGTTTTGCTTTGTCGCGCAAAAGATCGTAGCCGTCTCAGTGATCAGCAGAAAAAACCAGCACACAGCGTCACACTCAAACTAAATGGTCACGAAATACATACTTTCCTGACGATAAAATACATAAGTGATTCTATATGCTATAAAATTGTCTTTCATAATTAGTATTAATTAATAAATTAAACTTAAATTAAAATTAAGTCAAAATTAAACACGCGACATCTTGTAAAGAAAGTAATATTAGTTTGGGGAAAAAGAAATCCATTATTTTTTCGGTAGATGGCTGCACTGATAGATTTCTCGTTAAGTATCGATCAAACAATTTCATATTTATGCTCGGTGGAAAGGTGACATTTCGCAGTAAAAAAATTCTTTTGCTGTTTTTTGTTTGGTGCATTCAGTTGTGAGTTACAGCGTGTTAAGAATGGAAGTGAACAAAGAAAAAAATTCGGTACATTTTACAGTTTTTCTTTGACAAAGGCGAAAATGCAAGCCAGGCGGCTAAAATTGTGAATGGTGTTTATGTTTATGTTATGTAACAGCCAATTATGTGCAATTTTGGTTTCGTAGACTCCGTTCAGGAATTTTTGATGTTAAAGATGCACCTCGCACAGGTAGGCCGGTCGTCTAAAATGTCGATAAAATCGGAGAAATGATCGAAGTTGACCGGCATGTTAGCAATCGTAACATCGCCCAGGAGCTAAAAATCGACCATAAAACAGTTTTAAACCATTTACACAAAGCTGGATTCAAAAAGAAGCTCGATGTTTGGGTGCCACACTAATTAACAGAAAAAAACATGATGGATTGAATTTCCATCCGCGAAGCCTTGACCAAACGGAATGAGATAGACCCAATTCTTAAACAGATGGTGACTGGAGATGAGAAATGGATCACATACGATAACCCTGTGCGAAAACGATCGTGGTCAAAGAGCGGTGAAGCACCTCAAACGGCCAGGAAGGTTTTGCTATGCATTTGGTGGGACTGGAAGGGGATTATTTATTATGAGTTGCTTCCATATGGCCAAACGCTAAATTCTGATCTCTACTGTCAACAACTGGACCGTTTGAAGTTAGCGATTGACCAGAAACGGCAAGAATTGGCCAACGGGAGAGGTGTCGTGTTCCACCAGGACAACGCTATGCCACAAACATCTACAGTGACTCGCCAGAAACTTCGGGAGCTTGGTTTGAAGTTTTAATGCATCCGCCATACAGTCCGGACTTGGCACCAAGCGATTATCATCTTTTTCTTGCATTGCAAAATTTCTTTAATGATAAGAAATTGGAATCTAGGGAGGATTGTGAAAATCGACTGCTAGAGTTTTTTGCAAATAGAGACCAGGACTTCTATGAGAGAGGCATTTTGAAGTTACCTTTAAAATGGCAACAAATCATACAACAAAACGGTGCATATTTGACCCAAACCGGACAATCCGAAGCATGTTAAATAAAGTCCTGAAGTTCATATAAAAATAATGGATTTCTTTTTCCCCAAACTAATATTATCAGCTGTAATATAAGCACCACTAATACGGGGTAAACTTTGCGAATAACCACGTGAAGAGTGTGCTGTGGTTTTCGTGCAATGTAACTCGAGCGCGTCGTAAATATAATGGCCATCTAACTTACAAGCGTTTGTATTACAAGAAGGAAGCATGTAAGAAACCTCGGGGCGAAAAAGGGAATGCGTCTTGTCGATGAAAGAATGCTTACGTAACACACGAGAAGTAACAAATATACGCAAGCGTGCTTGTTACTCGAATTTATACACGATGCTAAAAAATAGTTGCGAGGCAGCTTGAACGCTCGGACTGCTTTCTTAGCTACTGATTCTTACTGATTATGGCTACTTTTGCTAATGTCTTTCCAGATTTAGCTGTGACGATTAAATAGCGGCGAAACACGCTCCCTTGGGATGCCCACGATTCAATAACGAGAGAAGCAAAATTGAAGCCCTTGTTGATGAGCACATTTCACTATAAAGCCTTATCCAGAGCATTGTACGATCGTTGCTTGTACACTGAAGACAGTGACGTTAAGACAGATGGTTTAGTGTAAAAGTCGTAATAGTTCACGGTAATTGTGTTACGTTTACCGTCACCCTTATAAAGGAATTGTAGTGGGTGCAAGTCTCACGCTAAATTATTGATTTAAATTATTCTTCTTTCGCTAAAAACACACGCACATAGATATATATACGTATAAATTTGTATACATTTTGCCACGGGAGAGACTATAGATCGTGCATTCTTGAAATATTATGAAAGTTACTTCAAATCCTCTTTTTAATAAAATTTGTACAAAATCAAAGTGAATAAACACACGCATATACCCCTTGGAAAAAATTATCATTCATGTACTTTGCCATATTACACAGTACACACTATGTCAGGTACAAAGTATTACATAGGTAGATGGTATCCAGTAATACCCAGAAAATAATCGCCTCTGTCATTTTTGTGTATCTTAATTGTTCTGCAGCTATCGCGGAATCAATTTTACTTGATTTCTAAAACGAAATTTGGACACTTCCATACTTGAATTGCACCTGTTACAGCTTAGAGGCATTGAAAAATTTTTAATTTATTGTAAAGGACGTCTATATGTAAAAAAGTTTTAATCATTGCACAAACTAAGCCATTCCTATCATTATGGTACGTTTTTAATTTACCTAAATTATGGCAAATAAGGGAGGAAGTGTTAAAAAGTACTGCATGCTAAAAAGTGTACATAATTGGTTATTAAAATAAAACATTTAAAAGTTAATATTGTCGCCTTAACAATAGCACTCAAAAAGGCGAATGAGGTGAGAACATATGAATATCATTGTTTCATTTAAATTCTTCCCGCCGAGAGCGTTATACATTCATATTTAATCTATGATGTAGGAAAAATAGATAATTTTCAAGTTTCAAGTTTTTTTGAAAGTGTACTTTTATTATGAAGAACTTAAAGCAAGCGTGTTAGTCAAAGTTTGTCGATGACTTCGTCAAATTTCTGACAGAATATGAATTCGTTTAAGCTTTGACGTGATCCATAACCGATTTTACTTTTCTTTTTGTTTGTTTATCGTCGTAATGAAAGTCAGAAAGTCCGATCACTAGTTAAAGTAGATGTCACTCAGAAGAAAATATGTTTGATAAATGTTATAATGTTGCTCCTAGACTTCTTTTGCGATATATAGTATCGCCAGGCTGAAGAATCAACTTGTCACACATTTTCATCCCTTTTAACCGTTTTTTCTTAAAGGTCAATCCAATGTCACTACGTTGTTTTGGCGTCCTGAACCAGCTCATAACATTTAAATCCAGCTGAGACCTTTATATGGGGGCGCTATAGATAATCACCTCCAATGCCAATATTAATGGTTTGTCTAGTCCACGTCATGGTTATATGGTCTTTGGACATCGGAAAACATTCATCGTTCATCTACGGTTACAATTCAGCAAAGCTATCCGTCGTTCTAAGCAGGGAAAATAAATTGTAATTTGTCTTATTCAAGGGTCCCAAGAGCGTATGTTGTAGAAGCTTAAACAAAATGTAAATCATATGAAGGTGGTTAACTTATGACGTTATGAGTTTTAACACGTCTAACGTCATTTATTGAACATCTTATTTGTATTCCTTACTATAAACACTTTTAAGAGTTCTGTAATGTTAAAAAGCGAGATTAAGGAAATTAAAACGATTTCTCTTCGACTATTGTTTGAAATTGTATCTTCATTTTTTTAATTTTTTACTCCAATTTCTCCGTTGATTGAAAATGACGGTACCTAACAGGTAGATACACGGAAAGCTAAACGAACATACTGTGTTTAAAGATATAAACTCGAAAACAAAAAAACAAAAATAAATAAATAAATGAAAACGTTACGGAAGAGAGACAATTGAAAAATCGATGAAAGAGCAAATTAACTGAGCAAGACTATAAATGTTTTGTAGTATGTTTGCCTCTTTTTGGATCTTTCGCACAGGATGCAAAAGAAGAACTTTATCTTCATCCTCCGCTAGTGAGTGTAATTTATGTTGCAAAATTACCAGCTACGTATTTATCAAATCGGCATTCTTTCATAGAAAATATACTTTTATTGTATGAAAATGACAAAACATCTTTTGTGCGAAGTATTGCCGATCGGTAGCCATAGATTTTACCCGTCTATCTGAAAGTTTGTGGATGGCACGGCAAAAGAATGTTTGGCTCTTTTGAAATAAATCAGTCACCGACCCATTTTCGTACATTTTCGTAAGAAACAAGCTAACACTTCCCAGTTGAGTGCCGGTTCTGCTGCATGAATGGATGAATGAATGAACGACATGAATGCAAAAAATATGTTGCCTTCTTTGATATTTCGTTCATTTTTCGAGCTGCGAATCGCTTAACTGGCGTCGATAATAACCGTTTCATCAAACTTCAACAGTTTATAAGAGACTACAGTCTTCTATTCGAACTAAACGTAGAATATCGCCTTCATGCAAAGTCTCGCAGCTGGTATCACATACCCGAGACTCTCGAAATCAATCCACTTTTCATCCTCAGTTACAATACGATGCAAAAGAGAATTTATTTTCTGCCACTCGGGCAAAGAAAATATACTGTTACGAATTTTTTTAATTTTTCGATTAAAAAACAATTTTACAAGGACGGACAAACTCAGCACAAAGCAAGTTACATCCTTATAACTGTAAATTTGCCTACATTTGGCATACTGTTTACGCAAAACTAAGTGGCAAAACGAATTCATCGAGGAAGTGCTATCGAGTGACAGCGATTCAACGATATCGTTGTTATATATAAATCTGGCTGATAATTACGTACAATAAATCTAATTGATTAAGGTTCTATAAAATACATGGAGGAAAGCAGGTCGTGCTTTAAAATTCATCGGTTTAGTAGAGCGATCCAAAAAATTGAATGGTTTTAAATTATAAATTAAGCCGGGACAGGCTAACTGTAATTTTAAGTAGAAATTAACAAAAATAAAGAGAAATGGTTTCGTAGAAGTGAGCTTCAGAATAATTCGCTTTTAATGACTTTGTATAATTATTGCCGAATCGTTGGATACGCGAGATTTATTTTCTAATTCTTAAATATCTACAGGTGTATATCAGAGATCGCAAAAAGTATACGGCGGTATGTATGTTTAGTCCGCTGAGAATATCAAAACCCTAGTTTCTTCATTTAATAGTGTGTTAAGGCTACCTACCTCCGTCTCCGTTCCAATTAGACAACATTTTCCTCGAATCATTTGTCCGTCGTGGCTTAGAAAAACGGCTAAATGCTGAAAAAGTATTAAGAACAATATTTTCAAAAAAGACATGAAAAGTGGCTCTGTTCACGATTATTTCAACTACTCCACCGTAAGGCAGAGATTTAATCTCATCAACTGTCAAAGTTATTGCAGATACCTTCAAATGATAAAATTTTCACTTGCTAATCCTAAACAATTTTGCAAATTTGTCAACTTCAAAAGAGGAATCTCCATACATCCATCATCGATTTAGAGACATCTCTCCCTGTACATCTCTTGGAATAAAGGGAACGGTACGTTTCTACTGCCGATGCCGATGTGTCAAGCAATTGCCCATACGAAATTGTAAATTCTGTATCCATTCCGAATTTGATCATTTCTGACAGTGACATATTACAAGCGTTAAAGCTGCTGAGATGTACTCGTGTGCCAGAAACTGATGGCATTCCATCACGTATACTGAAATCGTGCTCTCACGAACTATGTGCTACTATCGCAAAAATAGTTAATCTCTCTCCAAAGACAGGCGTTGGTAGAGTAACTTCATTATTCCTATTCATAAAAGTGGAAGCAGGCACCTAGTCGAGAACTATAGTGGCAATGTCAATTTGAACTTTTTACTTAAGTTGTTTGAATGAATTGTTACTGAACAATTTGCTTTCACTAATAAGTCGGGATTCGTAAAAGAAAGATCAATCGTTACAAACTTGCCACATTTTCAAGGCTTTTTTCTAGACACTGATGTCGTATAAACAAATTTCGTTACGGCGTTTGATTTAGCTTTGGGTTTCCCTTCATATTTGTTGAAATTGATAGGCGTTTATCATTACAACATGTCATTCAGAGCTCGGTTCAACTCCATCACATCTTATGAATTTTCCGAGAAGCCAGGTGTCCTTCAAGGGAGCCACGTAGATCTTTTGCTATTTGTCCTGTACATCAATGACCTTCTCTCGGTGATTAAGTTCAGTGTGATGTAAGTTGATGATGTGAAATTGCTTTCCTCATGTAATATGAAATCGCACAAAACAATGCGTTTATTTTTGTAACAAGTAAGTGGAATGAGCCCACGAAAGCAAGAAGCAAGCTGAAAATCATTTACTTCATTGTTTTTCCACAAAATTCTGTGCATTTTGTTTTGATGCTAATCAAAGTGTGCTTTCCTTTTTCAAAAAGTTTGTTTATTGTCCTTTAAAAGTTTAATATATAGAAATACACGTTGACGTAAAAACGAAAACTGTACGTGATTCCAATATATGTGCGAAGTGATAGAGTCGGCGAGGACATTAACACATCCAGTGGAACGAAGATATGGCCATGCAAATTAAATTTATCAAAATAATTTAGAAATACGAAAAAAAAAGCAGAAATATGAGATAAATAAAAATATAATAAGAAATGAAGTTTAAAAATTAATTGCGCTGAAAATGAATTTGCGAAAGACTTTAAAAAAAATTCACATATTTACATTTCAAGTGCAGGTATAAAAATTCTTATGCCTTAATTTATTTATAAATACAAACATTCATTCATATTCCTATACTAAATACATACAATATTTACATTTACCCTGATTAATAATTGTTTGAGTGAGAGTGCTCGTCGTTTTGGATGGCAAATGTTAATAATTGGCAATTGGTTTAATGACTACCTGGTTCATATATATTTCTTTTTTTTTGTACTCATACATTATAATAGGTGCATATGAGTATGTACTTATATGGTAAGTAACGAAAATATGGCTTTAAATATTCATGAATGTACGTAAGTACCCAGTCTGTTGGCTGAAACATTTCATCTCTTTCGACAAATTGAATGTTCTTTATATTTGTGTTCATTTTTTTCTTCATTTAAAACATTGAGATCATTTAACGTTTCCAGTATTGGCCTAAATTTGGTATTATTTGCTTTATGAATATGAGTATAACTTCATCTAACTGCTCGCGATAGCTGAAATTGCATTTGTTCTCAGTTGCAAGTTACGAGGCGGTTGCGTTTCTAACTCGTCATCTAATATATTCTCGGGTGCAGACCAACGACGCTTTCGTGATATAGAAACATCAAGGGGTTGTTGTTGCTGCGCTTTGTTATCGGTGGATTCGTTGGAAGTGGGGCTTTGGCTCCTGTAATTTTGTACATTGTGTATGGAAGACGGGCGTTGTTGATGACCATCCATTCCACTTTGCTGCAGGCTCTCTTGCCGACCTGCTAGTTGCAACAAATGGTTTTGATATAAATTGTGAATAATCTTTGGAGAGAGATTTGGTTGTATCGGATGATTGAGCGATGCCGCATCGTGTGTTATTGGTATATTCCTGTGATAGGTGTATGTGCACATCATCTTAGCCATTTCAGCATAAGTGTTATCATGATGATTTGCAAGTAACGGGGCTGTAAAGGGTGGTAACATAGGATAATTTAAGATAGGCTCAGGGGTAGGTGGCAGAACAGTCGAAGGTAGTTGTGATTGCGTAGAGTGGTTAGAATTGCTAGTAGGCGTAGCTGGACGTCTGTGATAACATGCATTTTCACTAATTCCACTTGGCGATGATTGTTGCATTTCACGTTTTGTCAGGGAAATGCATATATCACCGACTTGCAGACGTTGACATTTCAGGCCAAATGCTTTCATTGAAATTTCGGGACTACAGGAAGCCCAGCCTTGACCATAAACAAAAAACGGATGTTCCGGCGGCACTTCCATATCAATCTACAAAACAAAATATTATTTAAGATTTTGTTAAGATTTTATAAATAAATTTGCTTATCAACGTATTTGTATACACCTTTGCCCGATGTCTGTCGTAACTGAATGTTATCGAGACGGCATTTGGAAGAGATGTAGTGTTAATTTTTACTACAGTCGATTCAGCTAAACGAAGGTGAGAACTACGTTCGGCACTTTGTATGAAATCTTCAGTGCGCATATCTTCAACTCTCCGCAGGGTTCCATTCGCCAATTCAATATAGGTTCCCTTTTTAAAATTTCTCGTAGTGCTGTAGGTTCTTAAAATAAAAGTTAAGTAACATTTAATACAAAAATTGTTTTCATGTTTGCGCGGCTCGGCGTAATTCAAAGAAGTTGTACATAAATCATTTTAAGCTCCAAATTTTTAATACAATTACAAGGTTGAAAGTGAAGCGAAGTGTCATGTACGTTCTATGTTTAAAATGCGTATTTTCATATATAATGCAGAATTTCAAAAGCTACAAGTATCATTTTTTTGTGAAAAAATTTTTTTTTTTTATTTACTTAATATCCGATTGTATTAAATATATGATGGGAATGACAAAAAATGCTGATCTTTACATTAACGCCTACCTCATAGTAGAGTTTTTTTTGGATTCATTTTCATCTATGCTAGGGAGTCTTAAAAGACGGTGTTTGAGTGAGCCTTCCTTGCCGTTGGGAACTTTGAATTGTGATTTTGTAGCCGTAGCTCCTTTGGACACCGACAGATATACGCCGTTATCTAGTCGAGTAGTTGATGGGCTATGATAATCCTTTTTTATTTCGATTTCGGTTTTTTTATAAGGTTCTTTGACCGTAGCTGAAAACGTTAAGTTTGGTGAATACTCTGTTAACCCAACAGGTACTGATGGCGCCAGCGCTATCATTGAACTTGTCGGATTGTGCAAGCTGTTGTGTTTCGAAGGCATTAAATTAGTATTCACCAGTGGCGTCAGGGCAGGATTGTAAATATTGCAACCAACAGCTCTTACTGATTTTAGATAAGAATTCGAAAGCGGGTGCGTATCATTCGGCGAGAGTTGTGCATGTAACGGAAGAGAATTGATATACGTAGCAGCGTGAGCAGCATGAATAGCGTTCGAAAACATTACTGGGGCGCCATATAATGATACTGTTGCCGTACTGTTCGCATACAATTGCGGATAATTTAGCTGAAAGTTATTTGGCACTGGCACGGCACCCGTCGTTAATTCCATATTTCTAACCTCAGCAGGATTGAAAGTGGCTTCTGGCATTGCTGGAGTAGTCTTCTGATGTTGAGTAGGAATGCTGACAGGTGACATGCTATTTATATGATTATCGTCGTCAGTGTTCACAATATCTATCGAGGATGCTGAAGATGAATGGCGGCTCTCTTCGTTATATGAATGCGTATATTGAAGTGGTGATATGGAATGATTTATGTATCTGGGATTCGTTAATAAGCTCATAGGTAATCCTACTGGCCGTGAGTAATGTAATGCCTTGTTTTTATTATCATCTGCGGTGCATTTTTTAAATATTTTTTCGTTACTTTTCTTTACTATCTGAATCACTGTATCGTTATAGGCGTAAGCATCATTTGACATGCTATATCTTTAACTGAAATTCGTTTGAATCATCGTTTGAATTGCTTGTAGGTTGTGTAGAAAAATATTGTTCACTTTCGTTCTATCGTAAGGAATTAAATGTGTATCCGCTGATTGTGCAGTGATTTCACTTATGAGATCAAGCAAATAAATATTTCCATTATTTGGCACTTATTTGAATGCATTTTAAGTGATTATTGTTCACAAATCGAGCGTACCTTTGTAATTGTAACTAAATTTTTTTTTTTTTTTTTTTTTTTTTCATTTAAATTATTTGTAATAATGCAAAAGTTTTTGTATTGGTTGCGTTGTATCGGGCTGATCTTGAATGTGTTGTATTCCAAAAATAGTTGTGATTATTAATAATGAATGTACGGCACTACTATCTGAAATATTTCACACGTCAAAGTATACCGGTTGCGCTGCCATTTGTTTTAATAAATATTATAATATTTATTCTTTAAATCTTTATAATTAACCGAGTAGTTGGTTGCTCTCTAACCTGCCGCATGTCTGCTAAGTTAAACTTCTCACTTTGATTATTAAACTCATACTAACCAGCCAGGCAAGCAACAAACTAATAGTTTACCTTCTCATATTAGAATGAAAAAGGATGACGAAAGTGATGGGGAGAAAAGGCACGGTAGACGGAGAAAGAGAGGTAGAAAAAAGAAGGGTAAAGAAAGAGGAAGAAAGATAAAGAGAGAGAGAAAGAGAAAGAGAAAGAGAGAGAGAGAGAGAGAGAGAGAATAGCAAGCGAAATCAAAGAATATAAATTTTTACTACAATAATTATTACTACTACTAAGTTGAAGTGTCTGCACGCCGAACATAAACACAATCAATTTAATCGTCCATCTACCCAAGAAACACACCGACTACTCTGACATTCTTTTTTGTATGCAGTATCATAACCACTACCATTATCACTGCTATGCACAGACAACATACTATACCGTACCGTACTATTTGATACCGTACCATAAATAAGCCCGGAGTCAACGATTTCAAAATCACAACATATTTATATTTATATTCATATATATATATATATATATACATATATATATATATATACATATACAAATAGGTTCATTCTTTCGTTTTGAGTTGTATTGCAAGTTTCGAGTGTCCGACCTGCTATTTTTTTCTTTCCTCTGTTTTGTCTTCTTTCTCAATTCGATCGACACTTTTTTACATAATATAATTCAACAATAGCAACAATCAAACAGATATCACCAACAATAAAATACGCTCTACTACACTAAACAAAAACGTATAGAATCGTTTGGTTGTTATACTTTCACAAAGTTCGTGTATTCGCTTCCCATTCTGTTAATAAAGTTCGTATAGCATTATAATATAGTTATACGTAGAATAATTATTCTTCTTCTGCTTTCTATTACCATCGTTATTTTGTAATTATTATTATTATTGTTGTTATTATTACTATTATTATTACTATTACTATAATTATAATTAATTATTACTATTAATAGTTATTATAATTTAGTATTATTATTATTATTATTTATTATCATTTATAATAATTATCATTATTATTACTATCATTTAATTAAACTAATAATAATTATAAGTTTTTTTTATTATTAGTAATTGTTATTATTATTATTTACATTTGAGTGTTGTTGTTATTATTTATAATTATATAATATACATATAAAATACTATATATATACACTAAAAAAAAATATTATTATTATTATTATTATTATTATTAATATTATGATTTTTTTATTACTACCACTACTGCTAGTACCACTATTGCTACTACTACTACTGCTATTCCTTTATATTGTTGAGCTACGTAATCACACACTTATTACATAAATATTTCAATCTGTTCACGCATACCAAAGAAACAGGTACCAAATTCTTGTTATACAGGTTTTCTTTCTTTGCGTTAATACTCTCCTATATCAATATTGTTTATACGTATGAGTATGTGTATATTTTTCTGTGCATGCTTCTGTATGTTCCATGCTGTTCACAACTCCAAGCACTTGCGCGAATTCGTGACGATGCGTCCCAAATAATTTGTATCGATCGATCGATGTTTATGAGTTCTGAGCCTTTATATATTCTATTATTAGATTTCTATTTTACACAATGCAATAAAACTACAAATAAACAATCAAAATTACATGTTCTCGTTCGTCAATAGCACTAATGACAACTACGTCGAAAACATTATATACACAACGATATACATACGTACAAATGTATTACATATGTTCGACGACGTACGTACAAATGCATTATATTTGATCGATGAGTTTGCTGAAGCTATGGTTTATTCTTAATGCAATCATTTACATTTCAAATGAAAGCTTTATGCAATTAAGTCAAATAGAATGTTCTTTCGATTTTAACCTGCCACCCTATCAAGATATAAAAACTCGAATCCATGAATTTTTAATATCCCAAGTATACATTCATACATCCATAGATACATTTTTCATAAATTTTTAAAGTTTCTCAAAAACTTCATTCAACTTCATTTTAATTAGCATCTTATGGCTGTGACAGCAAACATCATTTATTAACTAAAATTATCATATATTATAACTAGACGATGTAAGGGATATGAAAATCTTCTTGTGCAGGGTATAAAATTTCCGCTTACTATTTAAAATTAGACGTTCTATTATAAACATACGCACACATGCATGTCAGTCTGGTCTGAGACGATTTTTGTTGTCGTTTATGTAGCTATGTTTGCGGATCAACGTCCTTCTCAATTAATGCACACGACATCCAGAGATATAAAAGACACCAGACGAATAGTTTTATTTGTTGGCACTGATTTATTTTATTTACAATTTTTATTTATTTATAGCTTGCAGGAATTTACTCTTCTATGGCGGGATTAAAAAAAAAAATTAATTTTGCTTAAGAGATTACATGCAGACAGTTGATTACGATTAAAGTCGGCCAAAACTAAAGCAATTTGGGAACTTGTTTACTTTATTTTCTTTTTTCATATCAATGCGCATACAATGGGATCGAGCGCTGGGACGCATTGTTTGTCAGCGAAATTTGAATCTCTGATTAAATATATTTTCATAACTTGATTGTGGTTTTTATTTTAATCAAAAATTTGATTCATATACACCATTTGTCTCATTTTTATTGCAAGTAACTGTTCCTATATACGCATTCAGTGGCTTTGCAGTCGCACGCAATATTGCATATATTCATTATATATATATATATGCACCTATGCATTGGCTGTCTGAATTGGCGTAATAAATGGAATTGTCGGTCTACTGAAATTTATGTCTATTTAGAAATTAAAAAGAATAAAAATAAAAAAGTCAAAATAAAAGATATCTATTTAAAAGAAATTTATATTAAGAAATTTTAACGATTTAATATGAATTTCATATATTCAAACTCATTAAACTTTCCTATATTGATATTTACTGTTGAACCCAGTTTTTCCTTTAGCAAGGTTTTGGTTTTAATTAATTGGTTATTTCATTAATAACTATAGTAGGCAAACATTAAGCTTTAACTAACGAAAACTTTTTCCCGTTTCGCTTCTCAGCACAATATTGTGTCGTTTCAAAGAAACGTACTTCGCTTTCCGTCAATATTCCAAGGTTTATAGCTTTACTTTTATATTTATTGCTATAATTGTTATAATATATATAGTATATATATATACTTATTTTGTTTTTACAATTGCAAATCCGACCCAATTATGGTGGTACCACGGCCCACTTCGCAATTATTGAGAATGTTCGAATAAAATTACGTGACATATATAATGGGTATGTACGTTATTTGTCAGGAGATCGATTAATCTTGATTTTCGATTATGTGTGTGTGTGTGTGTATGTGTGTGTGTGTGTGTGAAAGACATTTACGAAAATTTTTAATTTTCTTTATTAATTAGGAATTATGCAATTTATTAGATTTACTAAATGCTCGCAGTGTTTAACAAATAAACGAATTATGTTCGACTATGGCCTCTTCTTTTATATACACCACATTTGTCTTAAAGAAAACAAATTTTTATTAAAAAAACAACTTCGACACTTTATAACATTAAATAGTAGTGACCCGTTTTGTCCATTTTTGCTTCAGGTACTATAGAACCGCTCGCAAAACGTACCGCAAAACTTTTATCGTACTTATAGTTTATAAGTGACAAGCACCAGCCTTACTTATGGTTTGCTTTTGAAAACGGATATGTTTTCATAATATATTATATTATAGGTATTTGCTTCGACCGATTTGGCCTATTTTTATGACAATCTTCGTGCAAAAACTTCTATTGCGTTTGATACATTTGAAAACAATATCTTAATGTTTGGTGAACAGGAGAATGTTCACCACAGATATTACGCAAAGGGACAGACGAACATGCTTTGATTGGTTTACAAATAGCTATTGCCTAATATAATATATAACTTTATAGAGTATTTGAGGCCTCTTTCTAGGGATTCTAAACCATTTGACAAAGTGAATAGACCGCCATCCCTCGATAATGGGTGTAAAGCTAAGTATTAAGGATCCTCTTGGCCAACGTGAACAATAGGATTGATTTTCCTACGTCTGTTTGCGTGACTGCATATTTGTTTTTTTATATGACCAATCAGTTACGGGACGTGACATAAGCACGTAACGCGGTCACGGTCGGAAATAAGTGTGGAAAGAGAAACAAAGAAAGAAATAGGGAGGTGTTGACCGCAACTTAGTGGGTGTTTGTTTGCCTAGTTGGTAAGTGCTATATCTTTACCGACCGAGTTATCACTCTAACTACGATCGCAGTAAACTCTACCGCATTGAGATTCGAATCTCCGAACTCTGACTTGGTAGCTACTCGATTTTTCGCTACTCGGCGACCTATGCGGATATAGGTCAGTGAATTTGATCTAAAGATTTGTCGCTATCACGACAAAACTGTTGTGTTATGATTGAAAATTAGCTAAGTTGAACGGAGAGTTTGCTTATGCGTAGGAAAGAAGGTGTTGTTTAATAGTGATTATCACTTTGTGCGTAAATGGGATATACAAAAATAACTAGTATCAAACGTTATGTGTTCGTGGATTCATCTATTACATTCTGAGCTACGTGTACACGATAGCACATATATTATAATAATTAAAATTGCTGACTTTCCAGTTTCTTTAGTTTTTCGACATTGCACATAAATTTTAGCTATCTATATTGAGCTAGGAGGAGCACGCTGTTTATCTTTATATAAAAATTTGAGCGACATTAATTCAGATCTGCGCGGGTAAATTCACCTTCGAACAATGTATTATATATGATCCCTTCAATGTCATATATATTTGTAATTAATTAGGTAATCAATTTATTTATGTCCGATTGTATGTGTACCGGTTGTCATAAATAGATTGCTTAAAGTTTTTGCGATTAAAAACGCTTACAGTATCGAAAAATTAAATCAAACTCTAACAAAAAACAAGTGTTTTGTTTTAACAAATTTCCATTTTAACTAACAGCCTAACCTGTACTAAGTGTCGTACCGGATGTTTGTTGTAAATATTGTTTCAAGCGCTCCAGTGATGTATGAGGAGAAAGAAAACAAAAAACAAAAAACAAAAACGAATGCTAGATACCTTTTCCTTTTTCATTTATTGATATAAAATTATTCTTTGAAATTTGTGAGAGGGATCCAACAGATCCAAAAGCCTTACGAAAAATGATGCGAAAATTTAAAGTGAACACATTTTCAATGAAATATTATTAATTTAGTTTGTTTCGAGAGGCAATCAATTAAATTTATTCAATAAATTAAATATAAATATTAGTTTCAACCGTACATGTGTATTGAATTTGTTTGTTTGTTTTTTTTTTTTTTTTTTCTCTTTCTACTTATCGTTCTTATCACAGTAGTGGTCGTCGTAGTAGTAGATTATTATTTCAATATATACATACTTTGACGCATATATAAACTATACGCAATAAGAATACATGTTTCCTCGTGTTCGTTTACGTTCATGAAGTTTTCAAATGTTTACATTATGGCAAGGCCAAAACATAAACATACAACATTAAATAACAAAAATAATAAATACAAATGTATAAACAAGTTTTTGAAATTGTAAACTCACGCATACATATACGCAAGCACGAATATAATTATGTACAACGGTGTGAGCATGTGTGTAGATTTGTTGGCAGAACTTGTATTAAATTGGCGGTTAGTTATGTTATGTATATTATGTATTATGAGTAAACAAATACTACGTAAAGATATTAAGTAGTTTGACCACAATCTTGTTAGGAACATGTGTCATGTAGCTATATGCATGCACACATACGTAATTATAATCAGCACAATGCGTGCGTATTCAAGCAAACACGGACAAAATGATCTGATTATATGAGAGCATTTTTGATTGTTTTTATTGCTCCTTTAGTTGTTTTTCTTCTTGTTATTATTATTATTATTATTATTATTATTATTATTATTGTTGTTGTTGTACTGGAAGGGACGCCATTACCGGAGTGTGCTGGTAAGTACGTCGAAAGTTTGTGGGACGAAAGCGAGGCGAAGCGATAGTGGCGTATAAACGTTTATATAGTAAACAAGAGATTATTTACTGATAGTCGCTAGCTTCATGAACCGTACGTACATATATACGTACGTAAATATGTACACATGTACGAAATAGGAATAATTGCTAACTCCTGTATGGGGTCGGCTATGCGTACAATCGACGAGCAATGAAAAATTCCGGTTGACAACAAATTCTTTGTTATTTCATATGTTATAATATTAAGTCTTGCCATTGCTGGCTTGGCTTTTGTTTTGTTGTTTCATATGTTACTGTAATACTGTTTAGTATTGTTCGTTAATTTTTTGTTTTTGATACCCGATAAATGAGACGACGATAGTATAAAAACGTTCAAAATGTCAATATACATACATACGTCTCGTCTCAACATCAAACATTCACTGCAATGGGTCGTGTGGTGAGTGCGGTCGCAAATAAAAAAATTTGACAAAGGCGAAATAAATGTGCGTATATATATGCATATATATATATATACATAAACACGCACATGCGTTATATATATTTTAATTCAAGTAAATATGTTCGTTGTCTTGCATGCGACCAGAAGAAGGAGTACTTTGGAGTATTGTCTTTCGTTCTTTTGTATATGGATTCTCGCATAATGCAAACAAATTTAATATAAAAATATAGATGTCAGCATATATAATGGTAAAATGCCAACGGCCTCTATTGCGTGCTGTCGTTCGCCTGTGTCGTAACTTTTATTCTTTGCTAAGGTGTGTGAGCTTTTCCGATCATTGCTGAACTTTTGAACGTATGCTTTTTTTTTTTTTTCTTTGAATGTTCGCTTTCTTATAATAACAATGATAACAGTAACAATTACAATAATAATAATAATAATAATAATAATAATAATAATAACATCAATAGTAGTAATAATAATAACAGCAACAACAAAAGAAAAGAAAAAAAACATATTCGACAGCAGCAATAATAAAGCAAATATTCACAGAAAAATTGGTGCGTGTGTGTAGGTTATGCGCTATTTATGGATTTTGTTTCTTTTTGTTTTTTTATTTTTTATTGCTTATAAATGGCATTTTAGTGATTTTAAATTACAGGAACGCACAATGAACGGGCTTTTAGTCTGCCACGACATTATTCTACGAAGCTTTCGAGCACACTGAACATGTACCGGTGAATATGTTTATCGAGAACTATTTTTATTTTACTACATTATCCGTACTGCCACTAGTGTGGTATTGAGAAATTGTTTGGGGACTTTAAAGCGCCTACAACCGCAGATGATAATGAGAATTTTTTGTTTAAGCCCATGCGCCTGCATATGCATACGTAGATCTTTTCATGGAGCATATTAGAGAGAATTTCATCGTTCTAGAGAGTAGTTAGTCTCTCCATCCTCTTATTCTCTTGTTTAGAATGCATATTTTAATGATTTCATAGCTTGTACAGGCTGGTTTTTTTTTCCAAAGAGAATATTTCTACACGAAATTTACGTGAAAGCTTTTGATTTCATTTGCTTTATAGGTAAGTTGCGTTGATAGGAGGTGATCGCATTTTCTTCTTTTTTTCTTTCAAAGTTGCAGCTCGGCTAGCGGCGCTCGCAAAACCTAAAAAAGCGAAAACTTGGTTTTCAATATTGGGTAAGATGTTAAAGTAATGTAGTTTGCTGATAGCTGAAGTATTAGAAATAAGCTCATAAGTATTACAGTATTGGAAGTTCTGGCATGGCCTTGCTAGGAAATAAATAGTCAGCCACAAGTTACAGACGATATTCAGAATAGAGGGGCGATAAACAAATGTAGTGTGCTGAAAAGTCTCTTAGGATTACCAATTCAATCCTCTGAACATCATAAATAAGAAATTTTCTCATACTCTCGTCGCGCATACAAAATATCGGCAATAGTACGAAAAACGCAAGAAAATTCCGAGAATTCAGCTGTAAGTGTTTACATTAATAGTAAGATTTACTTTACCTCAAATATTTCTATTGCTTTCTTGCAATACTTTGCAGGTGTGAAGAGCTATGAACTTTGATGATACCTTAACGCACACTTTGATGACTTCACACATCGGAAAATTGATGCAGTTTGCTTATAGGTATATAGGGTCTTTCAAGAAGATCAGTCATTTTGAAGTATGCTCCCTATAGAACAAAGGGGGCCGTGAACTGTGCTGCAACGTCCCGTTGAAAATACATGTGGTCCGTACACGTAGCACAAACTTCAGGTTAAAGGGGATCAATCAACCACGTAATCCATCCGCTGCAGTCCTCAAAGTAGCATCATTTTTGGAATGTACACATCACACACATAATAAGGCATACTGTAAAAAGTAAAAAAAAAAAATAAATTGAAATTTTTCAAACTTCAAATAATAGGATTAAAATGTTGTTTTTCGCATAAATGAATCCTAGTCAATGAACCCTAGAGTCTTATATGTAGTTTGAACTTAATTTTTTGAATGTTTCGTATTTCATGGCCAGCAATTTTTTTTCTTTACCTTACAAAATAAACGTAACCCGCTTCATAAAATCTGTATTATTATACCACGATGCGGCCCACGTTTGCACAATACTTTATTACGTCACGCTGTGAAATATGCACATTATAAATCAACTGTTATGCGAGTCATATTTGTCGAGTCATGTTGCAACTTGAATAAAAATTTATTGAGACATTACATGCCTGGATTGACGATTGATGAACAGCTAGTCCCTTGTCGCGTAAAAACACCATTTCTATAATGCGTACCATCAAAACCGGAGCGGTATGAGATTGAAAAAAGATTTTCTGAACGCACAAAATCAGTACTTCCTGAATTAAGTAAGGCTTGGTATCACTAGAAGGTGTTATGCCTTTCGATGATCAATTCAGACTCGTCTTTACGCAAGCTTTTCCCGTAAGAAATTTAATACCAATGGCCAAGTAGTTAAGAGGCGAATTGAAAAAGACTACGTAAAATTGCATGGCACAAAATACAACAAGTAAGAAAATTAAAATTGGTCGGGACCGAATCTTTTACACCCATCACCTTTATCCTAAAAGCGACAAAAGAAGTAAAAGAGCATAATATTCATGCTCTATAGTACGGAGTGGGCGCAGCTAATTTTTTCAATTATCAAAATAAAAGTGGTTGTCGTGTAGGCATGTGGGCATTATAGGCGTGTCCTTTGAAAAGTTTAAGTCAATTCCAAATTCGTTTGCAAATTCGTAGGCGATATCTTCATTTTCGGTAACGAGAGAATGTTTACCACAAATACTATAAAGTTGCGCAAACAGACAGATGGAGAGACGAATAGGCGGACATGTTTAGTTGCATTCCAAATTTTAAAACTGGCCATGAATTTATATACTTTAAAAGTTTTTTGAAGCTTGTCTCTGCGCGTTGTAAAGGTATTGAAAACAAAACAGTTAAATTTTGATACACTATAATATTGGTTAGGCGTGATCAATTTTTTTTCATTTTTGTGCACAGATGCTACAGCATCACCCATACATTAGGCGTTCAAATTTGTGTACACATATTTGCTATAGTTTATGAGCAGTGAGCAGAAGAGAAACAATTTTTCATTCCCTTTGAAAAACAGAGGTGTTATCAGTTTACGTTGTGCTGTGGGCGTGTTCTTCTGCAGATTTGGCTCAGTTTCAATGAAAACCTGCGTGCAAGAACTTCAAAATGTTTCTCTCAAATTTGAGGTCGATAACTTTGTTTTTGCGGCCAGAAGAATGTTCACAATTACGCTTTTTATCTTTTTTAGGATAACGGGAACGAGTAGAAAAGATTCGTTCATGAGCGAATATAATTTTCCTTTTTGTTTCTATTAAGATTGTGCGGACGCATACAACACCCAGAAGGGCATGAGCTAGATCAATTTTTTATTATACTGATCGATTCAGAGTCACTTTTTTAATCGATCCAAGTTTGTATATTTTTCTGTCAGTCTATTCGTCCGATGTCTGTCCATTTATTTTTGTATTTAACCTATAAGTTGCAATTTTGTAACACCCACGTGTTTATTCCGAAGTACGAACACGATTAAAAATGGTGCATTACCTTTTCGACCACTTCCAATATAATGGGTAAACTATGGTGGATCGCAGCCGTATCGTAATGCGTTTACTTATTTTTATTCTCTGTTCAGCTATTTACACGTGTTATATAATATATGCAACGCGCGTGTATCAAATTTAGCTAACGAATCCATTTTCTAGATCTTTAAAGTGTATATCGAAAGTCAATAAACTATTTTTAATCGATTTTCTTATAACGTCATGTGAAACATAATCTGTCTACATATTTCATTCAAAAGTGAATTATTGCCACATGTATAGGAGATAGCAAAAGTTTACAACTTTTATACCTAAACTTTTAGTAGAGATATATTTTGGTGACTTTCGATAAAAGTTTTACCTAATATGGCAATTATTGCAGGTAGTTTAGAAAAAATTTATGAAATTTATTAACAGCTGCATTCACAATTGTGCATCAATGGCCATATTTTAAAAATATTAAAGGGAAAGATTTTCAAAAATATCTTTTCATCCTTAAAAGCATACAATATATGGCAGACGTTTAGACTCTCGTAATTCAAATGCATTTCTTGGCAGTAAAATGTACTGTACGTTGCTCATTCAGGCGCATAGGGATATGCAGATGGTAAGCAATACAAATCTAACTTAGTGTACAGGTCAACCACTTGAAAAAACAATAGATTATAGTCGACATCATAATAAAATGGTTATATGGCTATTGTTTAACATTGGTATTAACTATCGCATGTGCACTTAGATTTTTCAGGACAAAAAGAAAAATTATAAAAACAAGAATTTGAAAAGTAGACGTACAAAACAAGTACTGGGATTACTTTGAAATTCTGTTAATAACCACTTGAGATTTTATGACGGCACCAAATTTTCGAAGGCGTAAAAATCTCTATGACGTCGAACAATAAACAACACTTGAAATCGCGACGGGTGTAAAGTAATTGATGAAGTATCATAGAGCCGTAGCCCGTAACGTAGAAGATAATAGAAGTAAAACAAAAGGTGCGAAATTTCTGTGAAAAATTTCAAGGACCTTAACAATGTTTAAACATTTTCGTACCTGCAAACAAACAAAAGTTGTTCTATACAATGAAGCCGAAAAACGTACGGTAATGCGTAGAAAATGAGTAAAAAAAGATAGACACTTGTGACTTGAAAAATATTATAAAAAAGAAGAGACTGCAAATTTGCCAAAGTATATACATAACTTGACAGAATGAACCGACCGTATCGGAGGTTGAAGTATTTAAAAACCTTTTATTTTACAATAATAGAGAAGGCGCACTGAGACGTATTCTTTCAAAGGCCAAGTCTGAATCACTCAGCTAAAGAGGATCGTCAGACTAAGAAGCGCCGCATTAAATGCACACATTCGTTCATTTTTCAGTGCGAGTATTTAATGAAAAAAGTATTTAAGAATCGATTTGAAATTCCTTTCAAAGCTGTTACTGACGATTAAGTGCTTAACGGATATGTGTAATCCGTACTATAATAATAAATGTTGGTTTTGCTGTTCTTGTAAAAATATTGAAAACGTCATAAATCGTATGGAAAATGGTAAAAGTCAATTCTTTTTTATAGCTACTATAAACAAGTTTAGATCGATCTTCATTACAATTATTAATTTAGCGGTAAAAATAATATACATTCGAGTCGCAAAACTTGGTATTCTCTCAAAAGTCAATAAAATAATAATTTCTAGTATTCTCAGTAGGTTGACAAGAATTATTCTGCTTAAGCAAATTAATTTAGATGGTTGTGCGGCATACGAATAACCCCAAGCCAAGTGGGCGGGAGTCCTGAAAAATCCGGGTAGTTTCATTAGAAAAAATGATTAGTGGACAAACCTATTTTATATTTGTTAGACACATTTTTGTCATTTGCAAGCATCTGCCCTTTTCGTTGTATGCAGAGAAACTCCTAGAGGATCACAAGCTCGCAGAAGTCCTCCAAAAATCGTTCGAAGAAAAAACTATTTGCATAAAAGTAGCACCTAAATAAAATACCTGCAATTATTTTTCCTTTCGCTCTTCTAAGAAAACTACTATTCTTCCGTAACGAAATGCAATAAAATAAGCGATTTCTAAATCAAGTGTTCGCGCATATAGCGGTGATCTTCCTCATCTAGTTAATGGAAAACATCTGTCGATGATGTCGCTTGGTCGTTCATAAACTTACTATCAACAAAATGTCGCGAAGTAGGTTGCGATTTATTTAGACCAAGAGTTGACGCCAAAAAGGCACATTCGAAATGCACAAATAAGAAAAGGAGTAACAAAACAAGTAGAAGTAGTACTTTTGTAATAATCCAGGAAAAATTATAATATTTGTATACAGAGGCATTCTTTTTATGAAAGTTCGCTTATTGGAGGATGCACGAAATGTCACTTGGCGTGATCCGTATTTAGCAAAATTAATATATCATCCCAGATTTTCTTATATTTGGGCTGTTGTCCCCATAAAAGGGCTTGATTTTCATAAGAACCCCTTTATATGAGGGGGTAGACATATTTGTACAAATTTTTCTATGGTTAATATTTATGCTACGTAGGGATTAGGGTCCAATTTTTATCATAAGAAAATTGAAAATTAAACTGTTTTCCAAATTGCTTACTATTCATAGATTGGTGTAGAAGAAAAAGATTCAAATTCCAAAATGGTTCAAATTTGCTCCGATTAAATTTTACTTAAAATATTAAATATTCGATATTTTTAATAATCCTTATATGCAGTGAAATCCCGAAATTACATCTGATTCACTAAGGTTGATTAATATTGAAAATTAAACCTTTTTTTCATATAAGAAATGAGTTATTATAAGAATGATTATATGAAAGACGATTCAAAAAGTTAGCCTTTCGATCCAAATTTTTGATAACAACTTAAAATGATATTACTCAGCGACTTTTGGTCGGGAAATTCCGAACCATTTTTAATAGCTTTCACCTTCGGGCTAAAGCACATCAATATAGTGAATTTTGAGCGCATGAACAAACAGATTGACAAGTTTAGTTCGGTTCAGAACCAGTTTCCGCTTCAATCGATCTTTACTTATGCAAACGATAGCAGAACTTTGCAAATTAAAGAAAACTTCAGTGAGTTAACTAATGTCTTTCAAGAGTGGAATGCAGCCTTTGACAAGCGTAAATGACTAGATGCATTCCCACCGTTGGATAGAAGCGAGGGTGTTAATCAGGCTGAAAATGGTGACTTGACTTCTCCATTTTTAATACTCCGGCCGCTAAGTCTTCAGGGTGTGCTTCGCCGTCGATCACCGACGAGTCTTTCGTGTTTGAGGGCACTAAATCGGTGATAAGAGATGTTCCGCCTATTTGTGTTCTTTCCCCATCACATTAGTCCTTAAATGTAGCTACCTCGCCTGGAACGTCAGTTGTGGATATTGTCGCTTCTAACGCTGGTTCGGGGTCTGGGGCAACATGGGGAGCTAAATTCGCGAAACAAGCATCTTCGAAGAATAATTACCGTGAAGTTGGGTGTAATAAACTAGCTGATGGCAGAGAGGTTGAAATGGTTAGTGATGATAGCCCAGGCTCCGTCATGGTCAGTACGTGTTCGGGAAAACCGGTTGTTTTTTGCGATGCTGATGTACTATTCCTGTATCCATGTTAGGCGCCAACGAGCTAATGAAGGATTGTGTGTCTACCGTCGCTGCTTTGAATTCTCACAAATTGGTAGTGATATCTATTTTTTTTACATTTCTCCAGCGTCTAATATTGCGATTTACTTAGAGGACTTGTCTTTGATCCTCTCAAACGCAGTGATAAGTTGATAGTGCTAGACTACACTCTTTTTTTATGTATTAATGTACAAAGAGTTTTTCGATGGTTTCCAAGAGTTGGGTCTGCACCGTCTTCACGTGTACAACGTCTTAACACGTGAATAATAAGCTGCTTGGCTTAGTTTTTTGCTGTGATATTAATAAATCTTTATCTCGAATTGATCCCTTTGTTTCGCATGAAGACAGGCATCATCTGTCATTGTTGCTGGCTGTAAATTGTGTAGCTGGCAGTAGACTGTGTAATCAAGTCATTACTGATCAGCGTTTATTTGCTAATACGAATTATGTCAAGCTTGGGAACTAGCTGGCTGGCATTGACTGAGACTTACGCTATGAGGATATTGATGATTCGTTATCCTTTGTTTACAGTCAGCTTTTTTCCGCAATTTCCGTCTCGGTATCATTTAAGTCTTCTCCTAAGTTGGTATACCAAGGATTTATGAATGGTCCTTAAAAAATAAAAGTAGACTATTTAAGAAAAATAGTCGTAGTGGCTTGAGTAGTGATTATATGTTAGATTATACGTTATAATCTAGCTTTAGATGGGATTATAGCTCCCGGAAAGCAACTTGCTATTCCAATTTTATTAATGCAATCAAGCGCTAACTGTATACCAATTCGAAGGACTTCTTAACTAACTCTTTATCTTAACCAAATTTTAAAATTCTTTATTAGCGATCAGGTGTGGTTCATTTTTCCATTTCTCTACAGTTACTATATAAAGATTTTTTTCGCTTTTGAAAAATGAACTATCATAAGCTTATGTTGGAATGAAGACGTATTCAGCGGCCAGTTTTACACATTTTCAAATTTTTTGTGAAATTTAAAGCTGATAGCTTAATTTCAGCGGCCGGAGGAATTGTTGCCACAGATGGACAAACGGATATGCCTAAGTTGATTCGAAAATTTTGATACTGCTCAAGAGCTTATAAATTTTATAAGGCCTCTAAAACATTCTTCTAGGTATTGCAAGCATTTCGAAAAGGTATATATATCCCAACACTTCGACGGTGGACATAACAACGGAGGCGTATTAGAACTTTAACGAAGACGTTCCCTATTTAATCCCGGGCTTCGAAATTTTCTGGGAATTTAAATTAGTCGTAAACTAATCCGATCCTAAGTCAGCAAGTAAGAAACACATGAAAAACGATTAACGCAAAGATATTGGGTCACCCATTTCGTGGTTCCGAAAGTAAGTGTAAATGAAATACACTTTTGAATGAATCAATTTTTCTTTCTCTTGTTTGAATCTTGCCATTACAAGTGGCACACAGCGCGTACATAATTACACCGGGTACAAAAATTGTTAAAACTTACAATCTAAACATTAAATGCGCTGTTACGTTTCGTGTATGTGGGATGAAGTTTATATTTGGTTAGCTGGCTTCGGGTTCGGAGAATTATTGTCGCTTTGATTTAAAGAAAACGCATCTGATGTTCCTAAACGACTTTTACGTGTACAAAAATGGTTTGTGGGCGGGAAATGTCATTTTTGAACACGAAAATGGTATTGCAGTTTTAGTCAATGGAGAACGGTAGAGAAACATAACAGCTGATTTTTTGTGGCAAGATTTAGATGATTTCGGGTTGGACGATATGTGGCTTCAATAATATGGTGCAACCTATCATGTATTTTGTGACTCAATCAATTTATTGGAAGAAAAGTCAATGGACCCTATAATCTCTAAAAATGCCTATGAGCCTATGCGGTTATTACAAATATCATGCGATTTAACTCTATTGGACATCCTACTTCAGGGTTATGTTGGAGCGTTGACTTGCTCCAACAAACCAAGACCTCTCAATTTCCTTATTCACCAAGGTTATTCGTGTTACTCGTGAAATTAAAACAGATTTATGTGGAAAAATGGCAAAAATTGATTTTCTAAGATTGAATTACTTATAGAAATCCGGAGGCGGTTATTTACATGAAACTATTTTTAAATAAAAATAGTATGCACCAACCAACATTTAAAACAAAAGAAAATGCATGTCGAGAGTTTTTACCGTTTTGTTTTTATTATATTAAAAAAAAAAAAAAAAAAAAAAAAAAAAAAAAAACGGAAAACATTCATATGATTATACAGCGAAATTACCAGTTAAACATAAATGAAAGATTTGCAAACGCTGATTGCAACATACTCAATACAAAACTTTAGCATGGTTAAACATGTTACGAGATAAAGGCGAATCTAAATTCTGCTTAGTGGTTGCGTGAGTTGATTTAATAAGTAGTTTGAATTTATTCAACTATCACTGATATTAAGTACTAGCGCAAGCAAACTATAGGCGTTGTTCATCGTCTAGAAATGGGAATTTCAGAAAACTATGTTAGAATCTTTTATTTTTGATATATTTCTACATTACCTTGGTGAAAATTGGCAGACCAATCTCAAAAAAGTGCCCGGCTCTTAGTATAATCGGTCGTTTTACATACAACATAAACAGTAAAATATTTTTACGCTCGGCTGCTGTCATGTCGATCCAATTACAATTGTATACGGCTGTATGAAGAGCGGCGGACTGGAGAGTAAGCTCATTGCAATAGTGACAAGGCAAGTAAATTTGCGCGGCCATAACCCACATATATTGAAATACAGACAAAAAATCAAGCGGTGTCTCTATGAAACTGATGGCTTGCAAACGGTAAATGCTAAAGCACAGCACCACAGAACTAAACAAAATTTGACCCAATATGGGATAGGATATGATCTTCTCACAATGACGCGACATGCTTTAGAAGTGAATAAGGGGCATGTTAAAACTGTTTAATGTTAAAAATTAATAATAAAATATACCTTTTGAGTTTACTATGAAACGTAATAATCTCTTTAAGATTCTTTGTCACATCTTCGGAGGTATAGCCCAATTTTACTAAACGCATGGAAATCATTCTAAAACATACGGCGATATGTTTTAACAGATAGCAAAAGTACATATCAACGGTGCAGTTCGAGATACATGTAAAAGCCATGCCGATAAAATCATAAAAACAGATATACCAGAAGTACGACGATTGCTCCCAGCCTGCCGGCGTCCAATAAGCGAACGGCAAACGATACGTCTCCATGTATGGAACACTAACAAATGAAAGTATCAACACGCTTAGGCTGCAGCTGATATAAACAAACGCGATTATCTTAAAGGTCTTAAATTGACCGTTCCAGATAAGGTGCTCGTTTGCGCTCTTCAATGAGAACAGATTGTTAGTCTGCCATTCTAAGAATATGAATTGCAATAATCGTGCAAATCGCCAAGCACTTAGAACTTTAATTACGAATGTCGTTTCAGTAAATGCTATATATATCACATCGGTAGCATCGTTAAAATTTGAACTAAAAATTACCTTTAGCCACATTAGCGTAGTTAAAGTGAACGTAATGGGCACGTGCAACATTATGTTTAGTGGTAAGATTTTTGCGGGATCTCTCAAAACTCCACATTTCGACAAAATATAAATTATGAGTCGGGAGTTTTCTGTGGTACTAAATTGCATACTGAAATTGATTATCTGAGCTGACTATCAAAGGCAACTGCGTCCACGGTTACTTTATAGTAAATTTCATGAATTTCATGTCGTAACAATTAAAAATCAATCATCAGTCGGTCTTTCAGTCGGTTTAGCGATTTCATTGATTGCAAGAAGATTGTCGTTCTCAATGCAGCATATTAATAATTCAAATCATACATTATTAGCTTTATTTCAATTACTAAATTTTAATTATAGTTAATTTTTTTTTTTTACATAAATTTCAAATAGTGTATAGATAATTATTGTCAATCAATTCTAATTAAAAAGAACTTAAAACTTTTTTTGCTTTATTTAGTTATTGAACGCTGAAAGTCAGAAATCGATTTAGCTTTACTAACTTATTAATAAAGGTAAAATGGGCAATTAAAATTATCGAGCATATCTGGGACTACGTCAGTATTATATGTTGTTTTCTTTTTCTTGTATTCCTACTTAAAAATATACATTTATAGGTTTTGAACACAATTGCTTTCCCTTCCGAATTAATTAAGTTGTGAACAGTGAATAAGAGTAGAAGTAGTTATGGTATTTCGTAGCGTGAAGTCACTATTGGTGTAATTGCCTTGAGTATTAGGTAAGAGGAAGCAAATCTTTTGAAAGCACTCTTTTTTACGTTGTGTTCCTATTTGATTTTATTTATAGTGAAGTTCCGGGTTTTCTTAGAGGTAATCGCCTTCTTTGACCCAGTAAAGCTAAACCACGTGGTTGAGTCTTTGTTGTAGTCTCCGACTCTTCTGTTGTTTCAACTTTTGCCTCTTCGTTTGTAGCTTCAGCGGTTTCCTCCTTATAAGATTCTTCGGAAGAGTCAGCTGCTTCTCCTGTTGGAGCGGTTTCTGTTTAATGGAAGCATTTTGTTTTTGCTAATTTCAACTGACTAACGAAATTTTTTAATAATACAATACCTGTGGTCGATGGTCCTAATTGCAAACGTCGTTTAGCGAGTAGAGGATTTACTTTTCTTGGTGCTGCAGGCGGTGCTGCTATTTTAGGTTTATCAGTCTTTTGTAAGCCACCTGGACGCGCTCTGTTCTTTAAGCGATTTAAGCTATTACCTGGTAACGGTGCTTCCACGGTTGCCGGTTTTTCGTTTTCATCTCCTTCAGATTTAATATCATTATCAACTGCAGAATCATCGCCAGCTGTTGCGGATGATTCCGTAGTAGGCTTGGAAAATTTTCCGCGTGCAGGCAAGCGATTTCCAGCGGCACGATTAATATTGAAACGGGATGATTTACCGGGAGTTGCAGCTGCTATTGCGGGCTTATCATCCACAGTGTTTTCGCTATCATTTAAATCCACGTCCGATGTGGGAGCTTTTGTAGTAGTTGGCCTGCTGCGACCACGTAAATTCAGATTTGGACGACCACGTAAGTTTCGTGTTGTGGTACTCGCTACAGAGTCATCTTGATTACCTGATGGATGAGATTCTAAAGGTTCAGCAGTCGTGCTGCTGCCCCGTAAATTGAACCGATTGCGTGCTGCAAAAATTTTGAATCAGGTAATAGTATGAAATACAAAAATTCAGTCTTACGTTTATTACGGCCAAAACCAGAGCTAATCGGTTTCGCTTCCTTAACACTAATTTCGTCCTCTTCTGCATTGTTAGGAGCAGCTGTTGTTTTAGCACCAGGTCGATTACGACCGCCAATAGAAGGTCTTGAGAAGCGATCTATTACAGGAAGATAGTTAAACGATTACTAATTTTCAGATAGTTTTCACTTACTTCTTCCGCTTTTAGGTGGCTCTTGAGCGCTTGGTTCTTCAGTGGTTGTAGAGGTTGTGACTGAACTGGCATTAGGTTTTGGCTTATACCGATTACGTCCGCCTATGCCAGCTCGTTTGCCGCCAAATAACGGAACTGATGTTGTCGTAGTCGTAGTAGTGGTTGTGGTGGTAGTTGTAGTTGTAGTAGGTTTAGGTGTTGTTGTGGTAGTAGTGGTGGTAGAACTGGGTTCTTCCTCCATTATAGTCGTCAGACCTTCTTCTGAATATGTATCAGTTGTATCTGGCGCAATTGTCGTAAGATCAGATTCTTCGGCTACGTCGGATATGGTGGTCCCTTCCATATTATTATTTTCATTAGCAAGTATGGCATATAAATCTAACGCTGCTTTTTCCATTGTTGGAGTAGTTTCTTGAGTGATCTCACTAGCGATGTTTGCTTTTTCTTCCTTAACTTTATCATTTTTTGCATCTTTGGCTTTTCCTGCAGCCGCAGCGGCTGCTTGCGCAGCTATTTCTTGCTCAATTACAATATTGTCTCCATTGCGGGTACCTTTTACTTGTTTTTCGTCTGTGTTGAATGTTTCACTATCCACCAACTCTAAACTGGGACGTTTAATGCTAATTTTTTTCTTTTCGGCGGCCGTTTCAAGTGAGTCTGAAGCAGGTGTAGGAGTTACATCGGCAATTTTACCACGACTTGGGAATCGTGTATTAGCTGGCAAGCGTTCTGCATCTATGCTTTCCTCACTGCCAGACACGCTTGAAGAGCGACCTTTTGCTTTGCCACTAACTAAGCTATTATCAGTCGGCGTGGCAGCCGTACTACGCTCAATATTTGTATAACGTGATTTTCCACGTGATTCAGCCTTAACTTCTTCTGCTACTACTTTGGGCTTGTTATCATCTTCATCATCCTCGTAGTAATAAACGTATTCATACTCATAATCTTGACCATTGGGGCCCTTTTTTATCTCAATACGTGATTTTTTATTAATTTCGGAACCGGCATACTCCAAATTAATAGATTGATCGACAAAATCAAGATTCATCTCATCATCTTCTAATTTAGTTTTTTTCATGGGGATATTAGTTGTTAGCGCTGGAATAGGAACTTCGGTGTTGGAAGAAGACGCCATGTTATCTAAATTATCTTTCGATTTATATACAGAACTAGCCGCAGCCTCTACCTCGGCTTTTATCATTTCCAATTCAGCTTGTTCAATGGCACGTTTAGCTTCAATGCTTTTCATTACATCTTCATTGATCAGAGCGCTGAGTACTGGGTTCAGTTCGGGACGTTCTTTGGTAGGCAGTAGGTTCATATTCTTGAATTCTGCGTCCATGTCATATTGGCATGTTTTATGTGAAGTATGAAAATCATTTTCCTCGTTAACTTCTGGATTTTTGTGAGCAGTTTCGAAAGACACCGAATGCTCTACCCGTGTTTCTGTAGGCATTACTGTTGCATCTATTGAGTTAGTAGCCTTGGTCAAGCCGACCAATAGCCAGAAAGCAAATCTATAAATGAAAAAATAAAAATAAGAATAAAAGTGAAAATGAAAATTGGAATTAAAACCGACAAAAAGGCTCTTGATAAGTGGAAAAGAGTAACTATGAAAGAGGAGAGAATATGCCTGCCGTGGCGAAACAAGAGATGAAGTAAAATGTTGCTGGCCTTGATGTATTTTCCTGCACGGTTGCAATAATTAAGACCTTGAAAATATTATTAAATCCGCTGATGGGGTTTTTCTCGTGCCAAAGATTGTTGACTTTTAATTTTGTAACGTGCAAATGTTCACATTACGTTGCACGTATATGCGGCTATAAAGATAGATATTTATTTATTCACAAATTAATTCCTCATATTATAGGCAACATTTTGAAAGAAAGAAATTCAAACAAACAATCATACAAGCATATTGCACTTCGCAAATGATCGTTATATTTAAGTGGCAAGTAGCCAGAGAGAAACCATTAACTGTTGTCGTTGCGGTGTCAAAGTAATGCCAACACAGTTATAGTTACGTGACTGCAATTTAGTGAATAATGATGATGATGAATAAACTCCTACAGGTAAAAACCAACTAAAAGCTCCATTTATATACAAGTACGAGATTTTTCAATTCATGTACGCATATCATTGTTTCTTGTCTTAACATTTATTGCTTTTATTATTACTATTGTTTCATTCGATATTGATGACGTTCGTGATGACTGCGGTGAATTCAAATCCGCATTGCGTTAAATATCAAAGGCGATCCATAGTACCGAAGAAACGAAAAATGAAACTTCATTGAACTCTATTAAAACTCAAGGCAAACGGCCACCAAAGTTGTACTACAAGAAGTATGGATAATAAGGCAAAAAGGAGAGAGAAAGATAGATAGAAAGAGAGAGAGAGAGAGAGAGAGAGGGAGAGAGATGCTTGTAAGGTTTAGCTATAGATACCGATAGCTTTAATTGTCACTACTATCTCCTGTAGTGCTTATATTGCTTTTGCTAATGAATTGAAAATCTAGCAAAGAGTTACCGGGTTTTCATTTTAGTGCGCATAACTCTTAAACTGGATCAAAAACTAAAACTTGATTCAGATGACTTTCCGATCGACTGCTTGTTTACTTTGTTTAGCTAGTTTGCCTTCGAAAGCTTGGCCTGTGGTTATGCATATGAGTTGCACCAGCGTATAATGATCATTGATTGCTGACCGTATGGTAACAAGAAACCGGTTGTTTCGTTGTACGGATGTATGTATGTATGTGTGTATGTATGTATGTATGTATGTATGTATGTATGTATGTATGTATGTATATGTAAATATATATGTTAAAGCATGATAACCCTTTCTTTATAGTGAGCTAGTATCAGGTTAACATTCAACTTTGTACATAAATACCAATTTATTTTTCATACATATATTCATAAAAATGGTTGTTCTTTGTCCTTGTCTCAAAAATGAAACTTGTTTCTCTGTTATTCATAATCTAAGTACAAACCGCAAATGAATACTATCCCGTAAGCATTGATACGAAGAGTAAAAACATCTATTGGAAATCTTTTTTTTTAATAACGTTTAACGTTTCCAGCATTTGTCTAATGCGTTCAGTCAATTCATAATAAAAATTATCACTAATCAACAGAATTATTAATAATTTCACAGCAACAATAAAATTTTATATCAACCACGCCTTTATGAATATATGAAACTCGCAAAACTCTTTACCACGAATGTGTAATAAATACTTTTGCTAAATTCTAATTCGTAACAATAGCAATATTTAGGATTTCATAGGATATTCATAGGATCGGTATGTATTCATTTTATGAAAAACACATTGAACACTGAATATTCAGAGAGCCTATAAAATATGCATACGTGTATTTTTAATCAACAATAAATTCTAAATTGATTTAAGCATGTCCGTCTTTTCGCCTAAACAAGTATCTGTAGTAAATATGAAATAGGTCGACTTCAATTATTATAAAAACATTTTAAATTCTAGCAAACAGGTCAAAACATGAACTGAGCACATTTTTATTTTCAAAAGTCGAAAAGAAGGATTTTTGTTCCTTATTTGTAAACTACAACAATAAAAATTTGCATATTCTGTGGGCGATGTTAGAGTACTTGTAGAAAAATGGAATAAATCGCCCATCCTCACACAATACTATAGAGTGCCGAGATATAATTTTTATTGATTTTTTTCTTAAGATGAACGCGGTCGATTTAGAAGACTGAGTCGGCCACAGTTGAAGATAATTCTTTCCCTTAACAAAGTTTCTTACAGTTCTTGTAGACCTGCACCAGATTAGTCTTTCTATTGCAGTTTTTGCAAGGATAAAACTACCGCCGCCAACTGAAGAATAAGCCGCGGGACAATAGTGGCGAAACTTTGAATAACGATTATACATGGAACGCATGAACACTTGTATCATTTTACCGATCGACCTGCCAGATTGCTAAAGAATTAAGCATGAAAAGCCAATAGCAAAAATAACAAGTAACGCATTCATCTTATTATCAACATTAATTGCTCGATTCTTGCTTCCAAAAATCGGCAAATTTTACAACTGGTATATAGCGCCGGGGAATTAGAAGGATGTTAAATTAATCATTCCAATTTTTACTTTCATGAGGCAGGCAGTCGGTGAAGAGTGTAGCAAGGGAAAGAAAATTAATTCTTAAATTTTCATAGCTGTGTTTTTAGTCGTAACCTACGTTTAAAAGCCACATTCCATACTTCGTTTGCTATTGCATATGTTTTGGCATCTATAGTTGTTACAGCTTTTCATCTCAGATGTGCCGACAGAGTATCTCAATTATTCGCCATCTTTGCTTTAAGTTTTCGTTATTATCATCAATCATTCAAAATGACCAAAAATTGAAAGTGATTGACTTTTCCAAATATCGCTCCCATGTTTTACTTACAGAAGAAACGGGAACACCGATTTTCAATACATCCATAAGAGCTGCTCTTTGTTCTTTTCTTTCTGACGGCCATACGAAAGCACATATAACATTTGCGAAAGGTAGCATTAAATAAAGTCGCCTTCTCATCTTGATATGGATACAAGAAAAACAAAGACAACTGAGACACGATAGAATTTATAAAATCTTAGAAGTTATCTTTATCATTCTGTCAATCAATATGTCACTGTTCTGACAGGAATTCGAAATGAACGCGAAGAAATTGAAAATGTGTCAAAAATTAATAAAATGAGCTCTTTATCGGTTTGCAGCATGTAACGCTTCAAAATATGACTCAAATACTTACGAAAGCCAATATGAAGTTCAACGTTACCATAAGACTGTTTGACCTGGCTTTCTTATCAATTCCTCATTAAGTTCATGCTTTCAAATCGAGGGAGAAGGAGGGCATATGTATAATCGAGATTAATGACAACGATAATCAACTTGTAATAGATCAACATGGCAAATATCAACCAAAAATCATTTATTATATTAATATTTGACATTTTATGGTCTGGGTTTTTATGTAATTTTTTCTTCTATGTTATTTTTCCTTTTTGTAGCGCTGTCATACGATTCATTATTTTCCATTGGCTCTTATTAAAGTATTATGAAAGGAATAATTTTTTCAAAGTTTTTATAGAAAAGATTCACATTTATTGGTCTATAAAAATTATTCAGAAGAAAAGCTAATAAAAAAAGAGGGTATGTCCTGTGATTAAACATTTTATTATAAAATTTTGCTTACATATAAAAATGTAGGCTAACTTTGCATAATTTTCCATTATTATATACGAATTATAGGAATTTCAAGACATCGTTCTATAAAAAAACATGAGAAATATTTGTAAATAATTTACGAAAAATTTCATGATAAAAATGTTTGAGAAAAAAAAAACAAAAGGAATTATTCGTAGGCCTTTTAACTTATTTTTTACTAAACATGTTCATCAGAAAATCTTTTCCTGCTCATTTAAGAACTAAGGAGTATATACTGAACGTAAAACTTTACACGGTACTTATATGACGTGAAATAAGTGTCTTAAGCGGACTAGAAATGAATGTGCCGTGAATTAAACAGGTTGGCGACAGAAACCTATCGTATTTTACTACCTATAGTAAATTTAGCGTCAGACAGAAACCTATCCTATTTTACTACCTATAGTAAATTTAGCGTACCCTTCGTGGGATATAAGAGGTGTACTGTCAATATCCTTCAACAGTTGTTAGTTAGTTGCGAAGTTGCATGAGTAGGAGTAGGAGTATGAGTATGAGTATGAGTATGAGTTTCAGAAAGGAAGCAACGCATCGATTGCTTATAATAAATTGATGTGATACCTTGAGAAGTGAAGTTGCAAATGTTTTGTGCTAAACGTATTGATTACTGCATGAATTTTTCTTCTATTATACTCTATTATGTTATTGAAATTACTTTATGGTTTCTTTCATGGCTAGGGTCTTAGATTTTGTGTAGTTGTTAAAAATGACAACGGATTTCACCGAAGAATAGAATTTGAATAAGATTTTAATTAAATTGCTCTGTATAGGTATATGTAATATGGATGAATATTGAAATAAACTTTACGGTAATAAAATCGAAATTCGATAGGATTTTTATTTTCTCAGGACTTTTAACGGCATTAAGTAGCTTATAATTACATTTTTAATATTTTTTTTTCTCTTGCATTTTCTTTTGATGTAAAGATTAAAAAAAAATTCCACCTAAGAAGAGTTTATTATAAAATGTTTCTCTAAGTTTAAAATATTATTTAGTATTGTTTTGTTTACATTTATTTTGCTGCTATAACCAACTTCCTTAGGAATATATTTGATTTTGGAATTTTTAAAATGATGAAAGGCGCATCGACTTAGCGAGGTTATCTATTTAGTGCTCGTTGTCTAAGTTGAACGTTGGCCTAATGCGCTACTTAAGCTTGGCTTATAATTATGAAAATTTTAAAAATTATATATCTTTTCTCAAAAACAGTTATGCAACCTTCATCTTTTTGTTTTTGAACTTGTTTCCTTCAATACTTTAAATATTACGTTCAATATGTCTACCCTACAAGGGAAAATATTTTCATATTGGTTTCCGTATGAATCTCTTAATAAACAAAAGCAAGTAAGTGATGACTATGAAAAAAGACTTTACCTAAAATAATTATAATTTTTTTTGTGAATAATTTCATTTCTATATTCGAATTTAAAAAAAAATATTTTCAATATCATTAATTTCATAATAATGTCTTAATATTAACGAATGTTATATATTATGAAAGGGCAAATATAACAGTAAGTGGGAGGGCGGCCGCATAGTCGAGTAAGCAAAAGTTGCGACTACCAACTCCATGTTTGCGAGTTCAAATTTCAGTGCGGCTTTTGGCCATAGTTAATTGTATCTTACAGTGAGTCGACCACTAGTCTCACCACCATCTTCCTATCTCCTTCTTTCTCTCCACTTTTTTCTAACCGTCGTCGTGTTACACGTGTATATTGTGTTACGGGGGACATCCCCTTCGCGATTGGTCATATAAAAAAAAGAGACGTGTGAACGGGAAATTAGGTTTTATTTCATCTCTATAAGCGAACTGTTTACTGGCCCTTCTTTCTAAAGAAGAGACGTCACGCGAATAGCAACAATAGCCGCATTAAATGACAAACTAATGCATTTTCAAGATATTTGTACGGAGTATTAAATTATAAGGACACCAACCCTGACGTCTGCTGAACTTGGGTACATACGCGTATGTGCATGTCATGGCACATAACTGAAGAATTCTTCTGCAATAAACACTGGAAGTATCCGTTTATGTGAATTAAAGCTTTTCTTCTGGCCACTTGTAGCAGGAACTGTCGACTGATTTTACATGAATTTTGAACTCTTCCTAAGATGCTTGATTGAAGTTCAATTTTAATAACTCACCCTCTCCCGACTAAATTTCTATAACTGTAATTTATATCTTTAACCGCTAGGTTGATCGCTGCAGCTAAGCCAATTCCTCTGCTCGCTTTTATATATATCTATATATATATATATATATATATGTAAAAGCTTATTACTAAGAGTTATGAACATGTGAGAATTATTGAAAATTCTCTCTGCTTTGTAGATATAAAAATTGTCCTCTTATCATATACCTCAATAATTACATAAAGCATGTAATGTCATAAATTACTTTCAAATATTTTCATACGTAAGAGTGTACCATAATCTATGGGTGTTTGTGGTATGTATAGTGATATCTTCAAAAGTTTCATTGAAAAATTTTCTTCCCATCGCATCTGACTTATAATGAGAGTGTAATTAATTTTCATTTTGTCTGCTATTGCTGTTGCTCTTGTTGCTTTTGTTGTTGGTGTTCTTGTTGTTGCAAAGCTTTCCAAACGCAAAATGCAGAAATTCAACATTTGAGTACAATTGAAAAAGTTTTATTTTATGAAACGACAATAACAACAACAGTAACTATGATTAGTGAATGAATAAACACACATTCGTACACAGTATCGATATGGGAGTACGTACAAATGTGCATATCAGTGTGCATGTTTGGATAACTGAACGAGCAGAACGAATGCATATATGGCAGATGCATAGATAGATAGATAGATAGATAGATAGATAGATAGATAGATAGATAGATGGTTTTGGTGGATACTCTTACATTGCAATGTTTGTTGTTATCAACAACAATTGTGTCTAAGAAAATTGTGTAATAAATTTGAAATTTATCGACATTTCGTGTTACCGTTAGGAATATACGCAACATATACATACATTAGATCCCCTCAGGCATACATACATATGCTCCCATATCATAAACTTTATATTGATATAGTTAAGATCACTTGATGAAGGCTATATATATATATATGTATATACTAATAGGTTTATATGTACAAATGTATCAATTTATGCATGTAGGCGTATTAATTAATAAAAGCAAATTTTTTACATTGTTTTTTTTTTTTTTTTTTTTTTTTTTTTTTTTTTTTTTTTTTTTTTTGGATTCACACTTACATTTTAGTAAACATTATTCTTTGTTATTACAATTTTGTGGTTTTAACTTCAATTTTGCAGCGGCAGGTGGTATCGCACTATTTTTAATGTACAGTTGGGACTTATTGCTTAATAAGAGGGGGAACGAGATGATTTTCGATTAAACACACCAGTTGTTGCAATTGAATAGTGCAAGCAAGAGGAAACTTTGTACACATATGTACACATATATACATATGTATGCATATATATATACGTATATATATATATATATATATATATATATAATATATATATACGTATATATATATATATATATTATATTTCACTTTTTTTTTCTATTTATCGTAACAGTTGCCGTTTTCTTTCAGGAATTTTATTTTTCCGTTGGCTTGTTTGTGTTTCTTATTTATTTATTTTTTTTTCTTTCTTTTTGTACTTTCACTTTATCATAGTTAAGCTACATTTGCTAATGTTTTGTTTTGTTCGAACAATTTAAGGCGATTTAATGTTTTTGATAGCTATGTCCTCTGGAAATTTTTTTTTGTTAAAGCAACAATTTCGTTTGCGTATTTTTGATTGGCGTTTTATGTAGCGGTAGTCTTCAGCAACTTTGAGTAATTGATTGGCTGACTGAGTAGATGATGTTGGTGGACAATGTATTTTATTAACACTATGGTATAGTTGGAATGCCACCAGACGTTTAATATAACTGGCTTAAGTTTCAGTGGTAGTGGTAGTTGGGGTCTTTTTAATGCTGCTATACTAGTTGTCTTTGGTGCGTTCACTTGACAGTCACTTTCGATTTCTTTGCCAGCCGAATGAGAAATGGTAAAATGATGAGCTTTTTAAATATCGAAAACTGATTTCATCAAATACACCGTAATTCCGCCGTTACGAGCGGCTAGCAACCAACCGCAGCAGTCAATGTTCGCAGAGATCACCAACCACAACATACACAAAAATACTATAACAAAAGCAGATGTATAAAAAATACACACTATATTCACAGGCTTTATGTGTGTGGAGTTTATTAATGTAGTTTAAAATGGACAGCATTTAAAGGCTAACCACTAGAGCAGCATTTCAATCAATCGATCAACTGACCGAACATTCAACCGTCTTACTATCTACAAGTGAATAAATAAACGCAATTAATTCTTACACGATCATAATACGAATAATTTAACAATTCATTGGTTGATCGCACAATCCAAACAGGATATAGCTTTAAGCCTTTTAAAAAACAAAAGATGCTCACAAATGAACAAACGACCAAACACTACCCTGTACGTTGATTAAATACGTTCGGTCGGTGTCTTGATATCCGTTGTAACAATCGTTTCATGAATAAATTGAAAGAAAATGTTTTTATAATTTTTAAAAAAGCTACTGTTTTATGTTGCTTGGCGTGTCGCTGTTGGACGACTAATGCTCACATTAAAAGCTTGAGTGGCTTTCTTTAACTACATTTAGCTTACATTGTTGGGCTGCTTCGACTCGCTGCAGCTTATATTAGTTGAATTTGGTTTTCGTTTCTTGATTTAGTTGACTCAAGTTCATTTACTACACTCATCATAGGAGCAACAAAAAATATGTCATCTAAAATGTTTTTAAAAGCAATCGAATACGCACCAGGGTTTCTATAAATTGCAAATATTGCTCTTGAACAAAGTAGAACGGACTGACCCCTGTTTTGTAGGGGTCTTTAGTTCAAATCAATAATCTAAAAGCTGCAAATTTACACCTTCATCTCATTTGTATAATACTAATCTGCTCATTGTACGATCATCTTTAAACAAGGTAAGCGTACGTAAGCAGTATTGCAATTAATAAAATGCCTGTGCCTTGCTCATCCATAGCGTATCAAATAGTCCCCATCACTGATAAAAAAACCGAAAGTAGGTGTTTAAATATTCGATCTAATTCGAATATAATTGTTTTGTTGCTTTTCACTTTTCATATACAATTTCATGGCAATACGGTACGATTTTGTGTAATTCCTTCTTCAAGTTGAGCGGTTAAGGTAACAGTGATAATGTTTTCACTACTCTCGTTCTCTCTCTTTCTCTGTGTATCTATATACCTCTCTCTCTCTCTCTCTCTCTCTCTCTCTCTCTCTCTCTCTCCCATTGTCTTTCTTATCCTATTTGTTTTTTCTTATCCTGTCTCCTTCTCTCTCTCTCTCTCTCTCTCTCTCACTCTCAGCCTCTCTCCCACTCTCTCTCTCTCTCTCTCTCTCTCTCTCTCTCTGTCTAGTTGGCTGTCGCTATATTAATCTGCCTGCAGCGAGTTTATTTAGGAAAGCCAACAAGAAGACTATATGTCAAGACGGTCCAACATTTCGTTCAAAATTCAAACTAGGAGATTAATGTGGACTCTTTTTACGTTTCTGTTATCAATAGCAATAGTCACACTGTTAATTAATATTCATTTGACTGCTTCCTATTCAATTCGCATTATTTGTGTAGACAAACTTCTGTTAAGAGTTTCTTGATATGATATCATATTATTTCAAACGTTTGCAAAGCAGAAGCGTATACAATTTTCTGTTTTCAAGTGAATATGTTCTATGGTATACAAATAAGTATGTATGGATAAAAAAACCTAACAGTAGCAGTGTTTGTGTTTTCCTTTTATTGTTTATTTCACATCGAAAAATTCGAAATTTTGTATTCGCTAAGTACTTCGAAGGGAAATTGTAATAAAAATTTTCATATCCAGATATATGAAGAAATTTTTGTTATTAAAAAGAGACACATTGGTGAAATAATTTAACTTTATCTAACATACTAACTATTTATATATTTGTTAATTTTAATTGCTTGATGAGTTCTCTGCAATTTTTCACGTCACCTATGAGTTAGCGTATTGTATAATATATTCTAAGATGTTCTAGAATATCCTACAACAGTCTACATTATGCTGGAATATCTTAATATTTCTTCATAGCATGTTTGTATCCTACATCACTCGTAGTGTAAGATATATTAAGTTTGTGAGATATAGCGCAACCAGAAGAGCTTAAAATAAACTCACCTTTTATTATACCCAACGATTCAGAACCATAAGCTTGTCTGTCCATATATTTTTGTGTTCAACGTAAAGCTCGCAGCTTTTAGGATATTTTGATGAAATTTGGTATACTGGTTTGATCCAGGGACGAACGTTATTGAAAATGGTTTGATACATGTAACAAATTGCAATTTTCAAAATTTTTCAACAAAAGTCGCTAACTAGTATATAGCTTGACATTCCAAATTGGTATGAAAAATTTGGTTCGGTTGCGATTGTTTTTTGAACTCCATCTCATATGACCGATGCTATAAACACCGAATCTTTATAAAATAGGAAGGTATAATTTTCAATATTTTGTAGTAAATGGACGAAGAGATCAATCTTGCCGAATTTGGACCACATAGGTATATTTTTTGGACACTACAGCACGCAAGGATACTCAGGAAACGTAAAACGTTACATGCCAAAAAGGCCTAACAGTTAATGTTTTGTGATAAAATTTTTCTCATAAGAGTAATTTGACATAAACATTGAGGTAAACCGCATTAGAAACACATGAGCCTGTTTCGTGGACTTTATTCCACATAAGATTTCTCCTGAATAGAAAGCGTTTAGAAAAAGATTTAATTGTTAATATTTTATATGAAAAAATGGGTTCTTAATAGTAATGTAGCAAAAAAATGAATGAGAGGAAATTTGGAGCACCAAGATCTGTTTTCTAGACCAAAAACATATTTAGGAATTATAATGAAAAGCAAACTTTTGTATAGGGAGAAAGTGTAACTTTTAGTTTTTTATGATGAAAACTGAAAACTAATAATATTTGTTACATTTGGATCACGTCATGCGAAGCTTTGGGTATCCGCCAATATACGGCCTTTCACAGATAGTATGCCTTCACATGAAAACAATATGTAGTTTTTACTGTATCATTACTAAAAAGAGTAAATAACTGCATTAGGCGAAATGGTGTAGGCTATCTATTTTAAATTTATTGAAGCATTTGGTAAGTATAAAATTTGGAATTATTCGATGATAATAATAAACTTTATCATATTGTCTACCTATCTACTGTTCGTATATACGCACTTATATATATATCATTAACCATAATCACTTGAAAGCTTAGAATTGTATATGCTACGGCTTTGAAAACGTTTGAGAGAATGTGGCGTCACATCAAGAATCTCTTAACAGTATCTTTACCAATACAAATAATGAGAATGAAAGAGCAAGGGGTTAAATTGTTGTTAATTAACAGCGTTACCACTGTACTACTGCTATAGATAACAGAAACAGGAAAAGTCACTCATAATCTTCTAGTTTCAATTTTAAGCAAAATGTTGGACCATCCTGTTATATATAGTTGTTTTTGGAAAAACAAATTATTAACTATTTACCAGTATTTCCTGATATCTCCTTATTGGTTTTATTGATTGTTACATGTGTACATTTGAAAAATGCTGCATATTTCAAATAACATGAAGTCGCGAAAACCTGTTGATTGCAAAGGCTTCTGTCGATGTTGTTAGCAATATTGGTCTGACGTCATTTAGGTGTTGCCATTAGTTTAGTGGTTAAAGAGATTTGAATAAAACTGTTTCTGCTGCGCTGCGTTGCATTGAATTTCCTTCACTTCTGCAAATTCATTTAATTCATTCTTAAAAACTTGTTAAGTACGAAGAATATTTAATTTTTTTTTTTTTTTTTCTCTTTTTTTTGTTTTAAAATGTCTAAAATCAAGTTATTGTTATTGTTGTTAGCAAAGTGCCTAAGACATTTCAGTAAATCTTTTTATGCACTTTGATATTTGCTGGTTGTGTTCAGCATATTGTAAAAAATTGATAGTTTAATGTAACTAAAACAACTGCATTAATATATAAAAACCGGTTCCAGGCATTGTACGATTTTAATGTCTTTCAAAACAGTACAGCTATGCTTTTGTATGAAAAAAGTTTTACTCAAATATTTATCGGTATGGAATGTGTTATATTATAATTGAATCGTGCAAAAGGAATGCAATTTGAATTGGATTGAAAAGTGTTTGCTATGAGGCGATCAGAAAACACTTTCATTTATAAAAGGCCTCCCAAAGTGAACAATTTAAAATTGACCTCACATTTAGGAATTCCTGTTTATTAGTAAACGAATGCAGTCAAGGCCGGAAAACTGTTTTATCATAAGTGTTTTATAATTCATGCTCTCCAATAAATGAAATATTGAAAGTATGCATTAGTTTTCAGTATTTGTTTTTTTTAAAGCCTGATCATATTGTTAAAAAAGTGATTGATATTCAACGTTCATAACGTTGTCCATCATTGATCGCTAGTTTCCCTCAAGACTCCTCACGAGTGAATCTATCTTTCGAACCGCAGCTCAGATAACCCGCATAATAAGCATAAAAATCATCTTTTGGCGATTATAGCGGTTTGGCTAGCGCATGACAGTTTACAACTTCTAACGTTCCTTGATGGGGGTTTCGGTATGCTAACAATAACTTTGATGTATAGGCAACTATTAAATTTAAACTGTAAAATGCTACGCTTCGTTACTTAGTATTTTCTTGATAGCCCGAAATATCGATTAGTCATGCATCTCCACACTGGTAGAAAAACAGGTTGAATGAAGGACTATAAAACTGAAACACCCGCAATTTTCTATGTACAATTTATAATGGTATACTAATAATCGGCTTGTTAGCTAACACAAATAATGATAAACAATTTTAAGAGATTCATTCAAATATAGCAACAACAGGAGAGATCATTGTAAGTAGCCTCCTGCAAAGAAGGGCGGCGGGATTAAAAAGCAAGAAGCCGCGATAGCGCCATAGGGTAAATGGGCAAAATGCTGGCGACACTTACTTGATGAACGGATCTTTTTCGTTTGCACAGAGCAAATGCCGTAAAAGTGGTTATATGGGAGCACAAGGCAAACGCCACAGAACACATCAATGACGGTGGATCTGTATAGGCGAGTAGGTAGGAAACGGTTGTAGGTCAGTGGATAAAGTCTTACTGCTTGGGCACTAACTCGCTAGGCTCTAAGGCCATTAACCCTCTTTTTTAATCCTTCAATTCTTTCTGACCGTCACTCTGTTACACGAATAGGGGACATCCGCTGAGTAATTCATCGCGTTAAAAAAAAAGTTAGTGAATATATTTAGTCTTTGAGTTACTTTTAACGCATCGAATTTTCGATGTCACTCCAATTGTGCGCACATAGTTTGATTATTGTAAAAATCGTCATGAATTTAATGAAGATTCCGCTTTAGTTCCTTGTCAAGCCTGACGCTTTTCTTTTACCCTCTGTTGAGTTGTCAGGCATTTGCAATCTAATGCTTTTAATAGTTGTAGATGCATATATAGGTAAGCGCATAAATTGATCTTGCATGTTGTTGGTCTTGTAGGGGGAGAAGTTCCATAGATGCGCGGCGTGGATTTTCAT